CTGGCAGTGACTGTGGATGTGGTGTATACCAGCAGCGAGGCGCACCCACCTTTCCCACCCACCCATTCCCCCACCAACCACCCACACTTGCCTCGCTCCAACAACACAACTCCACCCCCCCCCCCCCCCCCCCTACCACGCCTCTGCAGGCGGGACCCCCTCCAGAGGATGCCAAGATACACCTGTACGTCGGCATCGACCCCGGGCGGACCAAGATGTTTACCACGGTGGACGAACACGCCAACGTGACATCCTGCTCTTCAAAGGAGTTCCACTCCATGTCGGGGTCCAAGCGGCGGGAGAAGACCATTGCGAAGTGGCACGCAAAGGCCCCAGACTATGTCAAGGAGCTGCACAAGTGGGTGATGACTGGTTTGTGAGGTGTAGGCAGTGACAGGCCCCACAGAGGTGTGCACTGTGTCACAACACCCCTGGTACTCCAAACACACCGACCTCCCTCCACACACACACCCCTCTCTTCCTGCAGGTGCCCGACCCACAAGACAGCGAGCACAGAGGTGCTGCTGTCGTGGGTCGCGTGGATCCTCCCCAACCTGCGGCGTGGGCTGGCCTGGCACATGCACGGGAAGCCGTTCCGGAAGCTGCGGCATCAAGCCTACGTCGCCAGGGAGCGGGCCATCAACCGGCTGGCGGAGCAGTTCCGCGCCCCCCCCGGGCATGACCACAATTGTCGGCGTGGGCAACTGGTCGGACCAGGATCGGGAGGGCATCGTGCGGGGCGCCCCGCCGGGGCCCTGGATCAAGTTCTTGCGGCGCCTGCGGCGCGTGTGCGGGGTGGTGGTGGTGGACGAGCACAGGTCATCAAAGCTGTGCTGCGCCTGTCACACCACCCTCCATGCCTACCGGCACAAGCGGGTCTGCAACGGCGTGGAGACGTGGACGGAGCTGTGAGACACCAAGCGGTGCGTCAACAAGGCCTGCAAGGTCAACGTTGTCAACCTCGACGTGAACGGAGCGGCCAACATGCTCATGCTGGTCAAGCGCTTTTTCGCCCGGGAGGCCCGTCCCACGGCCTTTGGCGGGCCCCCTTGTTCGCCGGCCCCCAAACCCCCGCCCCCCTCAACACACACACCGGTTTGCCGTCCGAGGCAACCAACTGCGCCAGCCTGATCCTCGCGGACGTAGCTGTGCAACCGGCGCAAGCCCGGTAGGGGTGCGGTGAGGAGAGTCGGCGTGGCCGAAGTGCCTCTTAAAAACAAGACCCCCCCCATCACAAACTGGTGGCCCAGTCGTCGCATGAATTTTTCTCTGGCAGTGTCCGCTGATCATGCGAGAGTGTATTGCCCGGAACTGCAGCGCCAGACGGGCCTCCTGCAGGGGCTCCTACTCAGCCCTTCTGGCATGTTAAAATGGGGCGATGCTGTCATGAGGCTGCTCAGGCAGTGCCATCGTGGATATTCTCACAAAGTTTCCGTTACGAAATGGTTTTACAGCAGGACGGCAGTGAAGCGTGCCAAGCTTCAACATTCGTTCAGTTTGGGAAAGGTATCCTGGACACGCAGTCAATCAAGATGGATCTGCACGCTTGGTCCAATTATTTCCTGAAGTGAGGGCTCCTCCATGACCCCAGAAGTTCCAACCCTGGGCTCGAAGCTCTCACCGCCGCACACCTTCTCCCAGGCTGTCAGGAGCCTGCGGAATTGGACGTGGAGGATCATGGGGTTTGGGGCCATAGAAGGTGCCGTGGTGACCCGCGTGCGGGAGGCCATTTCAAGGCTTGTACCTGCAGAGCGGTGCATCATTGGTGGACAGCCCTTGCACCCCATGCCCGCACCCGCAGATGTCCGGTGAACCATACTCTAGACACAGGGCAATAATTCTGCCCTCCTGAAGGCGGTTGGGGGTCGTAGGATTGAGCTGCATGCTGCTGGATGTCATGGGGACATTGGGGAGTGCGACCCAATCATTATGATAGAGGCACATACATCACCAAAAATGAGTGCTACATCCATAGCGCCAGGCCCCAAACTGTTGTGCAGGTTGGGCCTCACTTGAGCAGGTGTCAAGATGTTCTTGACCAGGCTTCGAGCTTCAGCATATATGCTCCTCTCAGCAGCCATGCTCTCCTCCAACTGCTCCAGGAGACCCCGCAGCTGAGAATGAGGGACAGGGCAGACGAGGAGTCAGGCTATTGGTCGAGTCAAGCTCAGAGAGCATGCAGAGACGAGGGATGTGACAGTTGGGTCGGTTGGCACATCCATGCTATGATACAGCGACACCCACAGGGGCAACCTCACAGTGTGTGCACATCCCACAGTGCCCGCCTGCCTCCAGGCCGCTCGTGGATGAGGCCACGGCACACACATGACCCGGCACTCCACCTGCAGGCTACTGGCCGTTTGAAGCTGGAGCGGCGCCCCGGTCAGGGCAAGCTTGGTGTGCCCCACCTTCGCGAGGATCCTCTTCCTCTGCTCCAGCACCTGCATAGGATGAGCAATTTGCACGAGCGGGCGTTTACAAACATTTCTGCACACCAGGACCCTTCAGGGCTGCACCTGCTCTACTCTTCCATCCAAAACATGCGGGGTGTCCCCCAGCAATCAGTCTGGCAGGCATGATGATCAAAGACATTCACACCAGCCCATCCATCTCCGATCCCTCACTGTCGACCTCCTGGCCCTGACCCCTGCCACGCACGCTGGACACCTGCCGCCGGGCAGCCTGCGCGACTGCGAGACATGCGCACCCTTGGTCCCGGGTCAGCCCCAGCCGCCTCTGTGGTACAGGAGAGGAAGGTATGGCTGGTTGCACGCAGAATGTGCACATGGATGTTATGTCGGGCATGCAGCCAGCACTGAACTCCGGGGTTGGCGCCTGCCCATGCACCTGCCCCCCCTTCGACTGCTACCGCCATTCTAAAAAATCAGGCCTCCCCTGCTGACTCACAACGACGTCCTCCCAGTGGTCGCTGGGCGCGTCCCTCCTCATTCGCCCCACCTCCGCCAGGCGGCCGGGCAGGTAGTGCGCCACGCGCCACATCAGCAACCTCTGCATGCCAGGTGGGGGCAGGCCTTGCCGGCGGCGCTTCAGAGGTGCATGGAGGCTTCCAAGCTGTACTTGCCCTAGGGTTGCCCTTGTAGACACCCGCGGCCAGCAAACCTTTGCTGCCATGCTGTGATACCTCAGCGCCCGCTGCTTCCCGCTCTCGAGACATGCCCGTCACCAGGAGGCAGGCATATGTCGCGTCAAGAATCAACCTCCCCCCCCCCCCAATCAGACACATGAAGCCTGGGCACCGCTCACCCCCTCGTCCAGAACGCGCTGGAGGTGGGCCTCCAGGGCTGGGCAGCGGCCCCCACGCTGGACCAGCTGGTCGCAGACGTCGACCAGCGTGCGCCGCCTGCCCAGCCAGCGCTCGGTCACCACCTCGGGGCTCAGCGCGGCGAAGCGCCGGGCATCGTCGGGGCCCAGCGCCCAGCCCCGCCAGCGCTCGCCGTCGCCGCAGACGGCGTGCAGCACGGCCAGCTGGCCCGGGGTGATGCCCGGCTCCGCGTAGTTGCAGGCGGGGCAGGCGCCGTGGTGCCGGTGCTCGCCCAGGATGCTCAGGCTGGCGTCATGCACCGCCAGCAGGCGCTCCAGGATGCCATGCTGGGAGGCGAGCACCGCCGCCTCGGCGCGGGCGGTGACCAGCGCCTCCCGGGCCTGGGCCAGACTCATCCCCTGGGCCTGGGATGCAGCCTGCTTGCGGGCACGGTACCGCTTCTGCGCCAGCTTGTTGCGCTCGCGCTGGCGCGCCAACCGCTCCTCGGCGGTCTTTGCGGTGCACGTGGTGCCTCGCCCCATGCTGGGCACGGGCTCGGCGTCCAGGGCGACAGGCAGGTCGCTGGGAGGCCCAGCGATCAGGGGTTGTGTGGCGGGGTTTAGAATGGTGGACGGTGGGAGGGACAGGTCCTCATCATCCTCTTGACATGACGCAAGAGCGGAGGGTGGGTGTGGCAGGTGTGCCTCGGGGGCTGGACAAGGTCCCAACGGCTCGAGGTCAGGGTCCCAGGACTGGGAGCTCAATAAATCGGTCCAGTCGTACTCGGACATGGCGAAGGGCGTGCCGGCATGCGCACGAGCGGTGACCCGGGCCCGACCCCCAGTGCCGGGGGAGGCTGAGTACTCCTGCCTCCGTGACCCCTACTCCACAATTATTACAAAATTTCCACCCAGAGCCATGTAACGACACGGCGCGTCACCGACACGTACACGGGCAGGATTGTACATGAATGTTGGGCGGGACGACGTGACGACCAGCACCCCCTAATCCCCGGGACTCGCGTGTTACAGATGTGTGGCCCGTCCAAGAGCTGGGCCTGGATGGCGGTCATTTGGAAAAATCAGGGCATGCGTTTGGTCAACGTCTTCATGTCCTTCATTCTGAGAGCTCTGTGAAGTCTCGGGGCGCGTCCAGCATGGAGGTGGGGTTGTAGCCAGGGCCCAGGCTGGCCGTCGAAATGCTGCATGGGTGGTAGGCAGTGCCCAGCAAGCGTTTTGTTGATGACATGCAGGGCGTGCAGGTGCGAGCTCGGAAGCAGGCAATGCAAGAGTTGATTCGTCTTTGCCCATCATCAAGCATCCATCATGTAGCCAACTCCTTGAGCACATGCACTGCAGCAAAAGCACCGTTCCTCCGCCACAGCCCCACCTGTAGATGTCGGGGAAGTACGGGTACGAGCGGACGATGGCAATAGCTTTCTGCACGAGGTGGAAGAGGGGGGGGGGAGGGAGATCGAGGTTGGGTGTGGAGGTGGGGAGGTGGTAGTGAGGCATGCAGGATCTGGGAAACTCTAAAAACAGACACAGATTCCCACCCAGTGACTCCGATTCTCGGTGCAGCGCAAACCTCCCTGCCCCTGGCACACTCCACCCTTGCGACAATAACCTTGGGTTTCACCCCATTCAAGTTTCAGGCTTTTCACCATGCTGACTCCATGCCTCCCTGCCTTGATCCACCCCCGCCTGGCGCCCTGCCCAGCACCCCCCCCTTTCCAACACACACCACACTTGCCTCCCACACACCGACGCACCTGCAGGGGGGTGAGCACTCCGCCGAAGCCCCGCGACACAAACTCCATGCACACCATGTGCTCCTGCTGCAGGTTGGCGGACAACTCCGAGGTGGCGGCATTCACGCGCAGCCAGTCGGCGGTGGACTGCTGCAGCGCCGCCAGGCTGCTGGCCGGCGTGGCGGCGGCCAGCGCGCCCAGCACGGCGCGCCGCTCCGCCATGACACGGGAGATGCGACGCAGGAAGACGTCGCGCAGAGGGGACAGCGCGGCGCGCTGGGCCTGGTCCAGCTCCAGCTCGGCGGCCACGAAGGCCCAGTGGTCGGGGCCCGGGCCGTCCCCGTCGCGGCCCACGCCCAGGTTGGCGCCCAGCAGCTGCTGGATGTTGTGCGGCTTGTACACCGCGTGCTCGAAGCAGTACATGCGCGCGTCGTGCAGCGCCTCCTGGATGCCGGTCCAGGCCAGCGCGCGGGAGTCGGCGTCGCGCGCGCCGCGCAGCTGCGTCAGCGCGTCCTCCAGCCGCGGCACCAGCGCCTGCCAGGCTGCCACCACGGCCGCCGGGTCTGAGCACTTGATCTTGGCCACCTCCGCGGCCGACAGGCCCGTGACGCCGCAGGTGGCGGCCGCCTGCCGCGCCGCCGCGTCGGCCTCGGGCGAGTGCCCGGGGTACGGCGCCGAGGGCGGCCGTCGCGAGTCGGTGACAGTGCCAAAGCCGGGGACGGCGTCGCCGAGGGCGGCGTCCTCGGCACCGCCCTTCAGGCTCGCCATGTAATCCTCCCGCACCGTCAGCACGCGGTCCATCAGGTCGTTGGAGTGCGCCAGCGCCGCGTTCTCCAGTCGCAGCCGCGCAAGCTCGTCCGCCACCTGGATGAGGGAAGGGGGGGGGGGGGGGGGGGGGGGTTTACAGGTGAAATCGTAGATTACGCCGCCGGGTTACTGTTACAACAAGGGTACTGCATGGCGAGGAGCAGGCCGACCACTACCCAGGGCGCTTCACTCCCCGGCCAACCACCCCGCTCTGCAGCCCTTTGACACTGCATGTGTCCCAGGATCAGTCCCTGCCCCTCCCCCTTCAACTGCCAGTCACCTGATCGTGGCTCTGGACGGTGTCCTGCGCCTGTGCCTTCAGCTTGGCGCGATACCTGCTCTGTGCCCTGCACCCAGGCGAAGGAAGGGATGTGCCCGCGGCGGCGTGAGTGCTGGGGGAGGGAGATGGTCACAAGAATGCACACTTCCATCGCGCCACCAGGTGGCCTACCATGCCGGGGGGGCGCACCGTGAGCCAGAGCCCCTGCCGGTGCACTAGCCCCAATTCCTCATGCCTGCCGTCCCAGCCACCCAGCCCACCTCCTGTTCTTGGCACGGATGCGCTCCAGCTGCTCCTGGTCCTTGCCCTTGGTGCCGCCCTTCTTGCCGCCCCGCGGCTTGCTGGACCCAGACTTGTGGTCATCCTGGATCACGGCCGTGGGGGATTCGGAGGACTGGGCCCCGCCACTCCCCGACGCTTCTAGGCTCCCGGAGTCCAGGGGCGAGTCCGCCTGCAGTCCCTCATGGAAGAATATGTTGTGGCCCTGGGTGAAGCTGTCGTAGGGCAGGACCGGCAGGGTGTCCATGAAAAGGTCCAAATCCGCAGAAAGCGGACGGGCGTCCATGTGAAGGGCCGACATGCCGTGCTCGGAATGCTTCCGGGTCCGGGTGAGGGTTGCCAGGTGCCGTAAAGAGATCACTGGTACCCCTGAACTCAAGGTCGAGAGCCTGGGCGCCACCCTCGCGCAGTGAGGCAGGTAGGGGTGAGGAGGTCTCTGAGGCTTTGAGGAAGACAGCAGGCTGCCAGTCAGGACTGGAGCCACCCCTAAACAAAGCTTGGAAGACCAAAACAGTAATCCTGCAACGATCACGGCCCCTGTGTGGAAACCTGAAATGAGATGCCCGGCGTACTTTGCCATGATGCTTCGCGAGCTTCGCATGTCGAGCGCGCCCTCCCGAGTGTGCATGGGTCATAGCACTGGACCTCTACACAATTATTATGGGCTTGCAGGCTACTGCAATAGGCTTGGAATCGATATACTTCGGCTAGGTATGGGGAAGTGATATACGCACTATCTCCCTGTCATGGGTGTCGCAGCGGTAGAACAACCTCCATGCCTCGGCAAGGTGCGCTGGGCGTCAGGAGTGACAGTGCGCTGGGCGAGAGCACCATATCCTTGACTCGATAGCTTTCTAATCCAACCCTTCGCTGTTTCTGCAGTGTGTCGTCCCAGGCGAGCCCATAGCCAGCCTTCCTGAGACGGGGACTGTGCGAGTTGGGGGTGGGGTGCAGCAGGCTGGTCGGAGCCTCATCGCTGTCAAGGCTGGGGTGGTGCAGCAGGGGCCTGGAGACAGCCTGTGGGTCTGCAATCGTCAGAAGAGGTGCGGACGACAGTGCACCCATGACCCGCATGGGTACCGCCATGCTGCAGCGAAGTAGCACGACTCAGAGTTCTCTATCTGTCATTCCCTGAATTTGCAGGTACATCCCGAACCTTAATGATGCAGTGGTGGGTATCATCGCACATCGTCATTCAGAGAACTATACGGTGGACATTGGGGGCCCAGGACCGGCCTTCCTCCCAGTGCTGGCGTTTGAGGGTGTGGCACGACGAAATCGACCAAACCTCCAGGTATTTAATGCATGTGTGTTGCGGGTTCATGCCTGGGCCGACGAGGGAGGCTCAAATGTGTCGCATGCTCTGCTGGGGTTGGGCTTGAATGGGCAAGCCTATGCTTGTGAGGTGCAGCATAGTCTGCTCACTCATGCGTCCCTGAGCACCGCAGGTCGGAGACGTAGTGTTTTGCCGTGTGGAGGAGGCGGCTCGCGACCTCGACCCAGTGCTGACGTGCATGGATACTGCCGGCAAGGTGCGTGCAAAAGTTTGTTCAAGGATGGGAGGTGCGAGGGTCTCAGGAAGGCCATTGGTCGAGGTTTGGACGCGCTAGCAGCAGTACATAACATCTGTTGTGAGGGCATGCTGGTTTGCTGAAGGCGCCACAGCGGGCCTCAACACCTGCCAAAAGATACTGCCACCTGACTCTCCACCCACAACACCAACTTCCCCCGCCAGGCGGCCGGCTTCGGCCCACTGAAGGGTGGAACCCTGTTCCAGGTTTCCACCTCCCACGCACGCACCCTGGCGTCTGGCCCGCCTTTCCTCGCGGCGCTTGGGCGCTCTCTGAAGTTCGAGCTGGCCGTGGGGGCAAACGGGCGGGTGTGGGTGGATGCGCCGGGGCCCGCCAACCTGGCCCTCGTGGCTCGCCTGGCCAGGCAGGCCGAGGAGCTCGATGCTGCTGGGGCCGTGGCAGCAGTCAAAGAGGCCCTGGCGTCTGGCTTGCGATGAGCAGGGTGGAGACCCTTCTGTCTGTTGTGACCCTGCAGTGTGAGGGACCAACCCAGGCCTGGGGCTCTCTGGTCACACGTGCCAATACTTACTCCTCCTTGACTGCCCCTGCCTCCCTGCTCCCCCTGTACGAGAGCTAATGGCTCATTACATGCCTGTGCGGTCCCTGAGGCCGCTATTTTGGGATGCTCCTACCGAAATAAAATCCATGGTGTGGCCAGGTCTGGGCGAGGGTTGAAGAGTGGGCAGAGGGCTGCGCCCCGCACACCATGGTCACGCCTGCCGCATTGCGCCTGGGCTTCCGCTCCTTGCATCTAGTCGTCGTCCTCGCCGGACAGTGGGATGGTGTACTCCCCGCCCCCGATGATCACCTCCTGGGTGAAACCGACCTTGCCCGCGATCTTGCACTCCTTCCCGGTCCAGGTGGTGGGGGTCCAGTGCTTGTGGGAGCAGGAGCCGGGGAACTTGTACAGCATCAGCTTGGGTGTGGTGCACAGGATCTGCTTGGCGATATCGTTCACAACGCACTTCTTGGGGATGTAGGACAGGGTGATGCTGGGCCCGGTGCAGGAGCTGGGCGTCAGTGACGGGGGCACAAACCTGGGTGGGGAGGGGGAACCATGGGGTTGCAGCGAATCGGATAGGAAATTTGGGGCTAGGTTATCGCAGCGGCACTGGGGTACATGGCACCCGCCACCTCCCCAGACGCAAGAGCTTCCTCCCAACCGAGCCCACACACGTACTCCTCGGGGGTGCAGAAGGTCTCCTCCAGCTTCTCCAGGTTGCTGTGCAGCTGGGCCAGGGTCTGCGGCTTGGCAAGCGTGTTCAGGTTGGTCTCCGACAGGAATGTCTGCAGGTTGCTGGTGTACTCAAAGTCACCCAGCTTGGACCATGAGAAGCCTGGTTGGAGTGGGAAGAGGGGAGCTTTTGAGCTCGAAGCAGGGGTCCTGAGGGGGCACCACCGGTGCGACAGGCGTGTGTTGCTGGCATGAGCTGCTTTGGCGCTGAGCCACACACAACAGAAATGTCATGCTATGGTGCTGTGAATGAAAGGGGTGGTCTACGGTTTAGCTGATGTCACCAAGCAGCACGCACAGCACACAACTGCGTTAACACCTCTCCTTGTCAGAACCCAAGCGTACCGGCATCCTTCCATGCGTCTGGCACAAACTTGTCCCATGCGGACCCCAGGACGTCCTTGAAGAAGGCATGAATGTTCTGCAGGAATTGGGGGGAACGACCACGACCTCCAATGACTCCCGCACTGGCTCAAGCGGACTGGGAGATCAGCAGCTCGGACCACAACCCACGACGGTGTGCGGCCAGGCTCACCTCTGCGAACGTCCAGCTCTGCAGGCGACGGCGGGAGGACTCATGCGTGTCCTTGGAGTGCAGCTCGGTGCGAATGCTGTTGATGAAGTCGGTCAGGGCTGCACAAGGAGTGGGAAAAGGTAGGGTGGGCCGGTGATGCTCGTTTCGAGTACGGCTTCACGGCTGTTTGACCCCTCCATTGACCTGCCGCTGCGACGCGACCGAAACTCACCATGCTGGACGTCATCCCCCGTGATGCTGCGACGGTTGTGAGTTGTCTCACCCAGAGCCGCGCCGGTGAGGGCAAGGAGGCCCAGGAAGGCCACGGTCCACTTCATGGTGTCGAAGGCGGGGCGGTTTCCCACACAATCCCGGACAGAGAATAACAAGAGGACAGGGAGTGGTGTGCAGGCACTTCACAAGATGTAGATATTAATTGCCGCTGCAAGGCCTCGAGAACAACACCTTGTCCCCTTCGAGACCGAGAACGCAGCGTATGACATCGAGGCGGCAGGTCGGGGACGTCCATGCCGGGAGACGACCAGCCCAAGGCTCGGTCGACCGGCGGGCGACCGCGCCGGCGGATCTCATGCTGTCGCCAACCTGGGGCCGTAGTGACACCATCGAACAGACACGGAGTGAATCTGGAAATTAAGAGATAAGTGCAAGATAGATAGTGCCATGTTATACGATGTGAGTGTCCGGGGAGAATTGAAGTCCGTGGCACTGCCCTGTCGGGCTAAATGCGGCAGCGCTGTCGGGTAATGGTCACAGCACTCACATATGTAACCCTGTTACTGTACATCCATCCCTTCTCACCACCATCTGGCCACTTCCGCTCCGTGTAAGAGGTGTGCAAGCAGGTTCAACAACATGCATCATGTAAAAAGGGCACGTGCTGTGCTAGATTCATCATACCATCACACCTTCAGCCGCTCCCCCCCCGCCTCGTGTCGCGGCGCACTTCATCTGAGGCCAGCAACTGCCGAGCCCCGGCCGCCCAGACCGCCCGTGCCTCTGGCACCACGCTGGACTCCCCCAGGAAGGTCTCAAACAGCGCCCTGCACAGGGAGGCTGACTTGATGCACAGACTGGCCCGGGCGGCGGCCAGGTCGGCAGGCCGCTCTGGGGAGGAAAGCGCGATGTCCAGCGTGGCGTCGGTGCGGTAGAGCAGGGTGATGACGGACCCCTTGCTCAGTTGCTGGCCCTGGAAGAAGGAGGAGAAGGTCTCCAGCTTCTCCATCTCTGCGAGGTGGGAAAGCGCCGACAGGGGGCCGAACATGAGCGTACTCGTGGGTCGCCATAGTGGCTGCAGGCACTGCGCTGCCTGGCAGCAGTGCACAGGCTCCCATGCAACTTGCACCTACAAGCACAAAGACAAGCAGTGGGCGGAGGACCCCGGAGCAGTCGGCAAAATGCTGTTTACATCTCCCTCCACAACCCAAACCAGGCCCCAGGCACCCCACCTCCAGACAGGCGCATCCGCGGCGTTAAGGCCTCGGCCAGGGCCTCGACGAACTGGGTGCCTTCCACATTCCGGACCAGGTGGATCTGTGCGGGAGGAGCAGTGGGTGGGGGGGCGGAGCATGAGCCAGCGATTGCGGTGTGGAGTGAGCTGGTGACACAATTGTTCAGTTCTGATACTTTTGAAGGTGTATACTTGAAGAATACGGGAGTCAGTCGGCCGGCTTGCTCCAAACGGCACACCTGCAGTGCTTTGTGAAAACCACCATCCAGGAGAGCAGAGCAGTAATCGTCGTCGCTCTCAAAGAAGCCACCCCTGCATGGGATGATGCAAATGTAATCATTTGGCAGTTGGACACAAGATGTGGGGTCAACAGGAAACACCTTTCCAACATGAAAGGCTGGTATATAAGATTCACTTCGACCGCTCCTTCCCTCATCGATCCTTGCCTGGCTCGGATGCCCAGCTCTCGGGCCGCCTTCTCGGCTTCGGCGTACACCGCCACCGCATACACCTTGATGCCCAGGAAGGCCACTTTCTTGGTGCGTGCGCCGGCCCCGATGCACCGCATCTCCTCTCCCAGCCTAGCGAGAGGGGTGGTGAGCGAGTGCCACACCTTGGAAGGGCAGATTTCCAGGCACCGGGGAGTCACAAGTGCTTGAACACTACAGGAGCCTGTTCCCTGCCACCATCCCCTGCCCACCAGAACTTTTGTACGAGGGGGAACTCCACTCCAGTCGAGGGCTCCTGGACAGTCAGACTTGCACATGAAATCACCGGTCGATGTGCCCTCCTGGGTGGCGACTTATGCACAGACGCTCCATGGCCTCCCTGTGGTGAGTGCAAGGCAAGGGAGGAGGTGACATCCGATGGAGGGGCATGGGTCCACCAATCTCGATCAAAATCCTTGTAGTTCGGTCTTCCAAGCCCCAAAACGACCAAAGACACTCACCTTGAATGTCTTAAAGCTTGAGCAACCAAGATGCTCGCCTCCCCGAGCAGTCATCTTTGAGGAATATGAATGGAGATCAGTAAAGGCTAGAACCCATGCCCAGGGCACCACCATTCTCCAGGGGCGCACACAGCAATGCACCTACCCTGGGACTCCATGTCGCATTGCCGTGCACTCCAGGCGGTATTACATTCCTCCTGCAGGTGTGGGTTTCGACCTGTGAGTACAGCTGCATGCGTTCCTGCGACCATACCGACACCCCTCCATGCTCGACCTTACCCTGCGAGGCTGGAGATCGCGAAAACAGGCGTCATTACACGCGATGATTGCAAAGTCAAGCTGAAACAAGGATTGCGGTTGTGTGGTATCCAGCGACCTCGTGGATGTTGGACTCTCTCTGATCTCCGAGAGCGACCACCCCGATTTGGTGTACACCGCAGGCACAGCACGGTAGTAAGAATTCCATCTCCATGACACCCTCTTCCTCCACGCAAGCAAGCATTCTTCATTCAACCAAGAGATTACATGCAACGTGCAGCTAGGCATGCACTGGGGGCTGTGGCACCTCCATTCAGCGGCGCTCTATAGTGTCAGCGAGAGGTGCGGACCCCTTGTTTCCTGTCTTCCTCGCGCTCCTCGTCGCTGTCAGCGACATCCACGCTCACCTCCACAAACGGCAGCATGGGCCCTGAGAAGGGAGCAGCATGGGAAGCCGTCAGGTGTGCGCGATGGGTTCTTGCAGGGAATGACTGTGCTTGCGGGCACCTGCCCCACACATCATTGCCCCACACGCCAGCTCTGCACCAGCTCTGACATGAGCTGGTCTTTGATGCCCAGCTTTGGACTCCCCCCCACCCCTTTTCCACAAGATGCACCAGACATCCACCCACCTCGCTGCGGCCGTCGCGGCGGGGGGTAGTACATGGCCGGATGGGGGGTCACTTCATGCAGCTGCAGGGACGGCCACGCCATCAGGACCTGGGGACGACTGGCGGGTGACCAGCTGGCGAGGGGTCGCACGACCATCTGCACGCTCGTGCTGGGCGAGGCCAGTGGAGAGGGGGCGACCCATCCGCCCATGCCCCGCTGACGTGGCGCCCTCGCCTCACCCGCCCCAGTCGACTGAGCCTCCAGGTCCTGGCTGGCGGCACGCGCGTGACCGCCGGGGGCGGGGTCCTCCTCCGCGCCGCCCTTGATGGCAAGATCCACACACCCTCCCGGCTGGACCACGATGACAGGCTGCTTGGAGGCCGAGGGACCTCCCGGGGCCAGACCATTCTCTTCTGCATCATCGACACCTGCGCAGGGAGGTCCAGGCGTTCCAGCATGCCCGGCACATGCTGCAGAAGCAGGCTGCATCTCATCGCCCATGCAGTCGATCCAAAGCATATCAGCCAAACACCAGCCATTATCCTTCTGGCCTACCCAGCCTCCACAACAACGCCCGGAACATGTATAGACATGCTCATGCAACGCACCATCTGGGGGATAGCCCTGCCTGCCGGTCGCGGCAGCTGCTGCGGCAGCTGCACGCATGCGCCTGGGCCTCCAGTACGACCTATTCAACATGACTAGGCATGCCGCGACCGACAGCACGATGGCCGCTGCTGTGAGGGTGGCGTACACAGCGGTGCCCCAGGCATAGTAATTTTGGGGCGAAGGGGGTGAGGGGGAGGGGGAGGGCGAAGGGAACGCGTTTGGCGATGGAGAAGTGCCGGGATCCATTCACGCTGAGACGGGGTTGGGTCTCGGGTCACTCGCGCATGGCCCGAGCAGCGGCGTTGTCTTGGGCCAGTGGCGTTGATTGCTCTGAGGGAGGAGACGCAGGTGGTGGGGCTCGGGGTGGCTGTCGGTGGATATACAGGGAGCTTCTGAGCAATTTTTATGGCCGTGTCACAGTGCTCCCTGACTGAACAACGCGTTGGCAGAACGATGCCGTCACGAATGTACACACTATGACAATAAATTACAGCTTGCTTTAAAGTCAATGATCCACTGAGTCGGTAGGATGTCAAATTTGGTCCTGACACCCGCGCCCAGGACTTTCCCGTCGGGACTTTCTTGGAGCGGACGTGTTGCAAAGTACAGCCTCTTACGATAAGAAACTGCCATTGCAATGCCCGTCCAGCCTGTACCATATCCTTTGCGGGCCACGTTTGCATTATACGTCAAAACCAGCGGCTCGAAGCTCCTCCGCTTCGTGTGTAGTGACGTCCTGGTGCGTCACCCCCTTGCCTACCGCTCCTATCCTGCTGCTGCCTCCCCCTCGCGGCTTCTCGCAGCTCGGAGGGGAATGTGCGTCAGATGCAAGCACCCCTGCATCTATTTGGGGATTGGCGCACTCCGACCTCAGATCCGGATCCGGGACGTACAGAAGCACCTCTTCGTGCTCCGCCCCGCCATCCTGGTTCCTGCACGCATCGGGAGGGGCTTGAAGGATCAGGATTCGGGAATTCTGAATTGCATCCAGAGCCTGTAAGCTGAGGCGGCGGCATCACGCCGCTCATCGTAAGCCCCAGCCATGTCAAAGGAGTCCCGAATCCGGCTTAACGTGCCTATCAGCCATCCTGACACCGAGTCCTCGTTGGACACTGGCTTCCGTGCACGTCCCAAGCTCAAAATTTGGCGATGATTCTTGGAGTCGATTTAGGAGTGTGGCCAATGGTGCGACAAGGCAACACTGGGCACAGGGAAGGGCTCAAGATTCACGGACCGTGTGGGTTCCTCGCAGCTTCGAAATCCGACGATTATGGGGCAGTCTCTTCCGCTGGGACTGTGCCGGCACCCCGCTCACACAATCGAGGCATGTACGCCACCCTGCCTCGGCCTCCAAGCAGGCTGCTGCCATCGCTGACGCCAGCCACCCAGGACCGGACCAGGTCCTGGTGGAGGAAGGGCTGCGCTGCCGCGACGATGCCCTCCAGCTCCTCCGTCCTGAATGCGAGGGGGATGGACCCCGCGAATAAGGTGGCACGGATTTTAAGATAGTGTCATCTCATCACCAGCGTGAGCTTCGGCCCTGTCTACGCATGTATACCGGGGTTTACCCAGCCCAGGGGTACCGATCTCAGCCGCGCACCCCCTGTCCGCCACCCACCCGAGGTAGCCCTTCCCTCCAGCGTCAAAGTAGCGGAAGGCCATGGTCAGGGAGACGGCGAGGTCCTTGTCGTTCAAGTGCGCGCCGCCGTTTCCACCCTCGCCGGGCTGCACTGGCGCGGACGCGGCGTCCTCCTCGGCGGCGACCTCCATCCCGCCCTGGCTGCGCAGCCGCTCCGCAAACACGAAATCGTCGTCCTGAAAGAGGCCTGCCAGGTCCCCGCCGAGGTCCGACCCGCCGGGCTCGCCGGTCGTGGATTTGTCTCCGGGTGCCTCCACTTCAAGCTCCACCGCGCCCGGAGATGCAGGGGTTACACCCCAAACGCCCGATTCCGCGCCGCTGGGCAGCTCGCTTGCCAGCGGACCAGGGCCGAGTGGCGACGGTCCCGGACTCAGTGCGGCAAGAGGCTCGCCGGACTCGGGCCCGACGTCGACCAGCACTGGGAGGGGCAGCTCTGCCGGTGTTGCCACCTCTGCAGCGGGTGCTTCGTTCGATTCAGGCCCCACTTCTGCCCCGGGTGCCGTCCTCGCGTGCAGCGCCGCCTCCACATCGGCTGCCGCCCCATCGATCGACGCCTCCTTTGCGGCTGCTCCCGCTTTCGCATGCGAGCCTGCGTTCACGTGCACCTGCTCAGTTGCTAGCACTGCCGTCACTTCTGCGAGCGGCGGCGTGTTCAGGTCGAGGTCCCCCTCGGCCTCAGGATTCCCTCCTCCTGCCGCCGCCTCCGTTCGTCCCATGCGCTCCCTCGGCCCTTTCGCGCTTCCCCGCCGCCGGCCTCCTCCGCCCGCGCGCGCGCGCTTGCGCTGGGCGCGCGCCGCCCGCGCGCGGGCTTGGCCATCCCGCCGCAGCGCCCCGATGATGATGCCGCTGTAGCGCAGGGCTAGCGCGTCGGCCAGCGCCTCCGCCAGCAGGGACAGCTCGAAGGTGCCCGCCCCTGTGTCCGACAGGTTGTAGTCCAGCAGGCCGTCCAGCGAGATGGACAGCGTGCGTAGCCTCACGCCCGCCCCGTGCATGCCCAGCGTGCACAGCGCGGGGCTGGGCGGGAGGGCGGCAGCGGCGGTGGCGACGGACCCCGCCGCGGGATTCGTGGCGACAGAATCTGGGGCCGCGGACCGTTCGACGGGGGATGAATCCATGGCTGCCTCGAGCACCGCGTCGACCGCCTCCGGCGCATCGCTCGGGGCCAGGCCAGGGACGGTGGACTGGGCCAGTCCGGGCGGGGGCGCCGTGCCTCCCTGAGCACGTGCCTCCGGCCCAGGCGAAGCCTGCGGGACGGCTGCCAGGGACACAACATCGGTATCAGACTTTGGAGAGGGCGCCAGTGCGGCAGCAGCGTCCGCCCCTTCCAGCCCCGCATCCAGCGCCTGCGTGAGATCCCCGACAGCCTCCGCCGGCTCCCCGGCAGGCTCGTTCAGCAGCCTGATGAAGTCCTCCTCCGCGGACCCTGCGGCGAGCGCCTCGCCGGGCTCTGTCGCGGCCTCCCCTTGCACGGTGGTTGCGGGGGGGACGTCACCCCGCGCCGTCTCAGGCTCGGCCTCTGGCCCAGGCCGCGGGGCTGCCCCCGGTCCTGCTGCGGCGGGGGTCTGGAGTCGCCGGGCCGCCTGGGCCTCTGCCCAGACCTGAGGCCAGCTCTCTTGATTCGGCAGGCACCTGCACAGCGGGGCCACGCAGAGGCATGTCGAGGTGCAGCATGAGGGGCTCATCAGGAGTGAGCCTGCAGGGCCGCCACGCCTGCGGCGCCCCGCCTGGCCAGCGGCGCCCTGGATGTCCAGCGACGCCCCAGATGGCACACCGCGCCCGCGGCGCCGCGTCAGCACCGCAGCACCAGGTGAACAATGCGCATTGGGTCCCAAGCACTCACGCTGAGGCGTCGACGAGGAACATGGACACGATCTCTGTGTGGTGCTCCAGCCCCTCCTCATCCAGCCTCTGCGGGAGCAAGGTGGCACACAAGCCAAGTCTCGTGCGATGGATACGTGCAAGGTGCAGCCGCTGCGGTTGTGTATCTCAGAACGCTGGCCGTATCTGGACTGAGGAAACATTGCCGTAGCATCAGTCTCAGACCCCAGGAACCCTCCCTTCCCAGAGCATACCTGGTAGGTGACATCCAGGAGCCGCAGCCACTTGTCGGTGGGGGCCAGGTCGACACCAGCCTGGAAAATCAGGGGGGAAGGTGTGACTGGCAAAGCCGAGCAAAAGCTCAGACCAGTGCCAGTGTGTTCCCGACCCTCTCCACGCACACCTGTATCCTGCAGTGCCGCTGTGCCGCCCTCCTGAGCACGCCGTTTTCGTCCCTGGCAGGATGGAGGGGCTGAGGCTGGGTCGTGCTGCTTGTACACCACGCACGGATTGTCAGGTGGAGGTTGGACGGAGAAATTAGTTCATGCCCCCGCCCAAAGCGCTGCAGCCCCCAGCACAGCCGCCCACCCGCCCACCTCTCGGCCACGAGACACCCATCCAGCGCGGCGTCCACGGGCCCGCCCAGGCACATGATCCCGCTGCGCCGTCCCTTCTCCTCTGCAGGGGCGGCGGAGGGAGGCGTGCGCTGGTGATTGCGGCTTCAGGCACACCTGAGCACCCACACATCCAGGATACTCCAGCCCACCGCGTCCCCGAGTCCCCAGGACCTCCCTCTCGGCGAAAGAGTTCGCGCCATCCGCCGCCCACCTGTCCGTGCCACCACAAACTTGAGCAGGCGCCGCAGGCTGTCCCCCTGCTTCGCGCCCGCGCCCTGGAGCGCCGCGGCACGCGCCTGCTCGGACAGGCCGGTGCTGAACACGACGCGCACGCTGCGCAGCTGGGCGCCACGCGGGACGTCCCGGGCGGGGGGCGAGGTCATGGTGTACCCCCCCGCCGCCGCGTCCTGGCACGGGACGGTCCAGGGTGGGCGAGCTGGAGCATCGAGCGGGGTGCACTGGGCAGCATTGATCGTCGCAGGCACGGGACTCACACCTGCACGCCAGGTCCAGGCCCCTCGGACCCCGTCCCCCCTCCTCATGCCCCTCGCGGAAACACACCCCTGCCGCCAGCACCTGTGGCGCCGGCGCGACGCCGTGGCTGACCGGGACCGCTCGGTGCAGAGACAGCGCCTCGGCCACGCCCAGGCCCCCCACCGCGTCGGCGTCCGAGGGGAAGTGGCGATCCACGCGCACGCAGTCCCTCTCCAGGGCCAGCCGGGGGTAGCGCCTGACGAGGTGGGCGTGGCCCAGCGTCGCGTCGGCGTAGGGCCTCGGTGCCGCGGGCGCAGCCCTCTGTGCGTGCCTGGAGGTTGGTTTGGGGGAGGAGCGTGGGGCCTGTTTGAATGTCTGGGAATGAGGTGTGCCGTCGGCCGAGGGTCACGCCGGGCTGACATTGCGGAGCGATCGCGCGGAGGCGGCACGGCGCTCGAGTCTGGATCGCATGGCATGCCAGGACCCCGGCGGGGGGGAGGGGAGCGCTCGCTCATCCCACCCGACCCTCCCATCCCTGTGCACCGCCAGGCACCGAGGTCCGCTGCAGCCCCACCGCCACCACCCACCTCGGCTCGGGCGACGGCAACCCTGCAGGTCCGGCCTTGCGCTTCGCCGCCGTCCTGGGGGAGCCGGCCGGCGCCGCGTCCCCACCCCGCGCCGCCGACCCCGCCCCTGGCCTCGCGTCGCCGCCGGCGCGGCTCCAGGCCGCAGGGGCCCGCTCCTCCGACCCGGCACGCTCCCGGGCCCTCCTGGGCGGCGTGGAGGACCGGGCCTCCCCGCGCCGTCCGGGTGCCGTCGACTCTGCGGTGATGGACAGCGGGTCGGCCGTGAGCGCTGCGCGACTGCAGACCGAGGCACCCTGAAACTCCCACCCTCTGACCGAGAATGGCCCGTGACTTCTGATACCTGGCCGGACGTCGGGGCGTGGCCCTCGCTGCAGACCCTGAGCGTGCGCCCCTGGCCTGCCGCCGCCGCCGTCGTTGCGCTCGGTGTCGTGCCTGGGCCCCCTCCCCCTCCCCCTCCCGGCCGGGCCGGGCTCCCGCCAGGCCGTCGCCGGCTGGCGCCCGCCACCCCGGCCGGGCGCGGCGCCGTGCCGTCCCCGCCCCGCCGACGGGGGCCCGGGCGCGGCCCGGCCTCCCACCTCCCCCGGCGCCGGGCCCTGGCGCCTCGGCGCCTGGGTGTACGCGGGCGCGCCCTGGGAAGGGTACCCCTGGGCCAGATGCACGGCGGGCGCTGCCTGCCGCTCCGCGCCGCCGGCGGCCACCGACTTCATGGGGACGGGGCCGCCCGCCGCGCCGCCCTGGGGCTGGCCCGAGGTGACCATGGAGCCCGGGGGGGGGGCAGAGCTGTACTCGCTCCCGCGCGTCCCCGGCCGGGGGAAGATCGGCGCCGCGGCGGGCGACGGGAAGCCCGGCACGCCGGTCACGGCTTGGGCGCCGTTCGCATAGGGGCCAGCGGCAGGGGCCGTCGTCATTGCCTGCTGCTGGCCGAGGTATGCTCTGGCGCCAGCAGCGCCAGGGGTGGTGACCGCCGCGTGCGAGTTTGAGGCGGCCAGGCCCTGCTGCAGTCTGCTCACCAGGCTCGGCTGCTGCTGCTGCGGCTGGTATGCACCAGGCTGTTGCTGCTGGTAGACACCAGGCCGCTGCCGCTGGTACACACCAGCTTGCGGCTGTTGCTGCTGGTAGGCACCAGCTTGCGGCTGTTGCTGCTGGTAGGCACCAGCTTGCGGCTGTTGCTGCTGGTACCCACCAGGCTGCTGAGACTGCTGCTGCTGGTAGGCACCAGGCTGGGTTTGCGCCTGAGCGGGGAGGATGCCCCCCCTCGACCCTGCGCCGCCGCCGCTCCCTTGCACGCCGCTGAACGGTCGTGCGTAGACAGGCTCACTACCCTGTCCGCCCAGCATCGGGGAGTGGCTGCTTGTAGGGGCATTGGCGCTCGGGCCGGGGACAAAGTGCGTCTGGTGCGTTGCGCCGGTGTAGCCCTGGCCATGGTTTGCAGAGAAGGGCCCCGGAGCCAAGGGCGACGGGGCCAGGCCCGGGGGTGCCGCCGTGGCGCTCGTGCTGTGGCCGTGCGGCGTGGGAGTCTGGGCGGGGGCCGCGCCGGGAATCCGCTCCCTGTGCGCCCGGCGGGGGTCGAACGGCTGATGGGAGGTGGCACGCGGGTGTGTGGGCGGGGCATAGCGCGGCTCCGGCTGCTGCTGCTGCTGCTGGTGCGAGGTGGGCCCGGCGGTCATGCCGCCGGGCCTTGGCGCAGGCTCGTGGCTCAGGTCCCGGGGGGCCGGAGGGATCATATGCGCCAGCCAGGCTGCCATAGGCGCTCATCCCCATCGGCTGCAGAGTGAATGTGGAGCAGAGGGTGAGAGAAAGATGACATTGCTGCCAGATGCACCTCGATGTCTTACAGTGTATCAGTGCCGACTTCGCGCAGAGGGCTCGAAGGCCATTGACACCCATGGCTTGCACAGACCTGGTTTGATATATTTCCGGCCTGATAGGAGGTGGCAGGCAGGGCTGTCGACTGGGCATACCCCTGGACACAAGGGTGGCACAGCGTTCTCAGGAACACAGATGAGGACCAGGCCCTACACAACAAAGAAATCCAATCTGAGGATACTCAACCATCATGCAGACAATGGGGATCCACCTCTATGTCCCTACCTGCTGCGCGGATGCGCCATATGCGTACTGCTGCTGTTGAGAGGGTGCTTGTGCCTGCAGGGTTCGCGCGGAGGCCAGTGGCGCATGCATGGCCAGCACAGGACTTGACAGGGACACAGAGGTCCACTTTCCAGGCGTCGTTCAAACCTGCCTTGCGGCTCAACCTCTCGCCACCCCCAGCACCCGTCACGGAGTTGCATGAACGCGATGCAGCAGATACGGGAACATTCACCAGCCCGAAACCTACAGTACCTGCTCTGAGGGCGTCATCCATTGAGAAGCGGCACCTGGCTGCCCTCCAGGTGCGTTCTGGTATAATCCCGGGGGTCCTTGCCCGTAGTGAGACATCTGGTGCAGATACTCGATGCGACACACACACTTCTTCAGATCAGCAGCTTACATTCACGTCTAAGCATCACCACGTGGACAAAAGGACTCGCTGCCCCATGAATGTGGTCCCGCGGTGCGCGCGCACGAATTTGAACTGGGGACCGAGCTAATGCACACCTTGGAGAAGATACCAATAATTGTGATCACACACAATATCGTCATACACTGTCCCTCCATCGGCCATCATGTCTCCCTCCGCAACGCCCAAGTGGGTGCCGGCCATCACCAAGCCGCTCTCTGCCATAGCCTCCCTGCCCGTCTCGCCGGATGATGGCAAGGTCGACATCAGCGCCCTGCAAGCAGCCCTCCTTCAGAGTGTTGGGAGCTGGGACCAGGTGCGCGCTATGGATCTCGCCCATCGAGGGTTGCTGTCCCGTCGTTCTCGTGCGCGGCCATGGTGTCAGGTGGAGGTACAGCTGGCGGGTGAGCATCTCGTTCTGCCAGCTTGCGCCGAGCCTGAGCATACACCTTGCAACACAGGTCCCCCTGCTCACCGATGATAATGTGGACGGCTTCCCCTGTGGGACCCTGGTTCGCTACACCGGCATGGTAAGCAATGGAGCTGGAGTGATGGGGTAGACAGTGCTAGACATCCTGGCACCTCAAGCTCATCATCCAGCATGTATGAAACGGACTCAACGTCCCATGCGCCGCTTTCCACCCCCCTTCCTCAACGTCATCACTGTTGTCCTGATCCCACCCACCAGGTGCAAGACATGTTGAACCCCGAATACTATGTGGGTGCCGTCCAGCTTGCAGACGGCTCCTGGGTGTCAGCCCGCTTCCAGGACCAGGTGAGGCAAGCTTCCCTGAGAGGGTGGAGCACGGCTGCAGCACCATGCGCTGTTCAGACCCCAGCGAGCACGCCCACATTCCCTGCGCGCTCAGCGCCACCTTGCCGGCTGCACCGTGCTCCCTGCCAGGTCAGTGAGTGCATGCCTTCCGGGGCACCCACAAAGATCGAGGAACGGCGCCCGCTCTTCCTCATTGCCCCGCCCGGCACGGCTGACTGGGCCAGGCCCGCCCCGGCGACCCCTCCTGAAGCCAAACCCTCGCCCAGTTGTGCTCGCGGTGGGGCCCTGGAATGTGGCTGTGGGGTTGGGCCGTGCCTGGGGGTGTTTGCAGTGTAGCCACTCCATGGCGGCAGGTCGGCATGTCCAGTTTGCGCATGTGCCACTCACCCTGGTACCCCCGTCTGTGCCAGGGCCTGGTGGGAAGAGGGAGCGTGATGCGGACGGCGCCAGCATGAATGCGGAGGAGGAGGCCCCCGCTGTGGTCTCACCCGCGGCACGCGCCAACCGGGGCAGCCTTGGCCAGCGGAGCACAGAGGATGGTCAGGCCCCCACACTGGACACATCCTGTGCAGCAGCTGCTCCGAGCCCCGTCGGCTGCATGGTGTATGTGAGTGCGGAATGGGGTGCCGGGGCTGCGCCAGAAGAGCTGGGGTGCTGGGAGAGGAGCTGCAACCTGCCCATGCTGGAGGGGAGGGCTTATGGCGGGAGCAGGCGCTCGCCGCTGCAAAGCAGCAGGTGGTCCCTGCCCATGATCGCCCTTCCCCCTGCGTTCCTCCAGGTGGTGGACGACCTCAAAGCTCCCGTCCTGAACGACATCGTCACCGTGGTCGGGATCTTGAGCATCGTCCCGGAGCTGGCGGCCTGCTGCCAGGTGGAGATGGGGACAGCATGCCAGGCCATGGGTGCTGATGGAAGAGCAGCGTCCTGGCGGCCTCTGCCCTGCCTCCTGCATCAGCCTGGATGACCACTCTCCCTGCACCCCAGCAGGAGGACGCCATGGACGCAGAGCTGGCAGGCAGCCACCCCCCCACCTCCCGCTGCCCCCGCCTCCACGCACTGGCCATCCTGCCCGGGCCCAGCCCAACCCCGGCCCCAGCCCCACTGCCGCCCAGCGCCATTGCAGAGGCCCGCCTGCGGACCATAGGCCTGCTGTCGCTGGTCCTGGGCGGCGACGACCTGGCGGCAGAGTACCTGCTCCTGCAGCTGGTCGGGAGGTGGGTGCTGGCGAGGGGAAGGGTCACCAGTGTCGCGCCAGCCAGGGGCCTGTCACATGGCAGGGACCGTATGGCGTCACTCCTGAATGGGTCATCGTTCTCTCCTCCGCCCAAACCCTCTACCCCCAACCCACCTGCCTCCGTGTACACAGGGTGCATGCGAGGAGGGAGGATGCCGGCGTCATTGGCACGGGCTCCCTCAACCTGACCGGCTGCCCCGCCGGGCAGGCCTCTGGTCCCGCCTCCCTGTCCTCCCTGGGCCAGGCACTGGCACTGGCACTACAGGCCCTCATGCCGCGCTCGGTGTGCCTGGGCCTCACCACCTCCCAGGTAGTTGGTGTGGGCATGGTAGGTCGCACGGGCATTCTGGACTGGTGTTCAGGAGGAATGTCAGACCCCGGCAAACCTGCAGAGTCAATCCGTGTGTGTGTCACTCGTTTCGGCCCTTGCCGAATCTCAGCGGGTTTGAGGTGGTCTGAGGAGCCTGGCCCCTGGTGGACGAGGCTGGGTGGGGCTGGCGTGGGATGCTGGCCCGTGGGGCAAGACTCACCTTGTGTTCAATCCCTGCCACACCACCTGCAGCTCACCGCCAGGCCTTGGTGGCCCCGCCGGGATCAGAACACGCAGCGTCTGCTGGAGGGGAGGCTTCAGATGGCCAAGGGGACGCAGGTAGGGAAGAGAAAAGGGTGGTTCCTCGATGTGGAGTACGAGCAGCGTTGTGTTCCAGTGCAGCGCAAGACATTGCGTCGTGCTCGGTCGCTGTGCAAGGGCCAGAACCTGCCTTGGAATGAGTGTAAGCGTGATGGTACCTGTCTCCGCGGTTTGGAGCTCACATAGACCGCTTCATCCTGACCCAGCCCTCATCCAGCCACCCTTGCCACTCCCCAGGTTCTGCTGGACGAGACTGTCATGTCGGCAGGCACCCTCAACGAAGTCGGCGTGCGTAATCTTCAGGTATCGAGGTTTAGGGGCGTGGTGATAGTTCTGGATGGAGCATCAGGGAGAAGGAGCCGACCTGAGGTACAGCTGTCGAGACCCTGAGCCTGTTGTACATGCCAACAATATCCCTTTGCACCCCAAAACGAGTGCCTGCATACGTCCTGCACTCATCTTGTCATACAGGCCTCTTCTCTAGATAGGTGTCAACAACCCACCCACCACCCTCCCCCAGGCGGTGGATGTGCTCGTCCGCACACAAAAAGTGGCCTATGACTTCGAATTCTTCTCCCTGGATCAAGAGGCAGATGCCCCCGTCACCGTCCTGTCCTGCGGTCGTTCACTGCTAAAGGACGCGCTGGGCACGAGCCTGCCCTTGGCTCCAACCGCGCCGCTGGGTGAGGGGAGGCTGCCGTGAGCTGCGCCAGGCTGCGGTTGAAAGTGTTGCCCGGCACGCCCATCATCAGTGCGAAACGTGACATTGCAGCGAGCCAGAATCCCTCCCCAATCATGCGCCTCTTCCCTATCTCCACAGCCGAGCCGGAGAGCCTGGCGAGCATGCTGCAGACGTCCAGCCTGGACGGCGTGAGGGAGTACCTGGCTGCTGTGAGGGCGCTTGACTTTACTATTCCCTCACATGTAGCCGAAGTGGTGGAGAAAGGTGAGGGGGATTTGTGTGTAGTGCGACCAGCATGCAGAATGTTTCAAGTCACAGACTTCCCTAGCTGCCCCTGGGCTCACGAGAATCTAGTTTTCTTTCCCCCTACAGACCTAACCAGCGCGCGGCAGAAGGACGCAGCTATTACGCCGGCCAGTCTGCACCACTTACTCAATGTAGGACATGAAATGTACAGTTTTGGATGGTGGGACGACCCTTTTAGTCACCTCAGGGACTGGCAGTCGTCAGCACTGGCCTGGCTTCTGGATGCACCCTGCAGAGACTGTTCAAAGAAGCATCACCCCTCCCGTATCGCCCCTCAAAAACCATCATGGCAGGTGGCACGCCTGCTGGCGGTGAGCCACGGCGAGGCGGAGTTGACGGCCGGCCGCTGGGCGGCGGTGCAGTCCATGGAGCTGCGACGGAGCGCCCGCTGCAATCCCACGCCCAGTGCCTGAGGCAGGCTGGTCGGCGCGCCGACCATCCTGCATCGCACGCCCTGCCCAGCGCCCATCCCCATCCCCAAACCGCCTCTGCCCCTCCACCTCCACCTGGGCTGTGGCCTGGGCAAGTACATGTCTGACAGCATGCAATTCAAGTTCAAACTGAGTCATGTGGGGCAACCTGCGCGGTGCAGCCCTGAGCAAGCAAAGCAGGGGAAAATCCGGGAGTGCAGTAGTGCGGTGTTCACGCGCGAGAAGGCTGGGGCCTCCGTCATTCACAGGCCAGCGTGGGTGAGTGCAAGGGAGGAGGAGTGCGGGGAGGGGGGTAAACCCTTTGGGGTTGCGGGTCTGAACTCGGGGTTGCGGGTCTGAAAGGGGGGAAGGGCGGGGGGGGGGAGGGGAGGGGAAGCGAACTCCCGGGTCGTATGGTGGGCTGCGCAGCCCAGCACGCAGAGTCAGCCGGGAAAGGGGGTGAGCGCGAGAGGCGTGAAGTAGGCGGGGCAGGACCTCTGCGCGCACAGGGCAGCCGCGGGGCTCGGCCTGGCACGCTTGGCGACACCCTCGCCCACCAGGCTCTCGCCTGAGCACCTGCCCTGGTGCGGCGACAGCTCCTCGCCGCCCAAGTCATCCCACAACCCGTCCAGGTCCGGCAGCGGGCCCAGCTCGAAGGGCGAGGCCAGGGAGGCGGCGCGGCACCCCAGCGCCAGCGCCTGCCGCTCCAGGTGCGGCGGCGGCGTGGCGTCCAGCAGGCGCAGCGCGTGCCACTCCCCCGCCTCCACCGCCAGCGGCGGGTTGGCGTGCCCGGCGGGTGCCACCGCCGCGCCCAGCCCCGGCGTGCCCCTGCCGCCGAGGAGCGCGGGCGGGGGGGACGTCGCGTGCACCTCCGCGCCCTCGATGCTCATGCTCAGCGCCTCCAGCGCAGACTGGTACGCGTCGGCGCCCAGCGACGCGTTCTCCTCAGGCGAGGAGCCCTGGAACAGGTCCAGGCTGGAGCTGGCGGAGGCGGCGGCGCTGCGGTCGGGCGCAGCCGCCGGCGGCCAGGCCGGGTTCGGGCTGCGGGGTGGGGCGGGGGCCGCGCCCAGCGAGCAGGTGCCGCTGTGCAAGCTGCTGATGGGCGAGGGCAGGTTCTGGTAGGGGTAGCACTCGGGCACCAGGGCGCCGCCTGCCAGCGACACGCTGGGGAAGGCGCCAGGGGCGGGCCACAGCGGGCGCAGCGGGCCGGCGCCGCGGCCGCAGCCCTCCGCGCCAGGCGGGCGCGGGAGGTACGAGGCCGGGCGCGAGAGGGGGGAGCTCGCGTCCAGTACGCGGCCCCGTGCAAAGGGCCTACCCGCGGCGCCCATGCCAGGGCGGGGGCTGGCGGGGCTGGATGGCTGGGAGGCGCCGGCGCTCGTGTGGCCGCCGAGCGACTGGGAGGAACGCTCCCCCCAGTACTGGAGCAGGCCTGCATGGTGGAGGCGGGGGAATGCAGGACTCAGCCTGGCGTGCAGACTTCCAGAAGGGGCGCACATCCCCGTCATGCCTGGGCGCAGATCCAGGGCCCTGCCCGGACGCGGGCCTGGCCCGAGGGGCAAACCCGGGCGCGTCGTTGCCATCCCAGAACTCCCGCCCCCGTCACCACGACCCGCCAGCTTCAAGGCCCCACCTCTGAAGGCCGTCTGCTGCATGGGCGTCTCGAACACGAGCCACCAGGTCATGTCGCGCGCGGCGCACTGCCAGCTGGGCTTGCCCAACCCCGGGAGTAAGGGGAACTCCTTCTGCTCGGCGCCGTGCAGGTGCAGGGTGCTCACGGCGGCACGGCCCCTGCGGTCGTACACCGCCAGGCGCAGCTGGGCTGCGCCGCCGACGCGGCTCTCCAGCACGGCGCGAACCCCCGCCATGCGTCGCGCGCCGCCGGAAGCAGACCACGGCGCGCGGAAGACCAGGGTCAGGCCGTGGATGGGGGGGACCTCCGTCGGGCGCCAGGTGTGCTGGGGGAGGGGGGGGCTGGGGCGTGGGGCCCAGCCGGTCATGGAGGAGATCTGGAGGAGGGCAAGGGGGGTGGAGGTGGGCGTGAATGGCGGGTGGCTGGCACCTCCCAGCCCTCATATGCGAGGACGGAGGGCACCGGGTTCGAGGCCTGCGGGCACCGGGCTCATGGAGCTCACACTCGCTGCATGTAAGGCTGGCCCTGCGGCAACTTCCCGTGGCCCCCGCGCGGCCCCGAGCAGGCCACAAATCAGCCCTCGCAACCCCATGCGCTGTGGAAATAAACTCACACATGCATCTGCTGACATGCTTGAGGCGAGGGGCAGCCTCGTGATCCGCGGAGCCTCCCGAAGGGGCCTGCGGGCAAGGTTAAGGGCACGCAGAGGGCACTCAATGCGGAGCGCGGACAGCGCGGGGCACAGTGCTAGGGGTCGCGCGACATGTGCATTTCGCCACCGGAGTACACACACACCTTGGTTCAGGGCTGGGAATGGGCCGGCGAGCGAGTCCCAGCCACGGGGTGCAAGCTTCCGAGGAACTACGGCGAGGCAGTGGTCGCCCGTGAAAAGCTCACAAATATTAGTTTCTGAAAGTGCCTCTACTCCCGTAGTAACTGGGCTCTTAAATAGTAAACACCTCGGAAGGGCGGCGGGGAGAGAATATTCACTTCCTCCCTGGCTCCTGCTTGTTTGGACCGAAGGCTGTACGACCCCCTGCTAGGCAGCCAGCAGCATCCCACTCCTCCCGTTGCGGACCCAGGGACAGGTGTCACCCGTTCGACAGGGTTGCTGCGCGGCTGGCGAGCACCTGGCAACGAAGGCGAGGATACTGCCGCGATCTTGACAGACCGTTGTAAATGCAGCAAGCTTGACAGGCATTGCGCCAGAATTGTGGGCATACCTCGCGACTAGTTCTTGGTGTGCGCTGCCCGCCGACCCCCAGCGGTCGGTGCCGGAAGGCTCGCAGGTGTAGGTCGAAGCTTCTCCAGCTTCCTTGATATCCTTCAGCCGTGCGTGGGCACGACGTAGTTGTCTTCTGCCATAATCTGCCCGGTTTGCACCGGGACGGTGTATGTACCCGGTGACAAGCTTCGATGAGCCAAGTGGGCCTCGAACAGCTCATACAGCGGGCCATACCCAGGTCTAGCGCACCACCAGCGTTGATGGGAGATGCGTTTGCACAACTTTGTTTCTGATTCGGTGATACTGTCAGGGTTTGCCGACCCTCCAGTGGCGGCCTCTAAACCTTCACGAGAGCTTGTGCAGGAAGGACAGCTGCACCAAGAAAACAATTACTCAAATGCTGGGCTCTGCATGTGGAGTCTACAGGAATCTACATCATTTTGACATGGTACTTTGTACCCGGCAGCTCCTGCACGTGCCTGGAAGTTTATGGGGAAAGTGCAAGGGCCGGGAAGGTGAATCTTGCCCATGACATCTCGAGCGACACAACACCTCGCAAATTCGACAAGATCGGTATGTCAATTCTTGTCCTCCCTTGTGTTGCTGGTGCGCGAGGGAAGGCTGCAGTAAAGGCTTTTTGAACGTCCCGCACCGAGCCGCTGTCTGTGCACGTGGGGTCCTCACATGGCCGGAGGAACCCCATCGAACAATTGCGAGGCATCACAGGTTTCCCGCTGGAGTGCACTATAATTGAGCAACTGGGCCCAAATTCGGCTACCGAAGTGGCGTGAGGAGTCCCACCTTGTTCCTCTGGGGCGTGACCATTCACGTGTGGAAACCCCGTGACGGGCCGCATCCAGTGGCCTCAGTAGCTAGGGCTTGCATGGGGTCAAAGTTATGTATATGATGATCTTCGCATAAGTCGTCACATCCACCTCTGGCCAGCGTCGGCCTCCATGGCTGTTGCCCCTATGCCGGGTCCAGAGATGGAAATGCCCGAACCCGCTTCAACCGAGCCATTCAAGTGGACTGCCGGGAAGATAGTTTTGAGCATATTCCTCTTTCTGGTTGCATCAGTGGCAGAGATCGGTGGAGGCTGGCTCTGGTGGCAGACTCTGCGGGAATCAAAGCCCTGGTGGCTCGCTGTTCTAGGTTCGGGCGTGCTCATCCTGTACGGCGTCATACCAACCTTTCAGCCCACAGACAATTTTGGAAGGGTGAGTGGGTATGTTGGGCACTCGTACTTCCCGGCTTGCTGCTGAGAAGGCCCGAGATCCAAGCGATGCTGTGCTAGCTGGGGACACGTGAACAATAATTCTTGATGGGTCCCTCAACGAGGACCTGGATCTGAACACTCGTCAAGCTGTTCCTCTTCATCAACAAACCCCCTTGCAGATCTACGCCGTGTACGGTGGATTCTTCATCATCATGTCATACTTGTGGGGCTGGGCCATCGACAAGCAGCGCCCTGACACTGGCGATTGGATCGGGACGGCGATTGCGCTCGCAGGCGTGTGCGTCGCCTTCTTCTGGCCACGATGACCCTTGGCGTCCTGCGGCTCCTGGACGCACCCATTGCCTCACCTTGACCAGACTGTGGGGACTGCCTGGCAGGCCCTCCTCGTATCACACTTGCAGTCCGCACATTGTTCATGTGTACCCTATTCTGTATGCAAGCCTTCACATCAATTACTCATACGTTCTCCACCCTCCGCCTGCCTTTGAGTTTCGATTCACATTTCTGTGGTCTAAACCTGCAGATATGCCCGGCATCTTGTCAATGGCTTTGCTCGCCCTCCCCAGTAATAATCACCTCCTCATTCTGCTCCGTACATCTTCATGCCTTTTCATGTTGTAGAAAGACTGACGCGTGGTGTTAGGCTTGCAAACCCTAGAGTTTGCCTGTAACGGGGGCTAAAGGGAGTGTGTTATGAAGTCAATCTCCCTGCTCTCCCCCCCATCTACAGACCCAAGAACTCATCTTATGCGCGGGCAATTCTTCCAATTGCACCCCAAAAGCCTCCAGTTGACGGCCGTCTGAGAAGCTCAGTGGCTCCATTGGCCACCTGCCGGCTGCACGTGTGCCACGGTGGAAGGCCGGAAAACCCTTCATCGTGTGCAAGGGCGAAGGGTGTCAACACCTCTGTCTACATGCAAGATCCGGTTAGCTGGCGAAGAACGTGTTCCATATAACATCCTTCTGCCCAATAACCATCCGAGATCATGGTGAGCTCGCCCCGCCTCCAAGGGTTGAGGGGCCTGCTGCCGTGCACTGCTTCGGCAACCTCACACAACCCTGATCCCCCTCCCTCGCAGTCGGCCGCCGCGTACATCGAGGAGCACAACATCCAGAAGGTCGTCGAGGAGGTCATCAATGCCACCATCAAGGCCAAGCCCTCCAACCCCTTCTCCTTCATGGTGCGCTGAACCTCCGGCCGGTATTGACACGACTGCGGTACTACTCCCCTGGGCGGACAAGTCCGTGCATGCAATTATCGCGTATGATTCATTCCGAGCCTCGCACATCCGCTGGGCGCAGGCTGACGAGGTGCGCAAGCAGGCCCCTGCTGCCATCACCGCCGTGCACGCCCGCCAGATTTACGATTCCCGCGGCAACCCGACCGTCGAGGCGGAGGTGACCACCAGCCTGGGAGTATTCCGCGCCGCGGTGCCCTCCGGCGCCTCCACGGGCGTGCACGAGGCCGTGGAGATGCGCGATGGCGACAAGAGCAAGTACATGGGCAAGGGCGTGCTCACGGCGGTGGCCAACGTGAATGACAAGATCGCCCCCGCCGTCATCGTGAGCCTAGGGTTTGGGGGTCTGATGATGCACGCGTGGAAGTGGTGACGTTTTCAGTGTCGCAGGACTGGGCACAAGGGTTCTCCGTTGTGAATTTATGATGCGAGACGGTGACTCAGGGGCTATCGGGTACACAGACCTGTCATGCACTCGGTGGAAACAAGTCCTGTTGCCCTGCCTCTCGTTCCTTCCTTCCCACATGCTCCCCGGCACTCATGTGTGCTCTATTCAGCCGCCTAGCATGTGCTCCACCTCCCTGCCCCACCCCTTCTCCCTCTCTGAAACCCCCCTCAACCGCCGCCGCCGCAGGGCCTGGACCCCCGCGAGCAGGAGAAGGTGGACCAGACCATGCGTGACCTGGACGGCACCCCCAACAAGGCCAACCTGGGCGCCAATGCCATCCTGGCGGTCTCCCTGGCCGTCGCGCGTGCCGGCGCCGCCGAGAAGGGTGTCCCCCTCTACAAGCACATCGCCGACCTGGCGGGAAACACCAAGCTGGTCCTTCCCGTGCCCTCCTTCAATATCATCAACGGCGGCTGCCACGCCGGCAACGCCCTGGCCTTCCAGGAGTTCATGATTATGCCCGTCGGCGCCTCCAGCTTCGCCGAGGCCATGCAGGTGGGTGCTCGTGTGCGTTGGGGTTCTTGGGGGAGAAGGGAGGTGCCAAAGGATCTATGCATTCGTGATTGCTGAGCCAAGGATCACACAGATGGGCTTGGGAATGCATGGATTGGCGTTTGGCAGCAGGTCACCGCAGCAGTCAGTCTCGTGCGCGGCGCAATCGGCAAGCGCTGCTCGTACTGGCTGGCCGAGCCCTGAGGGAGGTTTCCCCTGTGCCTCATTGTTCTATCCCATGGAGGAGCCGTGGGCATCCAGGGCACCTCCCACTTCCATCCCCACCCTCACCCCTCATCCCCTCAACCAACCCCTCCCCAGTTTGGGTCTGAGGTGTACCACCACCTGAAGTCCATCATCAAGAAGGAGTATGGCCTGGACGCAGGCAATGTGGGCGACGAGGGTGGTTTTGCCCCCCCCATCCAGTCCACCATCGCGGGGCTGGAGCTGGTGGTGAAGGCCATCGAGGCTGCGGGGCACACCGGCAAGATCAAGATCGCCATGGACGCGGCGGCCAGCGAGTTCTACGACGAGAAGAGCCAGACCTACGACCTGGCCTTCAAGTCGGAGCCCAACGACGGCTCCCAGCGCAAGAGCCAGGAGGAGATCCGCGCCTTCTACAAGGAACTGGCTACCTCCTACCCCATCATCTCCATCGAGGACCCCTTTGACCAGGACGACTGGGAGACCTACGCTGCGCTGACCGCCGACCTGGACGTCCAGATCGTGGGCGACGACCTGCTGTGCACCAACCCTGTGCGCGTGCAGAAGGCCATCGACACCAAGGCCTGCAATGCCCTCCTGCTCAAGGTCAACCAGATCGGGTCGGTGACCGAGTCCATCCAGGCCGTCAACCTGTCCAAGAGCGCTGGGTTCGGGGTCATGACCTCCCACCGCTCGGGCGAGACCGAGGACACCTTCATCGCCGACCTGGCCGTCGGGCTGGCCACCGGCCAGATCAAGACGGGCGCGCCCTGCCGGTCGGAGCGCCTGGCCAAGTACAACCAGCTGCTGCGCATCGAGGAGGAGCTGGGCGCCGACGCGGGTATGTGTGGGGCTTTGTTTGTTGGTGTTGGTGTTGGTGTTGGTGTTGTTGCCATGTTGTTTTTCTTTATCTCATTGTGTTGTTTGGAGGGGGTTTGGGTCGTGGGTGTGTGATTCGCCCCCCGCACGCCGTCGACTCGCCACCCCACTCACCGGCAATCCTCACCCCTGTCGCAGTGTACGCCGGCGAGAGCTGGAGGTTCATCGCCAACGCCTGATTGATTGGAACTCACAAAGCGGCCCACGGCTTCGAACGTCCCGTGTCAATTGCGTGGGGTGTGCCAGAGTTTCTGTGCCACCGATGCTCACCCTAGGAGGGGATGCCCTTTGACATTCATGTGTGCCTGCATGCACGTTTGTATCAGTCTCACCACACCTTGAAGGTTTTGGGGAGGGGGGGGGAAGTCGGAATGGAAACCCTAGGGCAGCATGACGCGAACAACACGTGACGCGAGAGGGGCCGAAAACATCGGTCAAATACGCAAGTATATCGAACAATTGATGTCATGCACATTTTTTGCCTGATTGCTGGATCCATCGAGGCATTTCTCCCGGACCCACTCCGCGCCGCAGTTCAGGCCCCTGCAAGAAGAGATGATGGCCACTCCTTGCCTGCCGGGCCTCGTCATTCGGCCTGCAACCGACAAGGACATCGACACCATCGCGCGATATGGGGCTGCCATCGCACAGGTAGATTGGTGACTTCCTCGGACCTGTGAGTCTGCATGGTGGTTGAGCATTGTGCACAGCTACTGAAAACTCATGAATTTCCAACCAATGCAGGAGACCGAGGACTTGACCCTTGAGACCAAGGTCATCACCGCGGGGGTTGCTGCCGCAATTGCAGACCCCAGCAAGGCACGGTATCTCATCGCTGAGGTGGGTTACAGCTCGAGGGTGTGGGGTTGGGGCGGGCAAGGATGGCCTGGGAATGACCGGCACTGCTTCTCTTCAGCCGCGTGATACAGGGGCAGCCAGATCTGTGTTCTCCAATCGAATGCAGGTGGATGGAGCCCCAGTGGGGAGCCTCATGCTGCAGAAGGAGTGGTCTGACTGGTGAGAGGCCCTGGCATGTGCTCGCATGAATGCCAGGGGTTTATGGGGAGGAGCACATTCCAACAGGGTCATATTTTTAAAGGCTCGCTGAGGATACGCCAATGGTACCAGATCGCATCCCCCACCACATCAATCTGTGTGCTGCCTGCAGGCGGAATGCAGAGTACTGGTGGATTCACAGCGTCTATGTGGTTCAGGACCACCGCGGGACCGGCACTTTCAAAGCCATGTACGAGTATGTGGAGAAGGAGGCGCGGGAGGCTGGTGCGGCAGGGCTGAAGCTGTACACCGAGACCACCAACGAGAGGGCACAGAAGGCGTACACGAAGATGGGGATGGAGAACCACGCCCTAGTTTTCGAGAACGTCTGGCTGAAGCACTGAAGTCAGGCTCCATGACCTGTGTGCAATGCGTGTCACTCCTCAGAAAGCATTCCAGAGTGAGATCATGTGCACATGGTTGCGAGCATCATCACCGTCAGCATGCGAAGCATTGAGGAATGACCAGGGACCGCGCAGCATCACGTCCACCAGACCCAGACCTCTTCTGGCAATCGAAAAAGAGTGAAAACTTCCCGAGGTATCGTGCGAGTGTGCCCTTTCCGATTCTGTGAGCAGGGATGCGGAGGACGTGATCGTCGTCCAAACCCGGGTACACACGTGTACACCCGAGTGTGTGCGATGCGGGGTTCCAAGGTGCTGGCTCGTTCTGCCGGCAAAGGCCTGCGGGCCTTCGCCTCGGGCCAGAGGGGATCGGACAAGGTGGGTGGCCGGCTCAGGGACTGGGGCCGTCTTGATTCCAGGACCCATCGGATCCCCGCGCTCAGCCATCCCCATCCCCTTCCCTGCCTCAGTCCGGGGCCAAGCCTGGCGAGGCGGTGTTTGTGTCCGCCAAGCAAGCCCGCAACCACCCCGCTGCCATCGCCAAGGCTGGTCCTCGTGCCAGCCCCCCAGTGCCGGCAGCAGGCAAGCCCGGGCCCGTGCCTGTCCCGCCTCCCGGGCCACCTCCGAGTACTGGGCCGGGAGCCGGTCCCGGTGCCGGGCCGGGTGCTGCCCCATCGACCAACTGGCTGCTGAGCAAGAGCCTCCCTGTGGACGTGCGCCTGCTGGGTCTGGGGCTGGCCGGGACGGCCGCGGCAGCATACGCGGTCTGGGACGGCGGCGACAAGGCCCCTGGGTCGAGTGCAGGGGGAAAGACAGACCCGGGATCTCTAGAGTCGGGGCCCGTTCCGCTGGCAAAGGAGCCTCATGAGCTGCAGGACCCTTATGCGGTCACGCCCCCGCCCGAGGAGGAAAGGGAGGAGCATGTGCGTGGGCCGGACGCGACGCCCAGCGGGGCCCCTGAGTCTGATGCCGAGGCGGCGGCGCATCCACGCCCCGCCGGCCAGGATGACGGCGAGGGCGACGCCGGCGAGGCGGAGGCTGTGTATGTGGACAGCAATGAGGTGCTGGCCGCACTTCAGGACGTGCTGGGCAAGGATGCCGATGCCATGATGAGGGAGACGGAGGCTGCCCTGGGGCGGGGCGGCGGCGGGGGTGCCTCATCCCCTGACAGCCCCCCGTCACCAGTGGAGGCGGAGGCGGCAGCGTCTCAGGCTGGCTCTGCTGGCGCACCTGGTGAAGCCGCCGCTCCTCAATCCCAGCAGTCTGGCGCGGCCCCCGGCAAGCCCGACGCTGAAGCAGAGGACAGGGAGGGGTCCAAGCGCCCCGCCCAGGCCGCGACGGCACCGCCCGCCTCGGCCCCCTCCGCCCCCCCCGCCCCGGCCCGCAGCAGCGTGAAGGCCTCGGGGCGGGACCGCACCGTTGCGGAGCACATGTCGGCCCTGCACGGCGCCATCTCCGACTCGGTTGCGGAGCAGGTGGCCAGCGACGTGTCCAAGGCCGGGGTCAAAGGCCCGCCCCGGCCGCGCGTGCCGCTCAAGCCCGGGCAGGCGCCCGGCGGCGGCGACCGCGGCGCGGTCGCCGCAGACGGACCGCCCACTGCCTTGCCGGCGCACGCGTCCTCCGCGTCCACGCTGGCCGGGCTGAGCGCCGGGGCCCGCGCCGCGCTGGGCCTGCGCGCCGACCTGACCCCGGCGGGGCTGCTGGACGCGGCGGCGCGGCGCGGCCGCGGCGCGGGCGACGACTGGCAGGACTTCAAACCGCGGCACCGCCAGGCGGTGGAGGATGCGGCGACGCTGGCCGCGGTGCTGGAAGGCGCGGCGCAGCACGTCCAGGGCGAGCTGGCAGAGCTGCAGGCGCGCCTGGCAGCGCAAAGGCGCGAGGCCGAGGCGGCGGCCGCCGCGGCGGAGGCCGCCGCGCGCGACGGCGCGGCGCGCGAGCGTGCGCGCCACAAGCGTGCGCTGGAGGGCCAGGCGCGCGAGCTGGCGCTGGCACATGCGCGTGCGGTGGAGACTGAGCGCCGCGCGCGGGCGCCGGAGCTGGACGCCGCGCGCCTGCGCCTGGCCGCGCTGGAGACCGCCTTCCGCCGTCGCTCCGACGAGCGGCGGTCCAGCGCCGCTGCGCACGCCATCACGCTGGGCGCGCTGGGCGTAAATGTGAGCTGCTGTTTTGCGGGGTTGGGGCAGTGAGGAGGGGGTGCGGCAGGGGGAGGGGGTGTGGGCGAGGGGGGAGGGGTGTGGCAGGGATGAGGCTTGTTGGTGTGGGCATACGCTCACCTCTGGGCGTAGCAGACGCTGCGTGAGGCGCTGCCGGTCTGCTCAGCGCAACCACCGACGCCCAGAGGCAGGTCGCGTCTGTTACCTCCACATTCTCTCTTTCCAACTCAACTCAGGCTGCTCTGGAGCAGGGCCTCCCCCTGAAGGAGCCGCTGGGCATGCTGGGGTCCGCTGCCGCCGATGACCGCCTCGTGGCTGCCACGCTGGCGGCGGTGAGTCGAAGGGGAGGGATTGAGTGGCTTTGGGCCCACCGCACGGGCATGCTTGCAGGCGCGTTTTGGCCACAACCCTGCTCGTTATGGCATGCAGTGGGCGTCGCAGAGGCTTTTGGCGACTCTTTTGGAGGCATGAACCCCGTCCTGTTGAGAGTGACTGTGTGACAGCACAAGGCGTGTATTGCTTCGCCTGGTCCCAGTCACCCGTCTCCAGTGCGCGCCATGCCCTCCCCCCTGCACAGCTGCCTGCGGATGGCGCCCCACTGCCCACGCGCACCCAGCTGGCGGAGGAGCTTGCGAAGGTGGAAAGCACCGCCAAAGAGCTGGGCTTCCTGCCCGCAGAGGGCGGGGGCCCTCTCACCCTTGCCGTGGCAAAGCTCGCAGCCAAACTCAAGGTGCGTATTCTGGGGTGGGGGGATGTGGTTTCCAAGACATCCATAGATAGAAAGGAATGATACGCAAAGGCTGGACGCTCACCTGTGCATCATCCTTTGCGTCACCATGCACCTGCTGCAGCGCCGCCCGACCCCGACCCCTTCCGCAATCTTGGCAGGTGTCGGAGCGCGGAACACCCCAGGCGGGGGCGTCCTCCTCCCCCACCCTGGACCAGGCCCTGGCGCGCGCCAGGGACGAGCTGGCCAAGGGGCGCCTCACCCACGCTGCGGCTGCCCTAGAGAGCGCCGCCGGCGGAACAGCAGCGGGGCCCCTGGTACAGGCCTGGGTGTCCGATGCGCGGCGGCGTGCCGTGGTGGAGCAGGGTGCCAGGCTCTTGGGCGCCCATGCAGCTGCGATATCCGCGTCGCTGACCTGAGGGTGACTGCTGTGTCCATGCCCACTGTCTTGCTCAGGGCAGAACAGCATGCGCCCGGCAGCGTGACCAAAGATGGTAAGCTTTGCTCCTCACAGAGGATGTCTGTTGCTGCACAATATCTTGAAACGAAGCGCCCCGCGAGAGGCTGTGGAGTTATGAGAGCAAAGGCAGGATGAGGTTCGCAGACGGATATCCAAAACGAACACCATTCTACATGACTTCTCTTCCGAAGCATATTAAGCTGGATTCCTCTTTCCTTCATGGTTCGTTCATACCATCCAGAACACATCCGATCCCATTAGACCTCGGTAATTAAGCTGGATTGGGCGGGAATAGTACTGCGGTGGGTGACCACGTGGGAAGTCCCCGTGACGAACTGTTTTTGCTAACATTCCACATTTGGTCGTTACGATGAATGATAGTGTTTCAGCAGACACGTATCTAGACATCGGACCAGCGATGGAGGGCACACCATTTTGGTCGCACTGGTAGGGGCATGGTGCGCTCTATCACGGTAGGTGCCGGAATTTCACCATGTTTGTCAGTCGCATGGCTCAGGCCGGGAACGCTGCCCACGCAGTGACTTCCACACATCGCCAGCACTGGGAATCCTCCTCCACCACCAGGCCCTGGCCCTGCCTGAGCTCAGGTTCTCCTTAGGCACATTGCCAGCACCCGACTCCGCCACATTTCCAGCTTTGATCCCCTGCTCAGTTGCAGCACACAGCTCCCTCTCCTTACCATCAGAACTCTCGGAGCCTGATGCTGGATGACCAGGAGATTCCGCTGCTGTCGTTCCTTGACCCTCCTTTCCTCGGCTTACCAGGCCTCTGGCTGCAGCCAGCGCCCTGTCTGTCCAGGCCCCAGCCGCTGCCACCGAGCCACTCACAGCCGCCTGGCCAGCTTCTCCCGCCCCAGCCACCACCTGCCTGACGTGCGACACTCTGCGGCCCACTTGGCTCCCCGTGTCATCCAGGGCGCTGCTGATGCGGTGCTTGGTGCGATGCCACACGCCCCACGTCCATTCTCGCATCGTGGGCCGACGAAGTGCCCAAACGCCAACTCCTGGTAGATTGAGGAGGAAAGGTATCCAGGGATCTACGAGCGGTAACAAAGCGACGAGCAGAGGTAGCAAAGTTCTTCCTCCACAGGGGTCCAAGAGGCACTCGCTCAGTCAGACACATTTATATCATATACCAGCTCCCAGCCCCTAGCTTCCACGTACCTGCCCTGGCCGCCTCAGACTCTGCCACATCCAGGCGGTGCATGCGGGCCCATCCAACATCCAGCCAGTCGAGGTCTATTGGCTGCATCATCACGCCGCTTCCCTACGCCAAACGCACCCAGCCGTCAGAAGGTAAACGTCAAAGGAGGTATCCTTCCCCGTGTCTCCGCGATGGGGAGAGCTGCATCCGCACCAGACTCCATCCCCTGCTCAGTTGCTCACCTGTCGCAGCAGCTCCTCACAGACATCCACACGCCGAAAGTTCAAGATTGACGCAAGGCCTGTTCTTGGTGTGCGAGCCCACAGCTCAACCCATACCATGTCTGGCTTGGTGTCTTGTCTGGGTCGGTGTCTGGAAGAGTCCGGCTCCAGGGATATGCACCCTAGCTCATCCCTTGACCCTGCACAGGTCGATGCCTCACCAAGCTCCTTATCCCCCGCCTGAAGATGAGGTTGACTAGCCTCCTCAGTCTCCGGGGCAGCGTTCGAGATGGAATATCTGCTCACTGCACCACTCTCTGCCTCTACACTGCCAGCCAAGCCACGAGTCAGCTGCTTGAGAGGCATGCTGGCTGCATTGCCCTCCCCCGTCCACGACTGCTCAGCATGTGGTGTCAGGGAGAGGAGGCGTAGTTTATGGATGCCGTCTCTCGGCAAGGAGTGTAGCAGGCTCCAGCCTCCCGCTTGCGTCTGCAGCACTCCTGCCAGGTGGCAAGTCAGGAGACCGCCCTCCTGGGCCATGGATTGCGCCCACAGATCTGGCGGGATCCTGTGCACGGAGCATTTGGAGTGAACGGAGCTTGAAGAATAAAGACGAGATAATGTACTCCCTGAGATGTGCTTCATCTCCTGCACGGTGGTTGCAGGCAACCAGGAGACAGAAGCACGCAGCACATCAATGTGCCGACCGCATGACTCACCCACGGTATCGAGCGATCAGGCGATGGAGCAGAGGGAAATGTGCGGCCTGGATCTCTACAAGTTCTCCATGGGGCGCGGTGCGCATGATGACAACGGGGATGCGAGGTGCGGTGGGACCCCAAGCCCGAGCTGGGATCTGACGAGCACTCGTGAACCTTCTCCAACCGGGGATGGACCCGCTGTGAAGCAAGAACGCTATCCCTCCTAGCACATTTGGATGTTGCAGGCGGAATTGGATTTGCAGGGTTGCCTTCGTGAGTGGATGCTCTCGTGAGCACGAGCAGACTTTTTGCACAGTCACCTGCCACCCTTCCGCACCGGCACATGCCACGAGGCTGCTCAGGCGCACAGCGGTGCGATGCTGGTCCATCCAGCTCACTGTCAGCTCCATATGAGCAGCGATTTTGCGTCTGTACGCCTCCCAATCAAGCTTGGCAGGCGCATCGGCAGGCGCAGTATTAGCCTGCATGTCGAGGGGTCTCGTCGCATCGTCGAGGGGCTCCTCGGCAGACCCAGCGGGTGAAAGCATCGTTATCGAATATATTTAAATCATGATGGTCTCGTTTGTGGGTCCGTAAGCTTGGACCGGAGTCTTAAGCGATCTGAACGTGCTTAAGCAAGCTGCGGAGCGTGCTGCGGGCTATCGTTGTCCAGCTGGGATCTCGCTCCTGAGCTGCACTCCTCGCCCTCACGACCTAAGGAGCTGGCGAGGACGATCACATTTACAATCTGTGATCGGCGTGCTCACGCGCCTCCACTAGATCGAGCCGTGGTGGTGCTTCCAGGCTGCGCATGCTGACCACTGCGTGACGGGGCCCACTGGCCAGCCAGCCTCATGTCGGAGGTTCGTGCGCTGCTGGAGCGCCTGAGCGTGGATGGAGGCGATGAGACCGTGCTGGAGTACGTTGCCAGCGTGGTCGAGGACCCCGATTTTGAGTTTGGGCACGACTGCGAGGAGGCCATGGATGCCATCGCCCCCGTGCTGGTGAGCCCCGGTAGGCGGTCCACGTCGATTTGAGATGGTGGAAGGCAACTGTAGGGGGTGGTGACGGCGATCAGATGTTACCTGTGTCGCCAGCATCTCCTCATCGAAACACGCCTTGCCAGGGGGACACCCTGCCGCGTGCAGATGCGGCTGCATGTCCAATGACCATGCCTCAACCCATCATCCTTCCCTTCTTTCCAAGGTGGATTCCGGCTGCCTGCCCGACGATGCGGCCGTGCTGCAGCTGTGCCGCTCCCTGCGCAGCCTGCTGGGGCGAGAGGAGGCCAACGGCACGAGTAACGGTGCCGCCGGCCCCGGCCCCCACACGCGCTCCGACTTCCATGCGCTGGAGCGCGGCCCTGTGCTGATGGGGGAGCTGGGCGACGCCGCGCCGCACCCCTCCGACCTGCTGTCTGGCCGCGCCCTGATCCAGGGGCGGTACCAGGAGGGGGAGGAGGAGGAGTTCACGGTGATGCGGCCCAAGGACGTGCTGAAGCTGCGCAAGCAGAATGAGCGCGCGGAGAAGGTGCAGCGCGCGGCCTTCGCGGTGCACCAGGCCCAGGCCCTGGCGGCCATGAAGGGCAAGCGCGTGACGGTGCTGCGCAACGCGGGCGGCACCGCCGTCCGCGACATCCACCTGGAGCGCTTCTCCGTGTCCAACGGCGGCGCGGACCTGATCGACGACGCCACGATCACCCTGGCCCATGCGCACAAGTACGGGCTGGTGGGGCGCAACGGCACGGGGAAGACCACCTTCCTGCGCGCGCTGGCGGAGGGCGAGATCAAGGGCGTCCCCGCCAACTGCCAGGTGTTGCACGTGGAGCAGGAGGTGATGGGGGACGAGGTGTCCGCCCTAGACGCCGTGCTGTCCACCGACCTGGAGCGCGCCGAGCTGCTGGCCGAGGAGCAGGTGCTGCTGCAGGCGCTGGAGGAGGTGGGCGGCGCGGCCGACGCGGGGGAGGGCGAGGGCGCCGCGCCCGCGCGCGACGCCACGCCGGAGGAGGAGGGGCGGGTGGCCGAGCTGGCGGGGCGCCTGGAGGCTGTCAGCAAGCGCCTGCTGGAGATCGATGCTTATGGCGCCGAGAGTCGGGCGGCCAGCATCCTGTCCGGCCTGTCCTTCACCAAGGAGATGATGGTGAGTGTCGCGTGTTGCGGGGGAGGGGGGGGTATGTCGACCTTGGGGCTGGTGGACAGGGGGAGTTGGGGTACCCAGTGAGTTCAGGGACATGGGGTGAGGCAGGGAGATGGAGGGGCGCACCCATCTGAGGGATCAGGGAACGCCATCCACTCGAGGCCTGAGTTCCGTGCCAGGGCTGCTGTTGGAGGAGTGTGGGGACGAGAGTGCCACACACCCTGCATGGCAAATGTCTCAAGTGCATCCTTGAAGAGCTCAACTTGTCAAGCCGCACCTCATCAACCAAGCACCCTCGCTCACACCCCAGGACCGGCCCACGCAAGAGTTCTCCGGCGGCTGGCGAATGCGTGTGGCCCTGGCGCGTGCGCTCTTCGTGGAGCCCGACCTCCTGCTCCTTGACGAGCCCACCAACCACCTGGACCTGCACGCCGTGCTGTGGCTGCAGGACTACCTCATCAGGCAAGCACATTTGGGAGGGGGAGGGGTGGGTGGGTGGGTGATTCACGAAGGATTTCCTCATCTACGAGCTGGCAGCCCACCTGCCCTACACTTCCTCCCCTTGATCATCCTTTGTCTATCCAGCAGAGTCACCGACTTGCAGAACTGACAGGCCTGCCCTCCCACCCACATCGGCCCAAGCGTGAGAGACCGCACCTCCTTCCTCCCTCACATACCCAGGTGGGGCAAGACGGTGATCATCGTCTCCCACGCCCGCGAGTTCCTGAACGCCGTCTGCACCGACATCGTGCACCTGCACGCACGCACCCTGACCCAGTACAAGGGCGACTACGACATCTTCGCCCGCACCTTCAAGGACCGGGTGAAGACGAGCCAGGCGGCGGCCGCCGCGCAGGAGGAGAAGCGCGCGCACATGCTGGAGTTCATCAACAAGTTCCGGTACAACGCCAACCGCGCGGCGCTGGTGCAGAGCCGGATCAAGGCCCTGGAGAGGATGACCGGTGGGATGGTGGGAGGTTGGGGTTCAGGGGTGGGTGAGGGTGCTGCCCTGTGGGCTGGCGGCGTCGCCTGCATGCTCAGCCATGGCGACTCGCATGCATAGAGTCGAGCATGTCGCCACACTCCCACCGTTGTGCAGAGGTGGAGGTCATCGAGGAGGATCCCTCCTACGTCTTCAACTTCCCCACGCCCACCGACCTCGGTATGTGGGCTTTGGCGGCTGGTGTATGTGCCACTATTTGGCAATTGGAGTCCATCGATAGGGCTGAGCATGTTCCTGTTCCGCGCTCGGCTACAAGGGCCCCTCACACTCACCCACAACCCTCGTACCCCACAGTGTCCCCTCCCGTGCTGGGCTTCACGGATGTGGACTTTGCCTACCCCGGCGGTCCCCGGCTGTTCAGGGACATCAACTTTGGGATCGGACTGGAGAGCCGCTTCGCCATCGTGGGCCCCAACGGCATCGGAAAGTCCACCATGCTGGGGCTCATCAGCGGCACGCTGGAGCCCACCAAGGGCTTCATCCACAGAAACTCAAAGGTGCCTGCTGGATGCTGGTTGCCCAAGGGCCAGAGGTGGTGCTGTGGCAGGGCTGATCCATTTGCTGACCGAGAAATTATCCAGCATGCTGCGACCAATGTGCCTCTGGCAAATCAACATCCCCACCCGCCACCTCCTGCCTGCAGCTACGCCTCGGCATCTTCTCCCAGCATCATGTGGATGGCCTGGACTTGGCACTCACGCCCCTGCAGTACCTCGCAAAGTGCTACCCAGGGGTGGGTGTGTGGGCTGCTGTGTGGCTTTCGGATGGAGAAGCCCGGGGGATGAGAACAAGCAGCATCACACTGTGTATGCACAGCCAATGTGGTAGTAATCTTCACTCAGCGCTGTAGCATGAGAGCTCGGGCACCAAGTCGGCGCACTGTTGGAGGCCTGTGCATTGGCTTTGGACCTCCCTGCCACTCTGAACTATTGCCTTTGCCCCCTCAAACCAAGGATCTTCGATCTGTAATGCATGCGTCCCAATGTTCCGCTTCCCAACCCCGCACTCCCCCGATTCTGCCACTCATTGCAGCACAAGGAGCAGGAGTACCGCAGTCACCTGGCGTCCTTTGGCATGACCGCTGAGCTGGCCAAGCAGACCATGTACACGCTCTCAGGTGCCCAAACGGGGAGGAGGAAGAGGCGGGGGGTTGAGAGGGTTGGCGTCGGAAGACTGCTCTTTGCCGGAGGGTGGCGTCCTGCACAAGAGGTTTTGCTGTTGCACAGGCTCTCACCCGCTCCTTTCGGGCAGCCAATCACAGCAAAGTCACATGTCGGCAATCTGCAGGTGGCCAGAAGTCTCGGGTGTCATTCGCCAAGCTGACCTGGACAAAGCCCCACATGTTGCTGCTGGATGAGCCTTCCAATCACTTGGATCTGGATGCTGTGGAGGCGCTGGTTCAGGTGCGGCCGGATGGATTTAGACTGTCTAGGGGATGGAGGGGAGGCTTGTCCTGCCCTGGGAACCTCATGACGGGGACTTGGGCAAGGCTAATGGGCTCGGGGATCCATGTGCCCTGCACTGTTGTTGGGATTCATCTGCACAGCCCTTCCGGGATGGTAGTATGGGGATATTTATCCGCTCATATCTCCCTCTGGCCACTCACCCAAAGTTACCATCTCCTCATAATCCTCCTCACACAGGGTCTCGCGGCGTTCAAGGGCGCGGTGCTGATGGTGTCTCACGACCAACATCTCATCGAGAGCACCGTGGACGAGCTGTGGGCTGTGGAGGACAACACCATCAACGTCTTCCACGGCACCTTTGAGGACTACAAGAAGCGCTTGAAGTCATGATGTTCCTGTTTCTGTGGTTGCCACCCTCATGCTACCTCCTCTTTGCCAGCTGCTATGCATTCCAGCAGCGCAGCGGGGCAATGAACGCCGAGGAGGGGGGCCCAAAAACCTCTCAGAGGACGCAGTCCCCGCACTTGCAGTGCAAACACAGTCGGGTTACCATCGGGAAAGAGTGGCACAGTGTTGTATCCAAGAGCATCGCAAAGGAGCCTCGTGCCAGAGGCAAGCTCCCCAGGATCCAACAAACTCGCGCCAGCCCCATGTACCACGCGCCCCTCCGCGATTCAGTCCACAAAGTCTAGCTCGTCCATGCGCGCCTCCACCCTGCCCAGGCGGGTGTGCAGCTTGACTTTCTTCCTGGCGGCATCCACCGCCAGGACTCTGGCCACGATGCCCAGCCTGGCCACACGCACCTCCTCCCCCACCGCCGGTCGCCAGGCCGCCCGGCGCTCGGCGCGCGACGCCCGCTCCTGTGCGATGGCGGCTGCCTCCCGCAGCGCGGCCTCCTTCCGCCCGCGCTCCGCTTTCGCGGCCTGCTGGTCCTTCTGCACGAGCGCCAGCTCCGCCAGCGCCCGGTCGATAACTCCCGCCCTGGAGGTCTGGGCCTGGCGAGCGGCGGCCGTCTCGCGTGCGACCGTACTGGCCCGGCACGCCGCGGACCTGCGGCGCAGGTCCGCCGCCGCCCTTTCCTCCTCGCCGGCCCTGGCCCGCGCGGTTTCCACCTCCCGCCGCAGCCGCTCCATTTCGGCCACCATGCCTGTGAGATGAGGAAGTAATGAAGCCCCCTGAGGCTCAGCGGCCGCGTCAGGACCGCTGCACACCACGTCACATTCCCCACCATTCTCCTCATCGCCACCCCACGACACGCACCCTCGGCCGTGAGGCTGGCCTTCCCCAGGGTCGCGCGCGCGCCGCCCACGACGGCGTCCGGCAGGCAGCTGCGCTCGGCGATGGCCAGGGCGTGGCTGCGCCCGGGGATGCCCCAGGCCAGCTGGTACCGGGGTCGCAGGGTGGAGGCGTCGATCTCCACGCTGGCGTTCTCGAACACCGGGTCCTCGTACTTGAGCCCCGTCAGCGACTGGTGGTGGGTCGTGGCGAGGACAAGGGCCGCGCCGCCCTTCCCACCGCGCGCCAGCGTCTGCAGCACAGCCGCGCCCAGCGCCGAGCCCTCCGTGGGATCCGTGCCTGTTGGAGGGTTTGGTGGGGGGCCAACCGGGAGCGAAGGAGGAGGTTGACGGGATGGAAGGCCTCGAGTGTGAAGGAGCATCGCACTGCAGTAGCCTCGTATGCATGGTATGGATTGCCCTACAATACTTCTCATACCCTGCTTCTGTACCACCAGGACACCATGAACGACAAGGCATCCCTCTCACTCCACGCCCCGGGTTACCGACGCCGCCAGCTCACCCGTGCCAACCTCGTCCAGAAGGACGAGCTCCCGTCCCGTGCACGCTTTCCTAACAGCCTGGATGCGAGCCAGGTGCCCTGAAAAAGTTGACAGGCTGGCACCGAGGGACTGGTTGTCACCTGCGGGATGGTATGTGTGAGGAGGCTCAGCAGGAGGAGTGGCCTGTGAAGCATGCATGCCCCCAGCCCACATGAAACCCCACCGCCTACAGCCCATGAGCGCAAGCCTCTCCACCCATGCCAGTGTCCCATCATCCTGTCCATGCAATCCAAGGTCCCCTCCCCCAACTCCCACCAATGTCGGCCAGGACGGCGGAATAGGCAGGGATGCGGGCGGGGACGGAGGTGGACACTGGGATGCCTGCCAGGCAGGAGAGCACGGACAGTCCCGCAGCCGTGAGCGCCGCGGTCTTGCCACCCGTGTTGGGGCCGGTGATCACCACCGCCCGCACCCCCTTTGGCAGGAGCACATCGATCGGAACTGGGGCAGGAGGGATGGGGAGTGCTGGAGGCGAGAGGTTACTCTCAACGCCCTGCGACCCTCTCCGGGGACCAGCGAGCCTTCGCCGCGACTTGGCGGCCTGCGCCTTGCCCCTGAGGTGTGCTGCCACCAGCAACGGGTGCCTGGATGTGAGGTTGGATTATGGCGATCAATGCATTGGGCATGGGACGCCTGGATGCAGAGCCATGCCTGCATTTGCAACCACCAGTATGCTGACCAGAGGAACATCAGGCCCACCAGCCGTCCACCGTGATCAATGGCAAGTTTGCACGCTCACACCTGAGTCTCCTCAGCTCCAAGGCGGTGGCGAGGCCGACCAAGCCCGGTACATGGCCATCAATCCACCAACCAAAGCGCTCCTTTGCCACAGCTGTGTCCAGCTCCACAAGCTGGGAGGGGGCGGGGAGGGGGACAGGGCGGTGCTGGACGGGGTGTGTGCGCCGCAGGCCCTGATGCCAGGAGGCGACATGGACAGTCCATGATGCTGGAGGAAGCTTTAGATGCAGGAGACAGTGGCATTTTTATGAGTGTTGCACAGTGGAGCACAAGCCCAGCGGCCCCACCTGGTGCAGGAGGCCGGCGAGTGGCGTGTGGCAGGCCTGGGCGCCCTCGCTCAGGCGCCACAGCACGGCGTTCTCGGCGGTGTTGAGCTCGCCCAGGGCCGCAGCCAGGGCGTTGTTGAGGCGCAGGGCGACGGGCGGTTCGTGGTATTGCAGGCCACCCCCCGAGGCCCCGCCCAGCAGGATGGAGCCACTGGGGATGGGATCGGCAGGGTTGAGCGCGAGGCAGAAGCGCCCGTTCCACTCGCTCACCTCCCCAGAGGACTGTGTGCACAAAGGGATGAGGCAGGAGTCTGTTCAAACTGGAAGGGACCCCGTCGTGGCAATCTTCCGATAGGGGCCCACGACTGCAGTTTGCCTTCCAACTCCTCAGCTGCAGGAGATGTCTCACTCACATTGTACGCCCAACTCACAGCCCATTGTCTTACCGCAAGGGCTCGCTGCGCCCTGAGCCGCAGGCTGGCGACGGTTTGCCGGCACCGAGCCACGTCGGGGCTGGCTTGCGCGCGGATGCTGGCGTCCTCGTCCAGGCAGCGGAGCACCTCCTTCCGGAAGGAAAGAACATCGGGACCCACCTCCAGCAACTACTCGTGCATGGGGGTGGGCGGGTGCCGTGAGTCTCAGTGGGCTTGGGGCCCGTATGAGCGCTGACTGGCAAGGGAATGCCACCTGAAAGGGCCACTGGAGTGCGTCCACACTGCCATTGACACCCCATTGCGGCGGCGTCACAATCCAGGGCTGGTCCATCCCATTCTTACTCACGTCTTGAAAAGGCGCCAGCGGCATGACCTCCCTGGCCGCCTTTTGGCCGTCCAATTTCTCCAGCAGGGAGGAGACCCTCCTGCAGGTGGAGGCTGCTACCTCTACCACAGACAGGATTGCCTGGAGGGAGGAACGGATGGCGACGGGGTCTAGAACACACGAGAATGGGACGTCCTCCAGATGAGATCCAGACAAGGTCCACCATCACAGAGCCACATCCTCTCAGTCAGCTCACCAAAAGATCCCTGGTCCGCAGCTGCCCGCCCTGGTCTGCACGCTGCAGGGCCCGGGCCGCATCCACGGACCGCATGCTCCCCAGCTCAATCTGGGCACCGTGGGACTGCTCGGCCGCCGTCAGCGCGGCGGTGAGGGTCAGGAGGCCCTGCGAGGCCTCCGCGTCTCCCAGGGTTGGGAGCAGGCGCCGGCACGCCTGCATCCCCAGCTCAGTCTGAGCATGCTCTGAGACCTGTTTTGCATTTGTGAAGGCGGGAGCTGGAATCATCTCTGCCTGTTATAATGCTGATGGACCAGCACCGGATGAGACAGAAATTTACCCTTGCATGAGGATATATGTCAGACCTATCCAGATGTCAAGATGTAGGAAGAAAGGCAGGTACACCCACCTCGTTGCAGAGCTCATGCCAGCCCAGCTGAGCCAGGGTGGCCCTCCAGCCTGCTGCGTCCATGCCCAGCGGCACATGGCTCGACTCCTGCATCTGCGCTTTGCATCTCGATTCTACTCTCCTCAGCTTTGAGCTTGGATGAAACCTGTTCTTCAGTCTTGTGGTAGAAGGTGGGGCATGCGCATTGGTTCGGTAGTGGCCAGTCGGGCTTTGCCAGACCTGCAGGGACGCCAGTCGGGGAAGCAGCCAACAAGGGGCATGTCGCGAGCATGCCGAGGCATACTCGCACGTACTATACATTTATCTATCCAGATGCGCGAAGAGGTTGCATGGCAGCATCTCATGACCGCATGTGATGGGAGCAGGTGCTCAGATCACAACAAAGTCGCGCGCGCCCCCGCATGTGTCCGACGACATTGGATTCAGCCAACTTAAAGATCCTTCCCTTTGGACTTGTGTCCTTGTATTCACACCCTGTGCATCTGCAGAAACTGACATTCGACCTAGCCATCGCGCCATTCGCGAGTATGAGCACCCTGTGACCGGGCCCAAGAACTTAGGAGGTGTCCTCCCCCTGAGCGACCTGTCAGACGACGCCCCCCTTGCGGCATCTGGATCAGAAACTCCCCAAAACTCGCATCCATTATAGATGCAATCATTGTTCGCGTAGTCAGCGCCAGCCCGAGCTCCCAGGCCCACAGCGCGCCATGGCCAGCGACTGGGCGGGCTTGCCCCGGCACCTCCTCATCACTATCTTCCAGATGGTGCTCGACGTGCACTATGACCTAATCCCCTTGGCACAGCACTGGTACGCGCTGGCATCCGTGTGCCGTCACTGGCACGAGACAGTGAGCGCCACCCCCCTCATGGTGGAGCTACAGACTCCCGAGGACCTGGGGGCCCCCGTCCTGCGCTGGCTCTCCCAGCGGTGCATGGAGAGCCTGTCCATGCGCCCGGCCGTGGACAGGAAGAGGAGGGACGAGCTCCTCCTGCAGTACCCCGAGTTCATCCGGCGGTCCGGGCAGGACCTGCAGGTCCTCTGGAACGCAGACCTGAGCACCTCCCTCCCCCTCCTGCCCCACTTTCAGAACCTGAACAAGGTGAGAGGGGGTGGGGTTGCTGATGGGGAATTGGACGCAGGGAGTGGAATCCTGTCGCGCTGCACGGGCGGACATCTGATGCTAGATGCCTCATCGAGTGTCGATTGGGCCTGCTGGCTTTCCCAGAGAGGGACTGCATGCGGTCTCCTGACCCTGTTTGCCTCATCATCACTCCACACTCCCCGCCCGCGTCACCTGCGCATTTGGTCTCCGGTGTAGCTGGCCCTGTACTCCCCCAACCTGAAACGGTGCTGGGGCGGGGTCCTGTCTGCCAAGCGTCTGGAGAACTTGCACGCGCTGCCCAAGCTGCATGTGCTGCAGATCAGGGGTGAGAAGGGGCAAGGGGGGCGGGCGAGGGCAGGTGTGTTGGCACGCAGGAGTGTCCTGCTTGTAGGTTGCTGGTAGCTTGCTACAGGAAAGCATTTGCCAGACCATCGAGCGTCCATGCAGAGCACTGATATGTTCCTCCCTTAACGCAAGGTCCCTTGAGAGGACGAACGCCCCTTACCCCCCACGCTCAACACCCACCCACCCACCCACCCCCCATGCACACACATATCACAGGGGAGTTCAAATCTATTGACCTCGCCTCCCTCCCCCCCCTGCGTGGGCTGCCTGACCATCAGCTGCTACACGGCATGGACGCAGGTGGAGGTGGCGCTCCCCCCCCCCGCCCCCGGCTCGCGCCTGCGCCACCTGGCGGTCAAGTCGGCGCAGGTGCTGGTTGACTGGCCCGCGCTGTGCGCCTCCGGCTGCGAGCAGGTGGAGCTGACGGCGGAGAACCTGACGCTGAGCCTGGTGCCCCTGGCCGGCCAGCCCGGCGCGGAGGTGCGCGAGGACGCGGCCCGGTCGGCGCGGCAGGAGGCCCGCATCCCCATCCCCGGCAGGTTCCCGGGCCCCGAGCCGGCCTACGGCGCGCTGACGGAGGAGCTGACACGTGGGTCGGTGCGCGGCGCGACGCTGGCCTTCTACACGCTGTCGGTGGCGGCCCCCACATGGCGCAACGTGCGCCTGATGGAGGACCCGGACGCGCTGCTGTCCGCGCTGCGCTCGCAGCTGCTGGGCGCGGCCTGGGACGTGAGCCCCACGCTGGAGTGCCACCCCGACTTCGTGGGCGACGCCGAGTCGCCGGACCCGTGCCATGTGCTGGAGCTGACGCGGGAGGACGACGCCGGCGGCGCGCGCTCCTTCCACTTCACCACCCCCGCCACGCCCGACGAGCGCGCGCTGGTGCTGGCTGGCCCCGTCTGGCGCCTGGCCTGGTGCGGCGACCCCGCCAGCGACGCCATCCTGGCCGACCCGCGCTTCCTGGCCGCCAGCGGGCCCACGCTGGAGGAGCTGACCAACGTGGAGCTGCGCCCGGGGCTGAGCCTGGAGCCCTTCCTGGCGCTGCACACGCTGGTCGCGCGCGTGCGCGGCCCCGACCTGGCGCGCCTGGCGCTGCCGCGCAGCCTGCGCACGCTCACGCTCGTGGCGTGGGCCGACGACGACGAGGAGGCGGTGGACTTTGATGCGCGGGAGCTCGCGCCCCGCCTGCCGGAGTTGGCCGACCTGGGCCTGGTGGGCTGGCGGGCGCACGACCTGGCCGCGCTGGGGCCGGGCGTGCGACGCATCCGCGTGTCCGACCCCGACACGCGCGGCGACGGCCTCGAGCGCGTGCCCACCGTGTACCCCATCGGCGCGCGCGGCCGCTTCCGCTTCCCCGCCTGCTTTGCTGCCGACGGCGGGGCGGCGGCGGGGGCCGCCGGGACGGGCGGCCCCGCGGGGGGCCGCGGCGGGGCTGTCCTCCCGGCCTCGACGCCGGCGTCCCCGGCCTCGCCTGCCGCCAGCTCCTCCTCCTCCTCCTGGACGGAGGCGTCCTCGGAGGGCGACGCGGAGGGTGATCACTCACAGCGCCGCGGCGCCGCGGCGCCGCCGCTGCACCCCATGTGGCTGGGGCGCGCGCTGTCGCGCCAGGACGAGGAGCTGCTGGACGCGATGGAGGAGGAGGAGGACCAGCTGTACAACGGCAGCTGGCCGCTGGACCCGCCGGAGCACGCCTTCTACCGCGGCGACGAGTGCGAGGCCGACTGCGGCGACCCGCAATGCATGGTGCACAGCAAGCTGCGCATGATCCAGGTGGGCCTTCCTACTTTTTGTGGTACATTAAGTTGTGTGTGTGAAGGGGGGGGAGAGTATCTCGGTGTGCGCTTATGGACGCGGGGCACCGCATACCACGACGCCTGCTGCTCTCGTCATGAGGATTCCGCTGGAGTGGCACCCTTCTCAACGCCGGCACATCCTCCCCAAACGACCTCTGTCCCCTCAAGCCCACCCATTCACCCCACCACCCACCCATTCACCCATTCATGCATAGATATCTGTGACCGGGCAGGACCTGGAGGTGGAGGTGGTGAAGCTGGACGACCTGGTGGACGCGGGTTTCCAGTGCATCTCCATTAACCTGCCGGACGCGGAGGGGCTGCCGTGCCTGCTCCTCATTTCCATCTCGTGGGAGAGGTTTCTGGACAAGCTCAATGCGTCGGGTGTGTAAGAAGGGAGGGGGAAGTTGGGGATGTGGGAACAAGGCACACAGGGGAGCCGGGCAGGGTGCTTTGCCCGCGCCCCTGGGGCTTGGAGAAAACCACCTCCATGTCAAACACCTCTTCCGCCAGTTGAAGTGCGCCATCCCCATCAAAGACGTTCTCCACAGACACACCACCCTCTTCTTACACCGCCCCTCCCTCCACGCATCATCCTGCCTCGCAGCGGTGGAGGTGATCGAGGTGAACTCCTACTCCTCCTCAGTGCATGTGGTGGAGCAGCTGCCGGGGGCGGCGATCAACGCCTACGCCAGCTCCTGCGCATTTGTCAACGCGCTGGCCCTGGTGGAGGGCCGCGCCGGCGACGTCTGGGACATCAAGAGCTGGATGGGCGGGGACAGCGAGCGCGGCATCGTGCCCAACGCACGCGGGTACGCCCTGCTGCGCAGGACGTCGAGGTCGCGGTGACTGGCGTGCAGGGGCTTGGTCGGAGTGCTGTGATTTCACTTCACCGCACGAGTGCTGTGTGCCAGGCACACACAGTCTGCACTGCCTCCCCCTGCCAACACCCGTCGCCTGTGTCGCCCAATTTCTTTCTATGAACAAGACGTTGCTCCCCAGAGGCAGAGCAAGACACACATGGGGTTGAGAGGGTTACCAGACCACGACAACCTCTGGCAAAGACAAGGTCCTGGGCCGCTATGTTCAAGTGTGGCGGCTGAGTTTCTCAGGTCAGGGGTAGGGGGCGTCCCGTACTGATTTCAGTCGGTCCGGCTCGCCGGCGTGCGTCGGGACGGGCCCCAGAGGAAGCAAGGCGGCGGGGTCCGCCGCACAAGGCGTCTCGGGGCCCCCACGCCGACCTCCCCCGCGGCCTCACGCCTGCTTGAGGTCGCCGTCCTCCACGGTCTGGTTGTAGGACTTGGCGTTGATCATGGGGGCCAGGAGGAGGATGGCCACGCCGCAGGCGGCCAGCAGGGTGGAGAAGTAGGTGGGCCAGCCGTAGGCCTTCACGATGTGGGCCAGGGGGATGCCGGCGTTGGCGGCGCCCAGGTAGGCCACCCAGCCCAGGAAGCCCTGGCTGGCGCCCACGGACTCGGGGCGGACCAGCTCCGCGCCGCACAGCCCGATCATCATCTGGGGCCCGTACAGGAAGAAGCCGATCATGAAGACGGTGGCCCACTGGAGCCAGGACGCAGATGCGGGCGTGGCGGCAAAGGCCGCCAGCATGGCGGCGATGCCAATGGTGTACGCGATGATCACCTGCACGCGCTTGCCCACTGCGCCGCCGCGGCCGCCGGAGCGGTTGACCAGGATGTCGGACAGCTTGCCGGCGATGAGGGAGCCGAACAGGCCGCCCAGCTCCAGGCCGGAGACGCGGAGGGAGGCGGCGCCCGCGTCGGCCACGCCCTTGACCTGGATGAGGTAGAAGACAAACCAGGAGGTCACGCCCTGCCTCACGACGTAGATGAAGAAGTAGGTCAGCGCCAGGCCCACCACGTACGGGTTCCTTGGAGGGGTGTGGGTGGGTGGTTGGGGGGTTACTTTGGGAGTGGAAGGAGCAGGACCACCTCGGGGAACGGGGCTGGCCAGGGGCACGGCATGCGCCATGAGGTCAAAGCATCTGCCACCCCACCGGTACATCACCCCCCTTCCCCACACACATCACCGCCATCCCTGGCCTCACTTGAGGCAGTCGTTGACGAGGAGGGCGATGAGCGACTCCTTGGGCTTGGGCGTCGCCCCCGCCGCGACGGGCGCGGCCTTCTTCAGCTCCACGGGCGGGAAGCCCGCGTCCTCGGGCGAGTCGCGCACCCCCGCCAGGATGAGCACCGACATGGCCAGGCCGACGATGCCCGGCGCAAACATGCCCCACTTCCAGCCGTACATCTTGGCCGCGGTGCCGGCCAGGATTGGTGCCGCGAAGCCGCCCATGTTGTGCGCGATGTTCCACATGCCCCAGTAGGTGCCGCGCTCCTTGGCCGCGAACCAGGAGGTGAGGATGCGGGCGCAGCAGGGCGCGCCCACGCCCTGCAGCATGCCGTTGGCCGCCCAGAAGGTGCAGAACCAGACCAGGGAGGTGGAGAAGCCAAAGGCCACGTTCAGCAGCGCGGTCACCGCCAGGCCGCCGGCCAGGAGGAGGCGGGGGGAGGTGCGCGCGCCCAGCACGCCGGAGATGAACTTGCTGGTGCCGTAGGCGATGGGGAAGATGGAGGTCATCGTCCCGATCTATTGGTGCATGTGTGGGGATGGGGGGTTGGGGATGGGGTGGGCGGGTGGCAGGGAAGCCACGACACCTCCTCGACAACAAAGATACCTCCCCCCCCCCCTCCCTCCAACCTCCCAACACCACTCGCCTCCTTCATGCCGATGCCCAGGGTGGCGTCCTGCACCATGGCCGGCGCGGTGTAGGTCAGGCTGTTGCGCGTGAGGTAGAAGCAGGAGTAGCCCAGCACGATGCCCGCAAAGGTGATGAAGCGGCGGAAGGTGAAGTCGGAGGGGTAGGCGGGGAGGTCCGCCAGGGACGCGGGCTGCATGGAGGGGAAAGGGGCAGTCGCGGTGTTTCTGGAGCTGGTGCTGGGGTTGGCTCGCGCCGGGGACTCCACCTCATGCACATTTCATCATTCACAGCACAACGGCAAGTCCCTGCATGCCAACCTGCAATGAGCCCCTGTGCCTCCACAAACCGCAAGCCCAAAACCGCAATGCCCCTCAAAAGCATGGAGTGGACTCTGCACACCTTGGCCTCGGTGGAGGAGTCCTGGGGGTCACTGGGAGAGGCGCCCGAATATGCTGCCTGGACGCGCATCAGCCCAGCGGGGGCGCGGGCTGCCGGGGCGCTGCGCTGGCGCAGCACAGGTGCGCCATGCATGCTGCGGGAGGGGAGGAGGCGCCGGGCCAGTCGGTGCGGGACCTTGATCAGCGAGGGTACCCCTCCCTCCCGACCCCATGCCAAGGTGGCCCAACTGACGTGTCGGGGACCCCAAAACCCAGCCATGCTGCGCCATCGCAGTCCCACCTCTTCGACATCTGTCCAAAAGGAGTCGTCTTGCATGCGCGGGAGCCACGCTGCGCGGGCAAGGTGGTGCCCCAACACCCCACCACCGAGGTCTGCATCGCGCGCGCTGAGCCAGGGGACGGGGGATGGGAGGCGTCGATCCTAACACCTAGATGGAGCAGCACTACATTACGGTTCAATGAGCATGGTATTGGGATTTGCGCCGAGCGAGTACGTGCTCAGGGATCTGGCCCTGATCCTGATCGAGCGCAGGTCGACCTCACCGCACCCCTGATACCCACCAGAAGCGTGAAGAGAGTCGGACAGCGATGCGGGAAACCCTCGATGCTACTTGTAGAAGATGTGTATCGCTCTCCTTGGCAACAGCCGGCCTTGAGGTAGGCCCGGGAACTGATGCAATGTGGAGGTTGCCAAGGAAAAAGGTCGCGGAGGGGCTGGCGCAGCACGCAGGGCATGCGCTAACAGGGTGAAGCTTGATCCCACTGAGGTCCCTGACTCGCTAAATCGATGTGACATAGCGAAATACAACATCCTTCGCAATATCTAAACATTTCAAGCAGCCCCCCTGTTTTCAACCATTGCTGCCCATCCTTGCTTCACAAGCACATTGAGGTGAGATTGGGCCTTTGGCCAAGTCTTGACAGGTTACTCGGCTGGTCCACGGTATAAAAGGATCGTGCTGATCGTACTGCACTGATGTTGAAGGATGTGGAAATGGGTAGCGGGTCGGTCGATACTGAGCATTCAGCACGGTCAAAGGGTTCTTTTCCAGGAGTGTGAAGCTGAACAGAAGTCGCTTTAGGGAAGCTTGGCGCAACACCCCCGCCGAGAGTCCCCGGAGATCCCTGAGCAATACTGCGTGTCGTCACCGGTATCATCTTCACAGATGAAACCTTCAGCCACGTGAGTTGTTCGTCAGATAAGAACTTTGGCTGTGTTCGCCATCCCCACGGGGCCACCAGAGTTACCACTGCACGGTTTGCCATGTGGGACCTCGTGGCTACTGCCGCGGCAGGTCTGAATGCTGGCGTGGGTCTGGAGGCTGCTGTGGCTGGGTGTCCTTCCGCCAACGATGCGGAAGCGTTTGGACGTTTTGTGGTACGGTCTCGCATGCTCTCCCTTTTCCTCTCCACGCTGAGCTGCGGCGCGGCGATCGCCGCACATCAAGCAGGTACGATCGCAGGATGAGGAAGCTTTACGTATTCGATCCCGTGCGATGACTCCCGCTTTGAAACTGTAAAAGGGCTGTAGGATTTATAGTGGGCGTCTAGACCGAGTGGCTGCCTACCATGTGGATGGGAGACCCGACTCTGGCCCTCACCAGCCCCTCTTCCTACCCTGAATCCAAGAGGGACACGGCTCGTTGTGGATCGTGGCGGCCGTGAGCGCAGGGGTCAGCATCCCCTACAACCTCCTGCTCATGAGCTCGCCCTCCCCGGTGCCGGCCCCCAGCAACCTCAGCTCCCGCCGTCCCGTCACCTTTGCCGACCCGCCTGCCAGCACCCTTGGCGCGGAGGACGGAGGCCTGGAGGACGGCATACAGTCCCCCAGCGCATTTGCGGGGCATCCCGGGTTTCACTCTGCGGACCTGGATGCGTTGGATGACCTGGGCATGGCGAAGAGGCGCTCGCCCCAGCAGCCAGCTCAGGCGCGTCGCCTGATGTATGCCAAGTCAGGTGGGCATGGAGGAGGTGTGGGAGGTGGTACATCACTCTCCTGCACAGACGATTAAAGTCCGGACAGCCGCAGTGAGGCGATGTCAGGGACGACTTTGAGGCTGGTTTTGTGGCAGGCCGGGAATTTGCTGTGCTAGTCAATGACCATGCCCATCCACTGTAATGACAATTACGAAGTCGTCCGCTTGCACATCCAAATCTGATTTGCTGCCCATGTGCCACATTGTTGCAGGCATCCTGGTCAACCCTGTGGATCTGTCGAGGTCCTGGTCAAGGAAGGTGTGTCGAGATGTCAGGCATCCTGCTGTTACCCGGCAGGAACTGTTAGGATTAACAGGGTAGACAATGCCAGTGCTTCTCTTCCCTTGATGATGCCAGGCCACACTGCTGGCAGCTTGTTCCAGGTCTGCTGACCACCGAAACCTGGCCCAAACTTACTTCAGCATTTCACCCCTCCCGCTTGTAGTTCTGGTTCCAAGCGGCCCTGTCCCTTACGGTCTTTGGCGGCATGGTCTCCATCCTGGCAACCCGCAAGAGTTCTATGACGGCGGGAGGCGGATATGCGCCATTCTGAAACCTCTGTCAACAGAAATAGGGTGGTCTTAGAGGTAGTGCAGGAAAGTTTGTGTGCCTATGATCATGTCTTCGTTGCAATGCTCTTGTTCAATAAAACTTGTACTGGGAAACGCATCTCATTGAGGAGAATCTTAGAACCCTCTGGGTGACATGTGGTTATCAGGTTTGACGAGAGCCCTTACATTGGCCACTTCATGACTTGGCAGGTTCATCAGGTTCCCCATCCTCCAGCTCCTCCTCCACCCCTGCACCTGTCGCCTGAAAGACAAAGTGGGCCAGGAATTCTGTGTTCCCCGCATTTGCGCCCTTGATGGGTGAGGGCATGTGGCCCTGGGGCACCAGCCCGCGCGCCATGCAGGCCTCCTGCACCCGTCTGATGACGTCTGCGTGCACGGCGGGATCCCGAACCAGCCCGCCCGCTGACACCTGATTGCGTGGGGGAAAGAGACTGTGGCCGGCACTCTTAAATGAGCTGGGGTCCCACCGTGTGCGACGCCCTGGCATCAGGACTGCCTGCTTGCATGCACATCCAGCCAACCCTCACTGGCAACGTCACTCATCAGCATGCCACAACCTGTAGGGGTCAGGAACTGCCCCGGGCGACTTGCCTGCGCCTTCCCGGCCTCAAACTGGGGCTTGATGAGCACGATCAGGTGCCCGCCTGGCTTCAAGACATCCATCACCATGTCCAGCACCTTGATGACTACAGGGATGATGTGTTGGGATGCAGTGTTTCATGAAATTTGTTAGAGAGGAAATACACATGAAACCCATTTGGTCCCCTTCTGGGAGGCTTGGTATGACAATCATACATCTGCCATTCAGGCGCCGTCCCTCCGGGACTGACCCTGCAGCACACGCCTCGGCCTCTTCACCATCCAACACACAGGCTTGCCTGAGATGAAGGAGAGGTCCAGGGTGACGAGGTCCACCGGCTCACCGCCAGGCAGGGCTGCGCGGCGCAGGTGCCGCACGTTTGTCCGCTCCATCACGGTGACGGCGGGGTGCTGACGCACGCGCTCTGCCACCTGGCCGTACCCCACATCCACGCCCACCACGCGCCTGGCCCCGCGCTGGAGTAGGCAGTCCGTGAAGCCGCCGGTGGAGAGGCCGGCATCCAGTGTGGTCCATCCTTTGGGGTCGAGGCTGAAGTGGTCCAGGGCAGCCTCCAGCTTGAGCCCGGCCCGGCAGACGTACCTGGGAGGGTCGGCCAGCAGGTCTATGCGAGAGGAGGCGGGGTCCACTCCGGTGCCCGCCTTCAGGACAGGCTGCCCATTCACTGTGACCAGGCCTGCATGGATGGCGGAGGAGGGGCCGGTTTGGTTCCTTGCTGCAGTCAGAAACATGAGGAGAGGCACGCGTGATCAGGGTGTGGGTGAGCAAGGACCCAATCACATTCAGTAACGCCACGAGAAACAGCTCCAAGAACCCACGCCAAATGATCTCACCCTGCGCAATCCAGGACTGAATTACGTTCTTGCTGTACATGGGATGCAGCTCGACACACACTTCGTCCAGCCTCCTCCGCTTTGACTTTTTATATGCCTGGGTGTGTGCAACAGTAAAAGCAGCATGTGGGGCGCCTGCCAGCAAGCAAGATCGAGGCTTCTCTGTTCATGTTCTCCCACCGCAGCGCACCCCTTTATTCGTGACGGGCGTTTCGTCTGTTGCATGGGCAGCCGAGTCCATGGCTGATGTCGTGAAGGGGCCAGCGTCCGCATGTTGCGGGCATCGACGACGGGGTCGAGGTTGCCACAGCGCCCTCAGCAAAGAGGCATTGCTAGGGACTCGAGACAAGGTGAATGCGCGCATCGTGTGAAGTCCTCCGAAGATTCAGAATACAATGCTTAACGATCCTGCTGCGATGACTGAAAACTAAGTCAGATGGCCCCTTCCGCAGGCCTGGTGTACAAAACGCAAAATCCCCGCCGGACAATAGTTAATCGGGGGCCTTCCGCGCATGTTATTGGGACAAGAATATGTATAAAAAGATACTAACATATGCGACAAAAGTGGTTTGCATTTGGTTGTACAGAGTACAACACGAGCCGCTCGGTACCGCTCATGCACAGCATGCGCTGGCCACAGCTTGGTGAAACTCTGTATATCATCTCGGCGAAGGCAATGAATGCGATAGCTGTGTGATGCGCATGCTTGTGCACGGAGCCTTGCTTGTATGATCCAGGCCTTCCTGGTCATATGGCCATTTGGGGGGATGTTTCCGTCATGTGCTTGAAGAAATACAATAGGAAGGGCAGAGATATATTTGTTCTCGGCATCACTACCACGATGACCACGAAGGTCGAAAGAATAATACGTCTATATGTTGCAGTCCGATCCTTCAGTTGACCCCTGTGGGCAGCGTAGAGGAGAGGAGCGTGGAGACATACACCAGGCGGGAAAACTAGGGGTTTTCCGATTTGATGTTGGCTGTCGTATTCCGTCAGGCGCCCGAGCGCCAGGGCAAGGATACACCACCGACACCAAGACTCCTAGCGGAACTTCACAGGAAACAAAATTGAATGAGGATATGACGGCTCGCTAAGATGCCGGTGACCGAGCACATCAGGTGAACGGGCTTTGGTCATCCGTGGGGCGCAGGAAGTTTGGAATGGGGCAGAGCTCGTGTCTGCTGCACCGCTTCGATGGTCCTGAGATGGCCCTCTGAAACCTCTTCCAACCATTTTCGCCTGCATCGCGCAGCGTGCACGTCCGCGTGCGCCCTCTGAGCGATGCCGAGGTCGAGCGAGGCGGGGGGGCATGGCGGGAGGTGGGGAACACCCTCTACCAGGTGGACCCCGCCACAGACATCCGGGTCTCCGACTCGCCCTACACCCTGGACACCGTTTTCGACGGCCGGACCACCACCCGGGAGGTGTACCTGGCCACCACCCAGGCCATCATCCACCAGGTGGTCCAGGGCTTCAACGGCACCGTCTTTGCCTACGGCCAGACCAGCTCTGGCAAGACGCACACGATGCGGGGGGGCGGGGAGCACCCCGGCATCGTCCCGCTGGCAGTGCAGGAGGTGTTCGACCTGATCGCCGCCACTCAGGACCGCGAGTTTCTCCTCCGCGTCTCCTACATGGAGATCTACAACGAGGACATCAATGACCTGCTGGCACCGGAGAACCAGCGCCTGCACGTGCACGAGAGCAAAGAAGCCGGCGTGCACGTGGCCGGCCTGCGCGAGGACATCGTGTCCTCCCCGGAGCAGGCGAGCTGGGTGGTGGGGGGGTTGGTTGGGGGCCTGGGGAGTGGGATGGCGCCCAGCTGCCTTTGAGAGGCACAGGCCATGCGTTGCTCCCCGCAGCTCAATGAGCAACAACCAGTGGGCGCCCCATCATGGGATGCAGACGCCACCTCCCTGGGGTGTCTGGGCGTGCCTCCTCGGCCACCATGCCCAGGCCTGGCCATCTCTGAGGGGTGTCATCCACCAGTGTGTGCAGGATAGCCTCGTGCAGCACCCATCACCCCCAACATCTCCCACCACCGTTCTCACCCCCGCAGGTGTTGGCACTGCTGGAGGAGGGGGAGCGCCACCGGCACGTGGGCGAGACCAAGATGAACAAGACCTCCTCCCGCTCCCACACCATCTTCCGCATGGTGGTGGAGTCGCGATCCTTTGCCGACGCGGCCGGCGGCCCCTCCCCCGACCCCGACGACTTTGGCGCCATCCGCGTCTCCTCCCTCACCCTGGTGGACCTGGCGGGGTCGGAGCGCATGGCCAAGACGGGCGCGGAGGGGCAGCGCGCGCGTGAGGGCGCGGCCATCAACAAGTCCCTGCTCACCCTGGGCACGGTGATCAACAAGCTGAGCGAGGGCGGGGGCGCGGGGTCGCACATCCCCTACCGCGACTCCAAGCTCACCCGCATCCTGCAGCCCGCGCTGGGGGGCAACGCGCGCACCGCCATAATCTGCGCCGTCACGCCCGCCGCGCTGCACGTGGAGGAGAGCCACAGCACGCTGCGCTTCGCCTGCCGCGCCAAGCGCGTGGTCAACAACGCCACCGTGAACGAGGTGCTCAGCGACGCGGCGGTGCTGAAGCGCCAGGCGCGCGAGATCGAGGAGCTGCGCACCATCCTGGAGGGGTCGGGGTGAGCGCGGTGTGTGTGTTTGAGGGATTTGTTGTCGTGCTGGAGGGGAGGGGTAGGCTGGCATGCAGGAACGGAAGGACAGGCTGTGCGGGTGGCGGAGGACGGCAGGGAGCGGGGTTAGGGCCTGGGTCGGCAGGACATCGCGCTCTGAGGCCACAGGGTGGATGGTGCGGGGCTGGAAGGGGGGAGCGCATGGCGGCGCACTGAATATGCGCGGGCCTGCTGGAGGCCCAGGCTGACAGGGAGGCGCGGCACTCCTGGCTGCAGCTGTCATGGCATCGAGGACCTCCCCGGGCTTTCACATCACCATGAACCCCTCCCTCCCTCCTCCCCCCGCCTCGGTCGCCAGGTCGGCGCGCGAGGTGGAGACCCAGATCCACAGCCTGCGCGCCGAGCTCCTGCGCAAGGAGCAGGACAACGAGCGCATGCAGCTGGACCTGGCGCTGGAGAAGGAGGAGAGGGAGCGCGCGCAGCGCAAGATCGACAGCATGACGCGCATGATGCTGGACGGCGCGCGCGGCGGCGACGCGGAGAAGCCCAAGTCGAAGCGCGAGAACCGGCGGGAGACGTGGTGCCCGGGGGCCGGTCAGCGCAAGCGGCCCCTCCTCCCCGCCCTGGCCGGGGCGGTGGAGGAGGGCGAGGAGGAGGGTGGGGTGGAGGAGGAGCTGGGCGAGGCAGGGGCGGAGCGCCCCGCGCTCCCGCCCTCCAGGAGGTCCGAGGGCGCCGCCCTGCTCCTGCCGGGCCAGGCGTCGCCGCCGCACAAGCTCAGCCGCGGCAGCGGTGGGTCCTCTGGTGTAGGTGTGTGGGGTGAAAGGCAGGGTTGAAATGGACGCTGCGCAGGGGTGCACTGGGACTACTGGGTCGGGTGGGGTTGCCCTGTGGCGCAAAGGGTTGAATGCAGAGCGGCACAAGGGCCATGACTTTGGTGTTGAGCGCTCAATTATGGCTATCATCGTGGCGCTGCCCAGAGTGGGGCTCCTCCCAGATGCCCCCTATCCCCGCCACGTTCCGTCGAGCGCTCCCTCACCACCCCCTTCCCAGATGCAGAGCGCATGGAAACCGGCGAGCAGCAGGCGGCCGACTGCCCCAGCGAGGAGGTCAGGCTGCTGCGCGAGCAGGTGGCGGAGCTGACCACCGCGCAGGGGTTCATGCAGCGTGAGCTGGACCGCATGGTCGAGCTGGCCGGCGAGCAGGCAGAGGCCCTGAGGTGGGTGCTGTGGTGGTTTGGTGGTGTGGAGGTGTGAGGGTGATTGTTGTTGGCCAGCCGACAGCTGGGCAGCAGGGCCAAACCACGTGCTCGAGAGCCCGAGCAGCTGGGCCTGAGATGATCCAGACATACCCTGGGTGAGGGCCCCTGACCTCGGAGCACTCAGACCCTATGCCCACCTCCCACCTCCGCACACCAGGGAGGGCGAGGCAGCAGTGGCCCAGCTGACGGAGGAACAGCAGAGAGCCAATCCAAAGGCGAGTGGGGCTCCAACATGGGATCTGGGGAAGGCCATTTGTTCACACTGCGATGTGTCTGTGAACCACAAGGCCATCCATCAGCCGCGGAAAGGGTCGCGCATCCCTGCTGCAGATGAAGGAGATGGAGTGGCGCATCCGGCAGCTGGTGGGGCAGCTGGAGGAGGCCCAGGCCCGGCTCCAGGAGACGGAACAGGTCTGGTTGGAGGTGTGGATTTGCTGCATGCTTGGGGGCGCGAGCTCCTTGCCTCATACCGCGAGTCGAAGACGTGCAGAGGCTCCTCAACAAATCATACCTCACACCTGCCCTAGGCTGCTGCACTGGAGGCGAATGCCCGGGAGGAGAGCCAGCAGGCTTGGCGTGCACAACAGGAGGCCCTGGAAGCCAGGTGCACCGACCTGGATGCCAGCGCCCAGACCCTGAAGCAGGAGGTGAGCATGGAGGTGTGCACTGTGGCGTTCCGTAAGAGGATGTCTGTGTTGCATCCATCAGGTGGGCTGCCACACATCACCTTGAATATCACACCGTTCCTGTGTCAACAAGGTTGGGGCGACTTCCTTTTGCCGTCCAGAGCTGCCGCTCGTGAGGCCGGTCTCAGTCCTGTTGACGACCAAACCTCCCCCGCACCATGAGCTCAGGCACTGCAACTGAAGGCTGAGCTCCAGGCTGCAACTGACAGGCTGGAGGAGGTGGGGCGAGAGCGCGCGATCTCTGATGCCAAGAGCGCGCGTCAGAAGCAGGTGAGAATGGGGAAGGGGCGGCACTTCATGATGGGCGTCAGCCACATCGTATTGCTCCCACAGTGCCAAGCTGATTCGAGAACCCAAAGGTGCGTTTACAAGGTCCTTGTGTCGCTCTGCCTGAAAATTCCTCCCTCCCAACTGCATCCTGCAGGAGCTTGACGAGCTGGCAGCCACAGTTGCTGCGCACACAGAAGAGAAGGCGGCTGTCAAAGCTGCAGCTGGTGGGTTGGGCACGTTTGACCAAGAGGCTGTGCACGGCAGGGAGTATGATTACTGCATGCATTGCGCTGTCCCCAGTGGGTACTGTTCTTGCCCAAGGTTCCAGCCCTTAGATTCTTGCCTGTAAGTGTCTGTCGTATCCTGCCACCCCAATCCACAGACACGGCCAAAGAGAAGCTGGCGGAAGCCGAGTCCCGCGTGCGCAACCTGTATGAGGAGAACACCCGTCTCACCGCGCATATCTCGGTGAGGAATCGAGGGCCGCAGCCTCTTGAATTTTACAGGGGCTGCTCGCACTTGCCCCCTCACCGCTGTCCTCTGCAATCCTACCATGAGTCGACAGAGGGAACCGAGATTTGGCAGTCCTGGTCTACATCATATCCCTTGCCCCTCCGCAGGACCTGGAGTCTCGGAAGCGCGCCCCGCTCTACCAGAAGAAGCAGGAGGAGGAGCTGCGTGCAGCCCTGGAGGGTGCCAAGGAGGCCGAGATCCGGGCTGTCGCAGCAGAGCTGGCAGCCAAGGAGGCCAGGGTGAGGTGACAGGGCTGGGACAAGGTTTCCCTGGGTATGGCCAGGGAGTACAGCTATTGCCCTTTGATCTGCGTTCATGGGACAGCTGCTCGCCCTTCAACACCGTGCCAGTCATTGCAAGGGTCATGGATTGGTCAAGGTCCTGTCATCACCACATCCATTACCCCTCCAGGTCAACGAGGAAAGCGCAACCAGCACTGTGTCAGAGCTACGCCAGACCATCACTCGCCTGGAGGGGGCGGCACAGGAGGCGGCGCTGGAGGCCAGCGCCAGGCTTGAGGCCGCCCATGCAAAGGCAGCCACCGAGACTACCCGCCTTGAGGTACGTTGTAGGTACAGTTTGGAAGCCTTGGGACACAGTTCCCCAGGTCTACACCCTTGGCTGCGCCAGCGTGGGTTGGTGGCAGGGCCTGGGCATGCTGGAGGGCCGGCCGGCAAGCTCGCAGGGAGGTACATGGTCCTTGCCTACAAGTTGCATTGCAGAGGCGCAGCAAGCTCATCGCGCCATCCACCATCACACCGACCCAGGCCGCGCTTGAGCTGATGCGCAGCGAGCTTACCGCCCAGCTGGAAACTGCGACAGCAGCCGCGGCTGTGGCCGAGGTGAATTTCGAGCAACAAGGTGCTGAGCTGGAGGATGCCCGCGCCGAGATGTGCAGGCTGGAGGAGGAGATCGTGGGTCTGAAGGCCTCTCTTGGTGAGTCTGGCGGTGTGACTGGGCGACTGCGCCAGGAGCCAATGGGGCACACCTCATCATCACTGGGAGGCTATCTCAGGGAACGACTGCCAAGGGTTGATGCTCGTCCATGCAACAGCCGGTTTTCATCTAAAAGCCCTCGTCCTTTCGAGTCCCTGCACTCACCTTGGACTACCCCCCTTCCAATGTCGCCAGAGGAGGTCCAGGCCTGTGCGGACACGGCCACCGTGCACATTCACTTCCTAGAGGAGAAGGGGGAGGCCGACGCGGCTGCAGCTGCAGAAGCGGCGGAGGCAGCCTCACGCCAACTTCTCGAGACCAGGCGTGTTTCGTGATCTGGAGGAATGGCAGGGATGCCAGAGGCAGATGCCATTCATGGGAGACTAGTCGGGGGCTGAGTTGACCAGCACTGCTCACCATGTCACCACCCCTTGTCACCACCTCTTGTCATCACCACCACAGGGATGCCCTGGCTGCTGCCGAGGCTGCCACCCAGCAGGCCCTCATGCAGGCTGCAGAAGAGGCAGCACGTCTGGCTCAGGAGCACGAGGCGGCGGTCTCAGCTGCCCTGGCGGCGCATGAGGAGGTGGGTTGATTGGGGGGGAGAACTGGTTGCTGAGCTGTCGGTATCACACTGAGTTGCTGGACGGCGGTCCCCAGCCTCCCACCCACCTCGGCCCCCCACCCTCTTTCCCAGGAGTTGGGAGCGGCGCTGGTGGAGAGGCAGGAGCTGGTGGCCAAGCGGCGGGAGCTGCAGGACACCGTCAAGTCCCTGGAAGAGAAGCTGGCCGCCGCCGCCGCGGGGCTGGCCGCCGCGGAGGAGCTCAAGGACCTGCGCCGGCGACATAAGGAGGACGTGGCGAGGCTGAGCCTGGCCCTGAAGACCGCGACGCAGGGGTCCAAGGGCACGGAGAAGGCCAGCGATCGCGCCCAGAAGGAGGCCGAGAAGCTGAGGTACGGTGGTTTTGGTGGGTGCCTGGAACTTGTGGGAGGATTCTGGGTCAGTTTCCCTTGAGCAGGCGAAAGTTTTCTGAGACTGCTTCAAGGGATCCATGCATCTCAGGGCTGCAGATGAACAGAACGGTGTGCAGAGCGATGCTGAGATACATGCAACCACTCACCGGCCTTTCGCACTCCAGGTCAAAGGTGACCGAGCTGGAGGCCAAACTGCGGGCCGCCGTCCAGGACAAGAACTCTGCGCAGAACGAGAAGGCTGCGGCGGAGAGGGAGCTCAAGGCGATGCGCTCCCAGGCCGAGCGCCTGACCAAGAACATGGACAAGGTGGGTTTGGGAAAAGTTGACGCTGGTCTGCAAGTAGGCGTAAACAGAACAATACTCGGTGGGCGCGGCTGGTCTGTGTGCACTGTGAATGGGGATGTGCTGGGCCAGGCAGCGTCAGCAGCTCGATGTAAGTGAGTGGTGATCCCACCCTGCCTCCTGCAGATCACTGGCGTGGAGGAGAAGAAGCGCGAGTCCATCATGGTGGGATTCAATCAGACAAAGAGCCGGCTGCAGGTAAATGGAGCAGGGTTTGGCCGAGTGCTGATGGACCGGGCTGCCGAGGAGAGGAGTGCCCTTGTTTTGATGTGAACAGTGCGCCTGAGACGCATCCAGACCTCCCGCCCATGACTTCCTGCCCGCCTTGTGTGGCTCAGATTGCTGAGGAGGGCCTCCACCGCGCCTCAGTGGAGGTCGAGAAGCTGCAGTTCGAGCTGTCCATCAAAGCAGGTACATGAAGGAGGTGGCCTGGATGCCGTCCTATATCCCTGGTGACAAAGCTGTGCTGCAGAATTCCCGCACTGGCTGCTCACCTTCTCGGACGCAATGAGCAGGTCAAAGTGGCAACCTGGAAAACTGCCAGCCGTATAAAAACCGTCCATCTGTGACATCTGCAGGGGAAGCACGCGCCCTTGATGAAGAACTGCAGGAGAGCAAGGGCGAGGTGGCTCGTCTGACAGATGTAAGTCAAGTGTCCTTGGCGAGGAGAGGACCCTAACTGCATGGACAGGACGTTCCGTGTCTGCTGCTGGGCGCGATCAACCGCTGCCCTGCAGCAGGGATTCAGTGGCTGCCCCATCAGCTCAGCATTGAGTGATCCCTTTGTTGTTGTCAACACACCACTGCCTCTTCGATCCACTTTCACAGGAGCGAGACGGCCTCACCGACCAGCTGGCGGCGGCGAGCGAGGATGCCGAGGGCCTGAGGAATAGCCTGGCGGCCTCTGCCGCGTCGACACAGGCCCTCTCCGAGGAGAAGGACGCCCTCGCGACTTTACTCGCCCAAGGGGAAGACAGGCTGGCCGACATGGAGGCCGCCCTGGCGCAGGGGCGTGCGGAGGCGGCTTCCCGAGAGGAAAATATTGCGTCGTTGGCCGCGCGCATCGAGGAGGGGCAGAGGGAGCTGGAGGCCGAAAGTGCAAAGGTGGGGGACCTCAAGAAAGAGCTGGAGTCGGTGCGGGTCAGGCTGACCGAGCAGGAGGCTGCGCACGCGCAGGCCGCGGAGGCGGCCGCGGAGCGTGAGGCAGTGGCGCGCTCCACCGTCGAGTGCCTGGAGACCGAGGCCCGGGAGCTGGCGGACCGGCTGCGCGGCGCGGAGGCCGAGCTTGCGGAGCGCTCTGAGGCCGCCCGGAGCCTGAAGGCTGAGCTTGACCTGGCGACGCAGGAGCTGACCCGCCTCCAGGGTGCGTCGGGCCTTGTGTTGTGGGTGCAGGGTGGGTGACTGGGCCAGGTCCATGGTATTGGTGGTGGTGGGTCGCAAGGTGTCCATCGAAGAGCCACAGCTTGGACATGCTCGCGGCTCAGGTGATGACTGAATTGGTTGCTCACCACCTCCCTTTCCTCCTTCCCAATCTCCACATCATTGCAGGCGCGCTGGCGGCGGCAAAGACTGCAAACTCGGAGCTGGAGGGCAGCCTGGGGACGGCTCGGGCGGAGCTCGCCGAGCTGGGGGCCGCACACGTCGGGCTAGAGCGTGCCAAGGCCGAGCTCGAGGCAGCCCTGGCCGCCGAGAGGGAGGCGGGCGTCGCGGCAGAGGCCAGGATTGCGCAGGCCCACGAGGAGACTGCAGAGTGCCAGGCGACGCTCCTGGCCGCCCAAGAAAACCTGGCGCAGGCAGGAGCAGAGGCCGAGGCCCGCCAGCGACATCTGACTGCGGAGGTGGAAGGTGGGTCCCGGGTGGGGGATGATGAAAAGGGATGTGGTGGGGACGCATGGGTTTCGACGCCGCTATCCTTCCACGCTTCCCCCAGGATGGGCCTGGGTAGGGAATCTCAAACTCTGCCACTGACCGCCTCGCGCAGATGCCAAGGCCGTGGCGGAGGCGGCGCGGGCGAGCTGGGGCGAGGAGACGGCAGCGCTGTCGGCCCGGATCGATGAGCTCGAGCTTCAGCTGACCGGCGCAGCTGAGGCGCTCGCGGCGTCGCGGGCAGCCCAGGAGGCTGACGAGGCGCAGGCCAGCCAGGTGCAGGAGGTGCTGCGTGCCGAGAGCGATGCGCTGCGGCAGACCCTGGCTGCAGCGCAGGCCGACCTCCAGGCCGCCCATGCGGCTCACGAGGTGGGGTGGGAGGAGGCATGCGGGGCTGGCCCCTCCGCAGGGCTCCTGCTGAGTGTTTGGGGGGGTGGTATGGAAAGCCGTCTGTCTACTCGTATCGTCACCATTCTACCTGCGGTGTGACGGGCTCCCCCTGACCGCCTTCCCCGATCCACTTCCCAGGCAACCCAGAGCGAGCTGGCCCAGCTGCAGTGCACGCTGGACCAGGCACAGGAGGCACAGCAGACCGCGCTGAGGGACCTCCAGGTGCTGTGGAGGATTCCTGGCAGAGCCCGGTGCTAGGGCTGCATGTGCATGCAGGCAGTACACGTGGGGCTGAAGGATGACCATGGCACCCTGCCCCTCCGCGTCCCTGACATGTAGTTCTTCGGGCTCCCTCCTCCCAACCCCCACAAACAACACAAACTCCACCGCAGGCTTGTCGGGCAGACCTGGAGAAGTCGCAGGAGGAGTGCACGGACCTGGACATGCGGGCCATGCAGGCCGAGGGCCAGTCCGCTGCGCTGAGGCAGGAGGTCGTCGGCCTGAAGGAGCAGGCCGATGCCTGGAGGGAGGAGCGCAGCATGCTCAGCACGCAGCTCGCTGAGCTGGAGGACGCACTGCGGGCAGCCCAGGTGCGTGGGTGGCCGACGCTGGGTGCCAGGGGTCCCAGTGGGCCTGCTGATTGCGGGGTTGGGGTGCGGGGGGTTTGAGGGGCGGATTCCTGCATACGTCGTGCAGAAGGCGGTAGCCACACGCTGGGTGCACCGGCCACCCGTCGGGTGCACTGTTCCTGCCAGGCTGAAGAAATAGTGGTGCACCTCACCCTAGCATGCCACCCATCACACTGGCCAAGATCATCTGACCCACTCACCTTCAGGAGGCTGCGAACATGGCTCGCCAGCGCTTGGGAGCAGCTGAGACCCGGGCCGAGGCCGCGGAGGAGGAGCTGCGTGGGTGAGACTGCATTTTGGGGTGGAGGGGTTGGGTTCCGAGCGCAACACGTGCTCGCAGGAACACCCCCTGCGGCTCGGGCCCTGCTGCCATGCTGGCCGCATGATCGCTGGCATCCACCCACACCCCCTCTCGGTGCTTCGCAGAGCGGAGCTGAGGGTGGCGGCGGCGCGCCGCGATGCGCAGGAGGCAGAGGTCCAGTGCCAGAGGCTGCGGGACGAGGTGGATGCAGTGGAGGAGCAGCTCCTTGCCAGGTGCTTTGAGACAGGAGTGCAAGGGGAGGCCAGTCCGCTGTGCAGGAATCCCTGTGTAAAGAGGTCCCCCAGGGCTGGCTTCCAGGATACACTGCAATGATCAGCACAGCCTCGCGCTGCCTTGCATGGCTGCCCGCTGTCGTATGATGCTGATCCGTCTTTCTTTCGATGCAGCGCCGACGACCTCCAGAAGCAGTCTGAGCAGGCCGCCGCTCAGCTCCAGGTGACTGCACGGGAGCTAGCCGTGTCCAGTGCACGACTGCTCCCCTGGGCTCCGTGCCATGCAGTGTGCTGGCTGCAGCGTGTCATGGGGTGACGTTCCCCTTGCATTTCCTGCGCACAGGCCCTGCAGACCGAGCTCGCGGCAGCCCGCGCTGTGCAGCAGCGACAACAGGTACGCAGCGTGCATGGGGGCGTTGATGCAGGGGGCTGGCGGGTGCAGTCGCGATTGTTGGGCACGTGCATGCTGTCATTATGATGTCGTGCGCATGCGTGCTTTGAGCAAGGCATGGATCCCCCACACCCAGCTTCCCTGCGATTGCCGTGATGTCTGAACAACTCGCTGGCGACCCGCCCACCCGATCCTAGCACGCCCCATCCCACCATCACCACGCACAGGTCCCGCCCTCGCCGGACCCGGCGCTGGCGGATCGCTGCGCCGCCCTGGAGGCGGAGCTGCGCAAGTCGAAGCGCAGGGAGGAGAAGCTGCAGGCGCTGCAGTACCGGCTGCGCGAGGACGTCAAGGCCTGCGGCGGCGACCTGGCGCGGCTGGAGGATCTGAGGGAGCGGCGCAGCCTGGAGTACGAGCTGGACCGCACCCAGAACCGGGCCAGCAGGGAGAAGGCCGCGCTGCGGGACCAGCTGCGGGCGGCGCTGGCCAAGTGCGCGGCTCTGGAGGGGGGGGTGAAGGGGGGTGCGCCCCGCCCCGGCGTGCTGCAGGCCAGGGAGAATGTGCGGCCCTGCTAACAACGCTCCAGGAGCACACGCCCGTGCTGGATGTTGACTCGACTCGATTGGCCTGACACCTGTACACCGACCGTGTGGAAACTTAAACCTTTGGCCTGCCATGCACTTGCGAGTATCAGGGGACACCTCTGTTGCTGTGCATGCTGCGCACGAGGGCGCCGTGAGCTGTCCTCGACACGACATTGCGCACGCGCGAGGGTTGCACACATGCGCTGCTCCCCCATCATCTCCCTCCGTACCATGAGCGCCCAGGGGAGCCTTACTTCGGGCCCTTAGCCATGCTCCCCTTGCATCGGTCGAGGCCTGGCACACGACCAGAATGGACTGTGCAGCCTAGCTCCAGGCCGCGCAGGTGTGGTACGTTGCACCTTACGGCACGGTGCTCCGATGCAATGAGATCAATCACAGCTCAACGAGAGCTTGGCTTGACCATAGTCCACCCACTCGCACTGATCCAGGCAGAGGAAGCCCTCCAGCTCGCTCACGACCTATCTGTGGACGGCTGTTGCCATCTTCGCCCTCGTGACATATTTCTTGTACCGCACACTCAGCAATGCGGATGTCAAGGTGGGCAGGGGCTGGAGTGCACCACAGGCGACAGCTCATCATTGCGCGCCGTCCAAACAACAGGATCAGATATATGCCAGTCTGCCCCCGAATCCTGTAGGAAGCCACAGTCGAGCTAGAGAAGCTGTATTCTCGTCCCTCCCCAGAGTACTGCTTGCGGAAAACGCCCCCACTGGTGTGCGGCCATGGCGGGGACAGCAGCGACGCTCCACCGAACTCCGCTCGCGCTTTCCAGACCGCGCTCCAGGACAACGTGCCCTGCATGGAGGTGGGGTCCGGAGCGCGTCACACACTGCAAGGCGTCGGGAAGGCAGAGGGTGGCGACCACTTGTGCACAGGGTTGCCCATGACCGCCGCAAGCATGCCTCCAGGAAGCCCGCGTCAATGTATGTCGATGTTCGCCTGCCCAGGGGATCTGGTGCACACCTTCATGCAGGTGGATGTCGCGCGCACCAAGGATGGGCGGCTGGTGGTGCTGCATGCCCGTGAGCTGGCCGCCTTGACAGGCACCAGTGGCAAGCAGGTACGGCCAGAGCTGTTGAGGCGAGCGGTGCGGCGATGTAGCACCGCTGGGATGCCGAGACTTGTGCGTCAGTTCGGTGCATGAGGCGAGTCAGGCCTCAAAGGGCATGCTCTGGGGTACACACTGTTCCTGAACACCCCTGGATGGGCATGATGCCCTGTTCTGCTTGCGCAGCCTGAGATGTGTCGTCTCTGACACTTGTATCCCCATCGTTCAGGTGAGCGAGTACTCCTGGCCTGAGCTATCCCAGCTCAGATGGGGGGACTCTGACGAGGGAGTCATGCCGGTGAAGCCACTGTTGCAGCTGCTGCAGCCTAGCCTCCAGACCATCATTCTTGATGTCAAGCCTACTCTGGATGTAGGGCACTGGCGTGTGGTTGGCCTTCTGTTGATGGCTTGCTATGCTTGGCTTGGCTGGTTGCTTTTGCTTGCCAGAAGTCTCACTCTCAAACCATGCATGAGAGCGATGGACCCGCCAAGAGGGGCCCACAGCCGCATGCTGCATGTCTTCATCATATCATTCATGTTCTGCAGAAGTCTGCTGCACAGACCACATCATCATATAGGTAGTGTGCGAACTCAGCAACTCTCATCCACAACACATCACCCAACAGGACAACATGCAGCCCACTGACCTGCCAGTCATGACCTCTGCTGTGGCTGCACTGCTGCGAGAGGTCCCATGCCCAAACTGCATCGTTTGGGGGAAGTTTGATGAGCTGGCACTGGCGCTTCGCCAGGCTGTCCCAGGTCAGAGCGTGGGCTACGTCGTCATGAACGAGACCGCCGAGGTGCGCTGGGCAAGGGAGGGTGGGCTTTGTGGCGAGGATGCCACCTGCTGTTTTGACATTTGCTGGAAAGTATGGTTCAAGGGTGCAACTCGATGCCGGGCCCACACTGCTAGGCTGCCTCTTGCTAGCCGGTGGTGGTGAGGCTGCCTGGCACTGCTGGGTGACCTTCGTACACCCCCTCCCGTTTCAGCTCCTGTAATCTTCGCTGCACACAGGTGCGAAGTGCAGGGTGGGACGTCCCCCTCCGCTCCCCCGAGGCTCAAGTGACGGCGCTGCACTATGCCATGGCCTCCACCCAGCTCCTGGACCTCCTCCATGCCGCTGCAAAGCGGGTGATCGTGTGGACCGCCAATGCGCCGCACATGGTGCGACTGGCTCTGGACGCGGGGGCGGACGGTGTCGTGACCAGCTACCCAAAGATGGTGCAGAAGGCGCTGATGCAGCGGCGAGACGCATGTCTCCGGCTGTATGGACATGCGCCCGTGGGCTGATGGCCTCTGAGCAGGCATTTATGCATGTTGATGTCCTCTGCGGCGTCAAGCTTCTCATCGCTGTTGTCCACTGCGATGGGCCGCCCCCCCAGGCAATGCTACACACCTCTTACTTTGTCATCGTGATCGCATGACCCCTGACCAAGCATTCTTCATCCGTGACTCGTACTGACTGATACACTCTCTGCTCTAAAACAGTGACCCCTGAACTGATCACTTTTGACACCCAAAATCTAATGCACTCCTAATTAATACACACCTTGCCGCTGGATGAGGTTCAAGATGCCCTGGGGACCAGCCAGGATCTCATTCAGGAACGACAGGATCGCAAACCAGGCGATGGGGGACACATCCAGACCATTGAATGGTTTGATGATCTTCCTCGTGGGCGCCAGCACCGGTTCTGTGGGAGGGCAGTGTGAGGCTTTGTGTTGTCGGCGATGCTAGGCTGGTGCTTGGAGGGGCACATGTCATGACCGGCAGGCACAATGCCCAAGCCAGCGGCATCCAAGTCCATCCAGTCATCACCTGTTGGCCAGTACACAAACGACCAAGGAAGCTTCTGCATGTCTATCTCGGGATACCACGCCAGGATTATCCTGCCAATCATACCCAGGCTCAGCACTGTGAGGATGGGCTTCAGTATTCCCAGCAGGAGCCCAGCGTCGGCTGGAGAGATGGCCAGGAGCATGAGGTCGCCTCCACTCGGGACTGCTCGAGGGATGTTTTTCATTCCCATATGTTGCCTGTGTCTCAGAGCTCCAGCTCGAATGGACGCATGGGCCAGAGGGATTGGGCAACATTGCTGCATTGGCGTTCTCATGAGGCCGCTGTGGCATCCTGCTGAGGACAGTCCAAAGCTCATCATGCCGGTCCACGCAGGGCTCGCAGGTCTCCGAAAGGATGAGGGATACAGAACCGATGTTCGTTCGATGTGAGAGCAAGTTCGACTGTGATGCTCTCTGTGCGGCATGGTGCCCTCACGTCCTCCATGAGGCGCGAAACGGGCGGGAGTGATGTTCGGCCCTCGGCAGCACCGGAGATCGATGACATACAACACCCCAACAAAAGCCAAGCGTAACACACGAATTTGCAAAACAACTCGTTGGCTGCATCGGGAAGCCCATTCTGACCTCCAGAAGAGTTGCGCCCAGGAAGACCAGTCCCAAGTATACGTTACAGGACAGTGGTCCGGGGCCCAACATCTACAGCTCGCCCCGGCATCTGTATTACCCTCGCCATGGCGCGACGGAGCTTGGACCTTGTGAAGCACGTCAAGTTCCTCGCCCAGGCGGGTGCCATCACCAAGCCAAAGTGGCTCGACGTCGTGGAGAAGTGAGTTGCAGCCGAGGCCAGCAGGGGGGTTGCAGCGTCGTGAGTATAGTGAAAACGCACCAGACAATACTCTCAATCCCATGCAGGATCCACCCTGCCGTCCCTGCCAAGAGCAGTAAGAAGCCAGCCGTGCTCAGGTTCCCAGAGGATGACCTGCTACAGGCCTACTATGCCAAGCACCCCGAGGTAGAAGGCTGTGCCTGGCATGGGCAGTTTCTTCAAAGTGTGCTGGGGCTATGCCCATCCTGCCCGGTGCACACCCTCTCCAGTGTCCCTCACTCACGCGCAGGCGAAGATGGAACCAGTTGACTTGAGCTCCTTTGAGCCCACCAGTGCTCGGAAGTTTGTGTTCCGACAGCTCGAGGTGATGCAGACGGGTGTGCCACGAAAGGAGGCCTACGACATTGTCTCCAAGGAGGTGGCCGAGGCAGCGTGAGTTGGGAGGTTGGGAGCTCTGTCACACCTTTTCCGGGATGCTGGGCGCATGCCCTAGCACACACCAGGATTACAGTTGTGAGACCTGGCACCTCCGGCCAGGCGTGCTAAACTGGCACTCGAGATGAGGAATCAACCCTGTGTGGTTGTACACCTCCCATAAATCTGCCTCCAACCGATCGAGCAGGAGCACCAGCGACGCCCCAGCACTGGGCAGAGTGGTGCTGGACCAGATCCAGCAGGAGGAGGAGTGGCACCTCATGAATGCCATGAGCCAGTTCAGGGAGAGGTGCGCGCTGAGGCACCTCATGCTGAGAGGCACATGCCGAGCTCATGTCTCGACTTTGCCACCCCCCTCCCCCCTCCTCCTGCAGGCATCCCACGGTAGCCAAGCTGTCGCCGAAGAAGCCGCCTCCTGCAAATCCCAACCCAGCCAAGGGCAATGCGCGACGACCACCAAAAAAGGCGCCGCGGCCGACCCCTGCGCCGCCAGCGCAATCTATGCCTGCTTGACTGTCAGGAGCTTAGGGCCCCGTATGGAGCTAGCATTGGTGTCCTGAGTGATGTATGTTTACAGGATCAGAAGTAGACAGAGCTTGTGTCGAAAAGGCATCTCACAGGGTGGCCACCAGGGCGGTAACGAAGTCAGCGTGCCATAGGAAGGCAGCGAGTCCCAGTGCACAAGGTTGTAGGGGACACGGAAACAGTGCATAAAAGGTCAAAGATGTTGGGGAAGAATGGACCACGAGAGGGCTGTGCTGTGCATGATCAGCGAGGCACCTCGGCATTCCTCTAGCACTCCTTGAATGGGGACAGTTCATCGCCAAATGTATCCGAGTTCCATCGTATTTGCCATAAGTAGCTCCGTGCAGATCCTCGCGTCGATTCTCGTCAGTCACCCACACCCTGCATGAACACCTCCCGCTGGTGACCCAGGCACTTCATGACGATGCTCGCGTGCCGCACAAACCTTGCGAAAGTCAATGTCGGCTACATGGCCTGTGCCAGGACTCCCTGCATGTCACGCTGCGTTTCGCGGAGTCTCAAAACGTCAGCGGCCGGTGAGGTGGGGGTCAGCGAGGGCCTTACGTCCACAACATCTGCCCTTCACTCAAACGATGCAATGCTCGCACACACACAAACATGCAGCCAGCCAAGACCAGCGAGTTGCGAGCCCATCCACCAAATGGTAGGGCAATGAAAAGAGGCATGGAGCCCATGACATGACGCGCTCTCTCTCCTCCGGGCATGCCCACATCACCATGCCAACGTCACGTCCCTCTGGTGCAGGGCGCAGGCGATGATCCAGTTGCCACCCTTGCCTCGTGGGTGCCATGTGATAACACCACAGATCAAGCAGCAGATGCCAGACCTCAAAGACTTCCGGATCGGTCTAGCCCACCTCTTTGTCCTGGTGGGTGGGGGCAGACTTGCCCGCTTGGCGGTGTTTCTGCATGAAAGGCATCCTTTTGCCCCATGGACATAGGGTGCTGCACTTCATCGAGTGTCTCCCTGTCAACTGCTCGTGTGCCATTGATGAAATGAATTTCAAAAGCATATACATGTTTTGGTGAGATTCGCCTCATTTCCAGAACATTTCCACTCCAGACTGCTTGCTGCATGTGGCAGCGCCCCTCTTCCTCATCTCTCACCTCCTGCATTCTGGTGCAGCACACGAGCTGTTCGCTGACGATCAACGAGAATGCCAGCCCGGATGTGCCCCTTGACCTGGCCGACACCCTCGACAGGATTGTGCCCGAGGGGCGGCAGTACAGGCACCTGGACGAGGGCCTGGACGACATGCCGGCCCACGTGAAGGTCAGGCGGCTTGTTTCGAGGGAGGACCGGGCTTTTCCCAAGGATTGCCCTGGCCATGGGGAGCGCTAGTGACAGGCATCAGCTGGGCTATAATGATTCCTGTCGGAACAACACTCGCACAATGCACAAGTGCTGATCCGCCATTGCACTCCATTGCCACAGTCCTCGCTCATGGGAGCTGGACTCACCATTCCAGTGCGAAATGGACGTCTGGCACTAGGTAAGTGCCCTCTTGAGGATGGACCGCTAGTCTTACACTCATGTCATGGAGGAAATGACACCCATTGTGCTCCTGCAGTACAGCCGAAGACCGAGCTGCCCATGCCTGTCCCTCCTGATCTAAACAGGAACGTGGCAAGGCATTTACTTGAATGAGCATAGGGACTATGGCGGCAGCAGGAGCATCATCGTGACTGTGCAGGGTCAGTCCACCGCTTGAGTCTTCGTTGGTGCAAACGCAGAGTCTTTGGCAAGCAATCGCCGCTCACCATATTTTTGAGATGGGGCGTGTATAGTCCATGAATGATGAGCAAACCCACACGCTCGCCCTGTAACTATACAAAGTTGTTTGGCGGTGCCCCCCTCTTGTGAGAAAGCAGTGCTGGTTTCACTCATGTGGTGTCGCAGGCTGGGTTTCAAACCCGGATTACACTGCCTAGGACTTTGCCACATTAGGGCGAGCGACATCGAGTACTGCAGTGTAGCTTTCACACATTTGTACAGGAACTTGATATCAGGCGACCAGAACCTGGGCGGGGCCACTGCTCTGAGTTTCGGAGTTTCGGGATGGCGGCACTGACGGGCAGGATGCTATGCCACATCCCACCGGCCTCCCTCCAGGCTAGGCAGGCGCGGGCAACCGGTTTAAATACACGGCGACAAGGCTCTTGGCGGACGCAGACGCGCTGGAGGAGGCCACAGACCCTGGCCACCGCTGCACCGGTGTCCCCACCCACCTCGCCATTTGCGAACGTTGAGCACGAGGCCCAGCTCTTCGCCATCCTGAAAGCAGGCACAGCGAGTGGGAAGGTAAGTGGCAGTGGATTTGAGGAGTCTGCGTTTGCAGGGTTGGATCTTGGCAAGGAGCCTGTTACTAGCCTTGCGACACCAGGGCTTCGCCAGGTCCTTTCTCCTTGTCCCCTGCAGATCCCGCAGCGCTTGGTGGATGGCATCATGGAGCTTTACGATAACTACAAGAAGGCGGTGGTGGGGAGTGGGAAGCCTGGGGCCACCGAGGACTTTGTTGCCAAGGTGCGTCCTGTTGGCTCCACGATGCTCCTCCTCCCTGCCCTGACACAAATGTGGACCTTGGGAGGCCACAGCAGGCCTCTCTCTCATCTGTTCAGCCAAGCCTGTCGTCACCCACCCCCAATGCCCCCTGCAGGTCATGGCCACGGTGTGTGAGCGAGTGTTGATGCAGGTCCAGCAGCCCTTTGTCTTCCAGTCCACACACAAGCTCATCCTGGAGCCGTACAACTACTACCTCTTTGGCCAGCGATACATCCGGGGGCTAGTCGACTTTGACAAGTCTCGTTTGGGCCATGCCGAGCGCTTCGCCACCATCCAAGAACAGCTGGACCGAGGTGAGGGCTGGTGCACTTTCTTCAAAGGGTACGAAACTGGAGCCTTTGTGGATATGCCGAGGACTGGCAGGGATGCGACGCCCAGTCAGACTCCTGAAGAAAGCTTTTGGCGTGTCTGGGATGGGCGGATCCCTCTTTTGGGTGGATGGGCTGCCCCACAACTGCAGGTGCACTCGATAGTCGGCGCCGCACCATGCCATGCCACGCAGGGGAGAATGTCGTGCTGCTGGCCAACCACCAGACGGAGGCCGACCCGGCGGTCTTTGCCCTCCTACTGGAGGCGCAGTTCCCCAGGCTGGCCACCGACGTCATCTACGTGGCGGGGGACCGGGTGGTTACCGACCCGGTCTGCGTCCCCTTCTCCATGGGACGCAACCTGTTCTGCGTGCACTCCAAGGTGCGGCCGGGGAGGTGGAGAGGGGTTTGGGGGACTTCCTGATTGGCATGCCGCCAGAACGGTGAGTGTAGGTGGAAGTACTCCCGTCAGCGTAAGGCTGATGTCGGTAGGGCGTGCCGTCTGCCAGGGGTCGCTCGCGCCACCTGGCATGCAGCACGAACAGAACGGTGGGGCGTCCAGGGAGCAGCAGCCCGATGCTGCTCGTGGGCTTCCACAGATCCACCAGGGGCCTCCTCACTCCTCACATGAAACTGCCCCGGGCAATTCCCCTCCCGCTCACAGAAACACCTGGACGACGTCCCGGAGCTCAGAGCCGACAAGGCCGCCATGAACCGGCGCACGCTCAAGGACATGCAGGCGGCGCTGAATCGCGGCGGCCAGCTGCTGTGGATCGCGCCCTCCGGGGGCCGTGACCGCACCATCTCCCCCGAGAACGGTGCGGTGTGTGGGGGGGGCACAGCCTCTCTTGATGGGACCCCGAGCCAATATGGAGTCTCGGGTCGGGTGGGGTGGGGATGGATGATCCAGGTGCTCACGCATGGAGGGAAATAGCTTGACGCAGCACACTAGACCTGCCCGTCTGCGACGCAGGCGAGACCGTCCCGGACGCGTTTGACCCGGCGGCGGTGGAGCTGATGCGGGCACTGACGACGCGTGCCAAGCCGGTGGGCCACCTATATCCCTTTGCCATGTACTCGTACAAGTGAGGCGTCGGCTGGGCGTATGGCTGAGGATGGGAAATTTGATGCAAGTGGTGATTCAATGGGCCGCTCCGAGCGGGTTTTCCAACTCAACGGGCGGATTTTGGAGCTCCCTGGAATTTGTTACATGGAACAGGCTCTCGCCTCCTGCCGCTGCTGCCTTGGATTGACAGCATTCCCAGAAGTCCGGCCATTCACCTGTGGCCATGATGATCGACGGCGTCGCCAGCACTCCCCTCCCTCCCTTTCCTCGTACAGGGTGATGCCGCCCCCCACCTCCATAGAGAAGACCATCGGCGAGCAGCGGGTGGTCAACCATGCGGGCGTAGGTATCTCAGTCGGGCCCGAGCTGGATGTGGACAGCCTGTTGGCCGCCGTCCCGGCGGATGACAAGGCCGCGCGGCAGGCGGCGCTCTCCTCTGCGGCTTTCGACGGCGTTACCACCGAGTACACCGCCCTGTGGCATGCTGTGCACGCTGCGCCCGAGGACGTGGCGCCCGAGTACACCCAGCCGTGGAAGGCTGAGCCGGCTAGGCCGCTGGTAGACTACCTGTGATGAGCAGGGCGGGCTCCCTGTGCAGTACTCACGGCAGTCTGCCCATGCCCTCCTGCCCAGATTTTATGTGGCCCAGCCCAGCTCCGCTGTGCCCTTTCCCTCATTAGTTCCGTGTAGCGCAGTACAGCCTGGAGGGGTTCATTGCGAGACCTGGCGGGGCATGAGCGGTGGGGTGCAGTATTCACTGTTCTTCCAAGGGATTGTCTTATAGGAGGCGAGGGGTACGTTTCCTGGTCAATGCATTCTTCGGGGTCCAGTGTGCAGAGCATAGTTGGTAGCCTCCTCAGTCAGCACTGGACGACTGCCTGGCTTTCAGTACAGGTCCTCCTCCTTGTGGGTCTGGATGACGCAGTCGGTGGTTGGGTAGGCCACGCAGAGCAGCGCATACCCCTTCTCCATCTGAGAGGGCAAAGCGACGATGTGAGTACCGTTCCACGCCCATGACAGGAATGCATCATACAGGCTGTTCACTCCCGGTCGATGCAGGCGATGCCCTCCCCCCCTTCCAACCCCCACCCTCCATGGCGCACCTGGGTATCGTCCAGGAAGCTCTGGTCGCTCTGGTCTACTTCACCAGTGATCACCTTTCCCACGCAGGTCGAGCAAGTGCCTGTGGTGCAAGGCTGGTTGACATTCACCCAGCGCCACTGCAGCAGCGCGACTCAGTTCTCCCAGAGGCACACGAGATGCAAAACGTATGCCATACATTTCCACGTACCTGAGCGGCAGGAGTAGGGCAGGTCCAGGCCCGCATCGTCGGCAGCATCCAGAATGTACTGGTCCTCAGGGACCTCGATGGTCTCCTCCTCGCCATTCTCAAGCTGGAAGGTCACTTTGTATGCATTGCAAGCCAAAGAAGCTCTACGGTGAGCCAGCGTGCAGAGGAAGAATGGGGCCCGAGCGGGAGCTGCAGTGCTGGCGCCAGGGGTTTGCACCCTGCCGACCCTCGCAGCCAGCACGGGGGGACGGCTTGCCAGAGCGTTTGCCATTCTGTCTATGCTTAACTAACCGTACTATCGAAGAGGTTGACTCTGAGGGTGTAGAAATAGAATGTCTCTACAACCAGGTGATGGAGTCCGCTTGTTGTCTCGTTGGGTTGTGGCACGTGTCCCTCCGCACATAAGAGTGCGACTTGCCCCGTGCATGCCAAGGCCAACGGCTTGGATCTCTCCAGCGACTGGTTGCGAACGTGCGTCAACTTTGCTAATAGAGCACTGTGAACTCGCTCTTGTCTGTCCCTGTTGTTACGTTCCTTGGCAAGCAATGGGAAAATCTCTATGCCCAGCCATACTTGCGCTTGGTCTCCGTCTTGTTCCTGATACCAGCAGCATGCTGTGGGGGGTTGGTATGGGTTCCCATGAGTGGTTCCTGACTGATCACGTCAGGATGTTATACCGCTCAAGTATCTTCGAGAGTAGGCTCATCCTTGCTACCCCGCTCATTGTCTTAAGGCCACGCTGGAAACCTGTCACCCTTGAACCCCCTCCAGTCTACTTAGGTAGCGATGCATCCCATGCAATCCTTCACCCTTCATACCTTCTCCAGCATCTCCAACTCTTGCAGCTTGGCCTGCTGGAATAGCGATCCGATCTGGTGCTTTCGCTTTTGCATCTTTCCAACATCAGGCCCTGTGGTGGATGGAAGGAGGGACAGCACTCTCAGCCTAGGCTCCTGCGGTGATGAGCCCCCCTGCTTGGTATTGTCAGACGAGTGCAGCCAGCATGTGGAAGCCTTCATCCCTACCTGCTTCCTTGCGGAGGCGTGCCTCGTAGTCTGAGCCTAATGCAGATCGCATGGCATTCAGCTCAGCTCTCTGTCCTGGATCCATATACCGCAGGGCTGCTCCATTCACCTGTGCACGATTGGATTCAGAATGAGTACAGTTTGATGAAAGCAGGCCTCTTGTATGCCTTCGGTCTGCAAGGTATATCCAAACACACCTGTTCCCACTCTTGCTCCAGCAATGCTCACCCTGATCAGCATAAAACCCCTCTCCCCCGCCCTCGCCTGCTCTGCCCACCTCCTTAAACTGTATGCCGGCTGCAGTGAAGGCAGCCACGTCTGGACCAGCAGGGGCTGGCATGCCCTGTGATGCATAGTAGTCTGCGTGGGGTGCTTGGGCACCTGTGCCCTCCAGCTGCCGGCCGCTGGTGCTGGCGTGAACCCCGTCACCGAGCTGCTCCAAGACCTCATTATCACCACCACCTAGGAAGGGCACCATGTGGATGGTAAGTCGTCGTTGAAGCATACGAAACTTCCCATGGACCAGCGGGCTGGCAAAACCGACGAGCCCCTTGCAGGGAGAGACTCCAGGTCTCACCTGGCCCAAGGGTCATGGCGGTGCCATCATTGGCACCCAGAGCCTTCAGCTCGTCCTCGTCATCAGAGGCCCCACCCGCAGTGTACGCTGTGCCCTGCAACATGGACTGGGGCATGTAGAAAATACTGGCCGTAACATACCCTGTCCCGTCGCCATGCACCCGCAGTGGGACGGGCCACCAGGGCAGCGTTCTGCATCGCTCACCTTTCCACTGCGTGGGGGGAGCACCACGTTCTTGGGTGATGGGAGGAGGTCTGCCAGGCGACTGCTGCGTTGTGCAGCTGGAGCAAGCTTTGCCGGTGCTTCCTGTGTGGCAAGATGGGGACACGCGGTGGGGTTGGGTGAGCTTAGCGGGGTGCCAGCAATGGCGGCCTACAGCAGGACATGATGGACATTTTGTCCAAATTCACAGACCTGCATCTTCTCCAGGACGTCTGGAGTCACTCCACCAAAGTCTATGGGGACGCCAAAGCGGGCCTTGGGAAGTTTGTGCTGACGCTTGGGTGGCGCCACGCCAGAGAAGAGGGGGACCTGGCGCCAGGGAACGGCCAATCAGGGTGAAGCAGGTCTAGGAGGCACATTCAAAGCACCTGGTCCGGTAGTAGACAAGCACACCTGGGACGCTTTGGGTGGGGGCAGCCTGAAGCTGGGACCAGGATGTTCACTCTCGACGGCTGGAGCGCTTGTGACGGGTGCTAATTGTGCCACGTGCTCGGGCGAGGATGGTTCGCTTCCATCGTCACTCCCGTAGCCGGCCAGGAATTCCATTAGAGCCACCCAGGGGTCTCGATGGTGTCGCCCAGCCTGGCGTTTCTCTCTGCGACACCGACACAGCCCACGACCACAGGTCTAGCGATGCAGTGTTCCTTTAAATGTTGTGGAATGGACGATGTTTCGCGTAGGACTTATAAAGCTTCTGGGACGTGGATCATCCTGCAATGTCGCGCATGGCGAGGGAGACGATCCTACGCGGGAGTAGCCTCCATTTCCCCTGGTCTGGATTTCATAAGTACTGCGAAGCATCCCCGGTAGCAGCTCCTTAGAATCCCTGTGTGGCCTTCTCTACGCGATCATCAGTTTTGGCCGTGTGCAGCTAGACGGTACATGCCCTTCAGTATCCACATTCCTTCCCAAAGCACTCTGTACGTCTCCAGCGCCTAATTGCTGCAGCCAAATTGCGCCTCTGCCAACTGCCATGTCCTTTAAACGTTACAACACTCCACCCGCTCAGTCAAACAGGGAGAAGCCCATGTCCTGCATTGTTCGAGGAGTAGTAGCATTAGATGTCATTGCCAGGTTGGATATGCGGAAACTGCTCTCTGCAGCCAGTGTGAACAACAAACTCTCCCAAAGACTTCACAGCACCCCTCAGAGCATTGCATTGCCACTCACCGCATCCTCCTCCTCAGACTCCTCCTTCTTGGCCTCCTCCTTGGGTGCCTCGGCCGCAGCCGCACCAGCGGACGCGCCACCGGCAGAGGGGGCAGCGCCACCAGCGGGGACGGAGGCCAGCTTGGACAGACCAGACGCGACGATCTGCAGGACGATGTTTGGGGAGATGGTGGAGCATTTGCAAGCCCGCCAGCAACCAACACTCGACCCTGCTCCCTGCCCGAAGCTAAATCCATCATGCTGCCGCTGCTCATGAGCTGACCTCGTTGATGTCCTTGCCGTCAACCTCCTTCAGCAGAGTAGCGACACGCTCGCTGTCGGCCTCGATCCCAACTGCGAGGAGGTCGGGGGAAGGGGGGGTGAGGGGCTCGTCGTCGACACGTCGACGAGACAAGGAGCAGATGCGCCGACTTCCCTCAACATACAGCATCATGGTACAGCCGGGTTTCAGGAGTTTCTCACCAGAGGACAGGATCTTAGAGATGTCCTCAGCGGAGGGGGTGGCGTTGCCGCCCAGGGCAGCCAGGAGGTAAGCAGCGACGACCTTCACCATTGTGTTTGTGCCGAGTTGACCTGCAAGGATATTTAAGGGCTATGGACCCACCAGACAGGCTCAACACCGGATGCGAAAGGGGAGGAGTCGGGCTGGGGGCGGGAGGGACATAGCACTCGCCACACGGGAGGCGGCCCTTCCTGGGTCTGCCTGATGTTTTGGCGGGAAACATCTGTCGGCAAAGCTCTCTCCCGAACAAAGCACGCCATTCGAACTGTGCACCAACAGGTGTCGCTTCTCTGGCGACGAAGACTTTCTCCCACTCCCAAAAGGATATCAAGCGCTGTACTTGACACTGTCGAGCGCTGTCGAGCGAGGAGTCGAGTGCCGGACACTACCAGGACGCTGGGCTCAGAGACAGCATGCGCCATCTGGCTTGAGCACAGCCCAACCGCACGCGTAGCGCAAAATGGGAAAAGAAACGGCCTTGGGAGTAAGTTGGTGTGGAGTAGTAGAGCTATGCTGGGCCCGAGAGCGCTCTGATCCCGACTCACATCCACTCTGTCCTCACCAACCAGGCCGAGGTGCCCTCCCCTCCTCCGTCCTCAAAGTTTGCTTCTGCAGACTCCATTGTCAGCAGCATCCTATACCTAAAATCTGTCCTAGCGAGTACGTGAGTGGGCGGGTTTTCCCCATGGGCATCTGTTCTGCTGGCAGTGCTTAGACGCCCTTCTTTTACCGCCGACCCGCACAGGTCAAGGATTTGGGCACGAGCTCAACCTTCTTTCCACCGATCCCGACGATGTGGCGGCCACCTGCAACATCATTTACGGGCTGATGGCCCAGCAGCAGAGGGATCACACCTTCCGAGAGCATCTGAAACAAGGTGATGTTTTCTATCGGGAGGGGACAAGGAGGAGATGGAGTCGGAACTGCACACTCTCGTGTGTGCGGTGAGGTCTGGAGCGCATCATGGCTTAACGGTACCTATTCTGAGCAGCCATGCACCGAGAACCACGCCCCTTCTGCTCCTGGTAGAGGTGTTCAAGGCGCGATCCCAACTCACTCAAGCCGAGAAGGAGAAGGCGCGGCTGGAGATGCGCATGGCTGCCAAGGAACGGGAGGTCTCCGCGCTGACTGGCAAGGTGGGGGTGGTGAGGACCTGAGTGCAACGAATACTTGCAAGGGCCATGCATGGCCTGAAGGTGATGGTGGGGATGTCCTCCGGAGTAGACACCCTGCACCAAAGTACTGATTCCCGGCGTCCTAGATGCCCCATTGGCCCATGCATGACCTCACCCTGCCCCCATGCACACACCCAGCAACTGGCGGATGGGGAGGGGCTGAGGGCTGACCTGCGAGCCGCCAAGCAGGGCGCCGAGGATGCCGGGCGCAAGCTGGTGGGAGCCGAGCGACGGGTCGTGCAGCTGCAGCACGAAGCCAAGCGGAAGGAGCTGGAGTACGAGCGACTCCAGGAGAAGTGGGTGGAAAGCGGATGACATCGTGGGGGGGGGGGGGCGGTGTGCATAGTGGGAGGGTGGCGGCCAGAGCTGGCGGCACCCAGGTGCACCCCAGCCGCAGCCTGTTCCTTGCCAGCAGTCGCCCTTTGGTGAAGATGCCGCCCGACCCCAGCCTGATCCCCCATCGCCCCGCGCGCCAGGCTGTCTCACATCCTGGCGGACAAGAGGAAGAGCGAGAAGGCGGTGCTGGACATGGCGGGCAAGGTCACCCAGCAGCTGGGGATCGGTCCCGTGGGCGCCGGCCGGGTGGTCAAGTCCGACGAAGGGCTCAAGGTATGTGACGAGGGTGGAGGGGCGTCAGACATCGGCAGCCCTGTGTTCTTGTCACATATGGTATGCAGGGCAATCTCGCAGCCCAGGGCGAGAGGGCATCCCTGCCAGCTGCAGTCTCCGTCCAGCGGTGTTGCTGGACCACATCGCTCACCTTCATCTCACGCCGTCTCCTTCCGTGCGAGCCTCGCCGAAGCCTCCCCCTCCCCTGCTCCACACAGGCGCTCATAGCGGCTCACGAACAGAAGCAGGCAGCACTGGAAAAGGAGAACAAGGATGTCAAGTCAGCGCTGCTGTCCCTCCAGGTCCGTGTCGCCTGATTTCAACCATCTGGCCGGCATGCAACTCCTGATTTTTAGCCAGGGCGGGGTGGGGTTTCACCCCTTCTGGAGCAGAAGGTAATGCGCCGGCCCCAGACGTGCGCAACTTGACTGGCACGGAGTGCAGCGCATGCGACGACCCGGCACCCGAGCGCTTGGGCCCTCCCCTCCACCCGTCGAGCAAGCCGCCCACCCCGTCCTGACGCAGGCGGAGTACAAGGAGCTCGTGAACTCCCGACAGCGCCAGGCCGCTGCAGATGCCGCGGTCTCCTCTGGCGCCGTGTCCAACGAGTTCATCGCATGTGAGCTGGGTTTGAGGGATTGAGCTGTCGAAGCTTGGAGGTTTGGGGTGGCGTGTACGCCCTCTGCACGCATCTCCGAGAGCAGGCAGGCAATCGGGTCTATGGCTGCCTCGGAGCTGATGCCGTGACTGGTTGTCAAGGCACCCATCCCTCACCATCACTTTTTCCCCACACCACATCCCCCATCCCACCCAACCCCACCTCGCCCGCCCAGCCATGCCGAGCATGGACCTGGAGGCCCTGTGCGACGAGGTCTCGCAGCGCCAGTCCCTGCTCCAGCGCCGCCTGCACGGGGCGGCGGGGGGCGGTGACGAGCCGGCCCTGCTGCGAGGGGTGGTCTGCGACCAGAGGGCCCTGCTGACGGGCATGCTGACGGCTGTCAGGTCCTCCAGAATGGTGAGGCACGCGCGATTGGGGAGGGCACCCTTGGCGGTGTGTGGTCTACCGCGTGCGTGCCCGCCCAGCGCCGAGCGTGCGCTCAGCATGCCCAGCGCCCCGCTGCCCACCGCGCAGGCGCAGGAGGCGCTGCACCAGGCCGACATGCGCCGGCTGGTGCACGACCACCAGACGCAGCTTGCGGCCGCCAAGACGGAGTGGGAGCGGGCCCGTGTGGACAAGGTGGGTCAGGGGACGGGGGTGGTGCTAGGATCGAAGAACGGAGGATCGGCACGCTCATGCGTATGCCTCGGCGACATGTCTTGACTTGAGTGAGGTTGGGAACAACACCATGCCTTGCAACCAATGGCTGCTCCCCTGACAACATCCGGTAGGAACGCCAACCCCGGGACCCCCCCATTGAACCCTGCAGGAGGGGAGCGTGGAGGGGGAGCTGAGCACGCTGCGGGCCCGGGCCACGGCCCAGGAGGCGGAGCGGCAGGAGGCGGAGGCGGCCGCGGAGGCCCGGGCCTCCGACCTCCTCACCCAGGTGCGGGCGGCGCAGGCGGCCCTGGAGGCCGCGGAGGCGCGCGACCGCGCCCAGGCCCGGGAGCTGGAGGAGGTGCGGGGGCGATCGGTCGCCGCCAGCCAAGCAGCGGCCGAGGCCGAGGTCGCGGCTGCGGCGCGGGAGGCTGCGCTCCTCGCCCAGCTGGCGGGGCTGGCCGCGGCGAGCGCCGCGGCCGAGCAGGCGGCCGGCGCCCGGCTGGAGGCGGTGAGGCAAGACTCAGCACGCGCGGTGGGCGAGGAGGCTGCGCTGCGCGTGGAGGTGGAGCGGCGCGAGGCTGCGCTGCGTGCAGAGCTGGCGGCCGCGATGGCGGCGGCCGCCACCGCCGGGGCGGCCCGCCTGGCGCTGGAGGGGCGCCAGGCTGGGCTGGACGGCGAGCTGGCTGCCAAGCAGGCGGAGCTAGATCGTTTGCTGGTGAGGAAGAAAGGTGTCGTGCATCTGGGATGGGTGTGCATCCTGAGCGTGGGGCCACGCTCGCACCTACACGCCTCGGCAGCGTCCCTGACAAAGTTTGCGGCCCCACCTCGCTCGCATTCCCTGTCCTTGCTGAGGCCTCCCCTACCCCCAATCCCCCGTGGCCTGCCCAGGCGGAGAGGGCTGCAGACCACTCTGTCGCCCAGGCCGAGGCCGAACAGGCGGCCGCGCGGGAGGCCGAGCTCCGGGGGGCGCTGTCGGCGCAGGTGGAAAGCGCGCGCGCCGAGTGGCAGCAGCGCACCGTCGAGCTGGAGCGGGCGCTTGGGGAGGCTCGGGCCGCCGCCGCCGCGGACCTCGCCGCCGCGAGGGAGGAGGCGGAGCGGCTGGCCGAGGCCGCGGCGGCGCGCGAGGCGGCGCTGACGGCGCGCCTGGAGGTCGGCCTGGCGGCCAGCGCTGAGCTGCAGGAAATAGCCGCAGAGCGCGAGCGGGAGCTGGCGCAGCTGCAGGCCGTCTTGTGCGGCGCAGAGCGCGAGGTGGCCGAGGCGCGGGAGAGAAGCGGGGAAGAGCTGTCTGCCGCCCTGGTCCATGTGAGTCGCCACAGCGGCGGTGCCGACGGCCGACTGTGGATTTTGCCGTTGAACTCCTCCTGGCCTTGCTCCAGGCATCTCTGTCGAACAGGGCAGCATGACTCGCGGTGCTCAGGTTGTGTATGTCAAACTGCACCACACCCTTTTGCTGCCCCTTGCAGGCCGCGGCCGAGAAGACGGAACTCGAGACCCGGCTGGCGGCTGCGGAGGCTGCCAGCCAGCATGTGCGCGATGGTGGCGGCGGTGTAAGGGGGCCAAGGAACTTGCGGTGGTGCTCATGCGCACCGGCCATGCTGGGACCCGGTCGAGGTGGAAAGCACGTCCCAGGCCATCCAGACCCCTGCTGCCACTCCTGGCCAGCCCCCATCTCATAGGATTTCCCCCGTTCACATGCATGCAGGAGCGGGCCAGGCTGGAGGAGCAGCGCCGAGCCACCGAGCAGGAGCGCAGCGACCTGACCCAGACCATCGCAGCGCTGCGCCGCCAGCGGGACCACTTCAGCGCCCAGCAGACGGAGTACAAGGTGCAGCGGGGAGAGGCACGAGAGGTTAGGGGAAGAGGGGGTGTCTGTTCGCGGGCTGCATGCATGCACAAAAATTGATGGCCATCGGCCGCTGGGTCACCGAGTGAGCACGCAGGGCGGGTGCTGACATGAGCGGTATACACCCGGGCACCAGAATGGTCGCTACGCCATCTCAGACATGTATTCGAGTCGAAGCCTCTGCGCGAGGAGATGGCGTGCTCACATGCACTGCTCCCTCTCATGCACACACCACTTTCCGCCACAGCCTCCGCTCGGCAGCTCCACCACCTCTCCCACTTGCATCCGTGCAGCGCCTCATGCGTCAGTACTTCCCGGGCATGGGGGCCGGGACCCTGCTGGAGAGGGCACTGGCTCGCAAGGTGGATGCCGCTGCGCAAGAGCTGGACGCCCTCGTGGTGCCGGTCCAGATCCCTGCCGGCGGGGTTTGAGGCGCAGACCCCTCCTTGCCACATCCAGCTTCCCACACCGCCTGTCCACACCCCTTCCTCGCAGCCTCTTGCATTGCACACCAACCACCCAACCTCTGCACCTCTGTGTCACGCGTGCCGATGGGCTCGTACTGTAACATGACAGCACCAGACAGATACCTCACTTCCCCTTCTTCCCCTCCTTCCGCCGCACGATCTCGTCCGAGTAGCGCACGCCCTTGCCCTTGTACGGCTCCGGCGGCCGCTTGGCCCTGCATGGGGGTGTAGCAGGCAGGGTCTTGAGGGAGCAGAATGGAGCACGTGGCAGCCATGCAAGCCGTTCCAGCTGGGGCACCCCCTCATTCCAACCCAGCGACTCTCAACCACACAATTCGCCATCACTCCCTTTCCCACCCCGCCTGGCCCAGGAGTCCTACCTGATGGTCGCGGCAAACTGCCCGACGACCTCCTTGTCGTAGCCATGGATGTTCACGGTGGTGTTCTTCACCACAGACACCTGCCGGCAGATGCGGTGGGGATTGGGCTTGGACATCCTCCCCGACCCGCCCCGGCAGCATGTATACACAGCAGAGCACTCCCATACATGCCTACCTCCACGCCGCCTGGAATAGCCAGCTCCACCGGCTTGGAGTAGCCCAGATTGAGCGTCAGCTTCGTCCCCGAGACTGCGGCTCGGTAACCCACTCCCACAAGCATGAGCGTGCGCGTGAAGCCGGTGGACACACCCACCACCATGTTGTTCAGGAGCGCACGGGCGAGACCGTGTTGGGCACCTGCCTCCCGCGTCTCCACATTACGGACCAGACGAATGTCACCATTCTCCTCCTGCAGCGCCACTAGGAAGTGGTGAGAGAAGAGGGTCCTGGAGGGTGGGGAGCAGAGCACCACCGCAGCAGTCCCCACACACGCTTGCCACAGCTCACCCTCGACACCGTGACGAGAGTGGATAGAGTCCGCGCGAGCTCGCCCTTGGGACCCTGTGGACGTGGATTCGTGGTACACGGTTCATGGATGAGAGGGTAGTCACACCTTCAGCCAATGCGGGCCTTCCCTTGCATGTCCTCGCCCAGGCCCACCTTCACGACAAAGTTGTGGCCGTCCAGCTTCACATCCACGCCCTTGGGAACGGGGATCGCCTTGACACCGATTCGGCTCTCTTTGCACTGGATGAGGCGGCTGATGCTCACACGCGGTCGGCCCACGTTGGTTTTGAAAGCGAAAGCCGGAGCAGAGGATAGGGCGGAAGCCATGGCTCCCTGACACGACTGAGCACTCCGTCCACTGCGCTCCACCTGTTGTTCGACAAGTACTTTGCGAGTGTAATTTGGATTTGGTCTTGGTTGCGATGCCAGGCCACCCGTCGGGCTCCAAACTTGCGCCTTATCTTCACCTCTGGCCCCGAGCGCAGCACGGCATGCATGGTGTCTGCGATTCGGAAGCGCACCGATGTCGGTACGGGAAGATGAGCGGGGGCGGGCCTTCGATTCCCCAAGTCCCCTCGAGTGATTTCTCAAATTTGCGACTGGTATAATGCAAGCAGCAGGCACAGCGTCTATGGCTGCACGACACCTGTGCCTAGTGTCTAGCCCAGGCCCAGGGTGCGCCACCCCAGTACTTCTGCATCTGATTCGCCAGTTCCTGAGCCACGCCTCGTCACCACCGGTACTTTTCTTGTGCGTTAGACAGACTCCAGCCTTGTGGGCCCAACTCCTCCGACGAGCGGGAGTTGGGGTGCAGGCCCTTGTGCAGGCACAGAGGTTGCACATTGTAGATTATCTGGCTGTGCTGGGGGGGGTTGAAGGGATGCCTCCAGGGGCGGCCCAGGGCTCGAGGTGCGATGGCGCAGCAACAAATCCGCAGATGTCGCTGCTGAGCCTGGTGTCTGGCCTGCGTGACTCCAGCGGCCACCTTGTACTGGTTGTCGACGACGTCACGGTGAGAGGTGTCTGCCTTGCATCGACGCCCCACCTGCGCCCATCAGGGCTCGGTAGCTTGCACAGTGGCGCGCTCAGCAAGCGTTTTCCCCATCCACCGAGCCTCACCAGCATGTGATCGTCCATCTTGCAGTTGCTGGCAGGCACATTCGACCATGCTCTTGCCTGGGCTTCGTACCTCCATGCCCTGCAGACGCTGCCCGGCTGTCAGCAGGTACTGTGAGATGGGGCCTGTGCCTCTTGAATGGGTGGCGAAGATGCTCAGCCACTGTCGCCAATCGCATGATGAAACCCACTCCACTTCTCGTCACACTCCACACAGCAAACCACCGTGCTGGGGCTCTCAGCCCTCGAGGGTGCAGCATGCCAATGGGCGGACAGCCTGGAACATAACTCAGATGTAGGTCGCTCCTTTGTCTCTCAAGAAACCATGCATGCAGTAGACTCCCACAGGTGGCAACCAGAACAACAGTCATCAATGGTAGCAAGCGTCCATTTCACTTGCGCATGCTGAGCCCACATCCCACATCCCTTCATCGCAGGTGGTCTTGGAGGTGGGGCCCCGGCCCTCAGTGGGAACCCAGGACCGAGCCATAGGGATCGACGGCTTCTGGCGCAGAGACACGGGATCTCTGGCAGCTGACGCGCTGGCAGTGCTTGCAGGCAAACACCAGGACACGGGCGCGCGGTCTCGGGTTTCCCTACTGCTCCAAGATAACGGCTTGCTCCGAGCCACCCTCTGAGCTAGGGTCGCTGGGTCTCTCTCTCAAGCCCGTGCCCCTCATGTCTCGGACCTTCACCCCTGCCTGGCACACCATTGGCCCCCTCTCCAGCCGTCCCCACTCTTGGCTGCCCACTGCCCGTGCCAGCACTCGAGAAGGGGGTGATTACAGCTGTACAAGGGTGCTCGGTCTGCAGACGCACCCGGCACAGGGAGGGGCAGAGCATGCGTGCAGACAATGGGACTCGGTCGCCATGCTGCACAGCTGGGTTCTACGGCACGCCAACGCGGTGCGGAAGACAACGGCCTGGCGGGATGCGAACGGAGCTCAATCAGTGATGGCCACCAGAGGAAGGCAGGCGCTTGAGGACGAAGAATTCGCCGCCCTCGATGATCTGCTTGGGCGGCTGGCCTTCCTCCACGGTGCCCCACCAGACCTGCACGTGGCAGGGAAGAAGACATGAGAGAGGGGGGTGGGGGTGCGCCGCGCCACCTTGTCGCACATATGCAGGTTTCCAGCAAGCTGCTCCTGGATGACATTCGCATCACCAAGAGGCTGACGGCCCCAATCTGGCTGCATCAAGTGTTGTCGCATCTGTTGATCACGCGTTGGTTCCATTCGCTCACCAGGGAGTCATCATCTGGGTCTGCCACTCCGACAATGCGCTCTGAGAACTCGCTGGTCACTTCTACGGGGTTGGTCTCCGTGCCGAATGGGGCATCCAACCTGCAGGGAGCAGATCCACCAGTCAGGATCTATGCTCAGCCGTGCACCCATGTCGCACGAGAACGGTGAGCATGAAGGCGCTGAAGAAGGCGTAGCCTGGGCTGCCGCTTACATGGCGTGACACGGCACGCAATGCAGCTGAGCTGAAAGACGTCCCGTTTACCTACCATGCCTCGTGCCACGGATTCTCGACACCCTTTGCCTTGGCCTCCAGCTCCTCCCTGCAGGGTGCACAAAGATCGAGCTCGAACGTCGGCCGTCAGCGCAGCGAGGATTGCGCAAAGCATGTTCATCGAGACGGCGCAGTCACACCGACGGAGGCAAGTCACGGGCCGTGCCGACGCACCTCTCGGGACCGGTCGCGTGCTCGATGTCTGGGTCTGTGACAGCGGTGCTGGCAAACCCAGCGCTACCCCAGGCCTGGCTTAGCTTGTATGAGCAGGCCACCAAGGACGTCTGCACGAAAAGATGAGCACATGGAGCAGTTGTGGTCGCCCTGGATTCTTCTGGCTGGGGTGACTCAGTTTCAGCGGGCGTGGCACCGACGGGTGTGAGCAACCCAGGAATTCAAGGAGAGGCAGCCATGATCCCTTTCCAATCGTAAACACCCTGTAACCGTATTGTGTCGTCTTTTCAGGCACCGCGCACCTGGGTTTGCGCCGCACTAGAGCTCACCGCAGGTCCCGTCCAGCTGGCCCTTACGAGGGCAGCCAGCCTGAGACACCGGCTTGCCATGGTGTTCCGCAGTCTCAAGGTTTCAGGTGATAAGTACGGGCGTGGAGCGTCTTGTGGAAGGGAGCAAGGGCCACGTAAGTCCTCGTTTCAAGAACAAGCTGCTGTTACGATGCAGCCTTCCGGGGACGAACGTCGGAAAAGTTACAGCAGGCGAGTGCCAGGTTGGCGGTGTTCTCGGGGGGGGGCCCATGGGTAGCAGGGATGCCATCGGAGACAGGTCACACTAGTGCATGTCGAACAACGATCTCAATAGGAGCCGAAGTGCATGCTATGGCCAGCACCGATGCTGCTCAGGGCGGACGACGACTTTCGGACTTGTAAAGAGATCGTGGCTGTAGCAGCTTGACTATTCCACTCGGAGTCCCTCACACCTTTCCCGTCCAGGCCATGGGGAACCCGTAAGCATGATGCCTTTCCAACGAATAGAACAACAACGCAATCAAGCGACACCAGGTTGGTGTGAACCTCTGCGAGGTAGCTCGACTCAGGAACTGAGCTGAAAGGCCAGCGAAGACCCGGCACCCACCCATCACCTCCCCTGCAGATGCCCTGCAATCAATCCTACAGCAGCACTGCCTCCTCTTTTCTGACGTTATTCCAGGTGCTTGCACGCCATGAGTGCTGATAGAGTCGTCACAGATGAGAGCATGTGATGGAAACCACATGGTTGATTGCCTGGACGCTAACCCACTTTTGTCGGCGACCTTGTGTTTGTACCCCAATCTCCTGCTCAGATGTGTTGGAGGTCCACTCTGAAACGCAAAGACTACAGGCGACCCTGCAGGGCTTCTCACACATTCCTGACGACTTGGGTGCTCTGAAACGAGCCCTCCATGCAGTCATGTGCGCGGCGAAAAGTTGGTGTGGTGCGCTGCAGGGCCACTGCGAGCTTTTACTATGGGGGTCACACGGTCTCCTAAGTCCCGCCGCCCACTGTGCAGTGACCTGGTGCCAGAGTCTGCACCCCCAGGTGGCTTTTCCCCCGGGTCAAGCATCCCCTCCCTGGCCATCCTAAAGGACGCTGAGTGCACATGTGAGTCGTTTGGGGGCCACATGAACCATGCTGCCCTCCCAGGCCACCCCACCCTCCCTCGAGTCAGTTGCTCCCTCTCCTGCACAGTGGCTGAGGGTGATCTGCAGGCTGCTTTGGAGCTGGCCCTGTCGGCGGAGCGGGGCATCTCTCATGCCCTCATGTCGGCCGAGAGGTGCGTGGTTTCTCACAGACGGGGCTTGCGGTGCAGGGCCCATCGCGGAGCAGGGGTGCTCGGGTCTGCGGCTTCCTAAATCAACCTCCCCTTCGCCTGGGTCAGGAATGCTTCGGAGTGCGAGGCGGCGCTCCTCCGCGTCCAGACCGTGCTGCAGGCCGTCCACGAGCGGGCGATGGCAGCGCTGGACTGGCGCGATCCTCGCCCCCACCTCGTCCGCCTCATCAGCGTGGTGACTTCGCCCAGCCACTTTGTGAGGTGAGGGTGCCCCTGGGTCGCCGCACCCCTCGCCCCAGCATGGCACCGTGCTCCACAAGGGCGGTGTTCATCGTGAGCGAAACACCCTTCCCACAGGGACCTGCTGGAGCGCGTGGGGACAGACGCCGGCCTGAGCCCACAAGACCTGCTGTCCCTGTTCCACGAGTGCGCTGTCAACGGCGCACCGGGCCTGCTGTCTGCCGCGCGGCTCGGCCAGGCCCTGCAGCTCTACCTGGCAGTGATGAACTGCTGGAGCCAGGTGGACTCAGCGGATGGCGGAGAGGATGCGCAGCTGGCGACGTGGGTGAAAGCCGTGGATGCACGGTGCGGCACGGTGGAGAGGGGCCGTGTGGGGCGATGGGTTGATCTCGGGGTGGGTTCCACAGGGCATGGGGCCTGCCTGTGAGGGTATGAGACCCACTCCGGCGACTCGATGCCCTCCCGCAGGCTGATCCTGGAGCTGGAGCGGGTGCTGCAGAGCAGCGTAGCGACAGTCGTGCTGTCTGGCCTGCGCCAGCCGCAGGTCGCCAAACTCCTGGCGAGCAGCTGTGCTGGCCTGGGCTGATGAGGAGCCTGAGCCGCAGAGGGGTTGTTGTGGGGGTTCCCCTTGACCGGGCCCTTACCCCACTTTCCACCTGTTCCCGCTCTGCACCGAGTCCATGCCTCCTTGCGACGCCTACGAAACCCGATCATCACACTGCATTCGGGGTCTCGTCTGTAAGATTCCTAGTTCAGGTCATATACAGCGGTCCACCGTTGTGGGGGCCAGCCCGCCCCCACAACAGGGGTGCGGCGGCGTTGACAGTGCAGGATGTGCTGTGTTGGAACATATGCTACGAGCGAGTCGAAGATATGCCGCTACCGGGCTTGCGCCGGTTGCACAGCTGCTTCCCGCAAGCGGGATCTGACTGGCGCAGTTGGTTGCCTCGATCGGCAAACCAGAGGGGTGGGGGGGGTGGGAGGGCGGGAGAAGGGGAAGCAGGGGGTCCACCAAATGCTGTGTGACGAAGTGCATTCTCAAAAAAACACTTGGTCAGCATGAGCATGTTCGCCGCTCCATTCACGTCGCGGTTGACGACGTTGACCTTGCAGGCCGGGTTGCCGCACCGCTTGGTGTCCCACACGTCCACCAGCTTCTCCTCACCTCGGCAAACCCGCACGTACTGGTGGGCGTGCAGGGTGGTGTGACAGGCGCAACACAGCTTTGATGACCTGTGCTCGTCCACCACCACCACCCTGCACACCCGCCGCAGGCGCCGCAAGAAGCGGATCCAGGGCCCCGGCGGGGGCCCCCGCATGATCGCCCCCCCGGTCCTGGGCCGACCAGTTGCCCACGCCGACGATGGTAGTCATGCCG